TTAACCCGCCACATTCTGTATGTTCCTGTCTTAAGTCAGTTGCCGGTAATTTAGTGGTTGTGGTTTGTTGCTGTATATTATATTTGTTTTTTCTTTTATTGGTCCGTTAAGCAACAAACAATCAATCAATCTTTTATTGGTCTGTACATAAATTCTGCCGTTTTCTGGTTTGAATTGTTTTACATTTGTCATTTGGGGGCCTTTTATAGCTTACTATGCAGTATGGGTTTTGCTTATTGTTGAAGGCTGCACAGTGACCTATGGCTGTTAACTTCTACATCAATTGGTCTCTGGCGGAGAGTTGTCTCATTGGCAATAATACCACATCTTTTTATTTTCATAATTAGGACATTCCTAGTAAAGTTGAAATGTTTTATAGAGGTGATGCAAGAAAAGAGGAATGGTCAACCATGACAATGTGATATGCAGCTCCTAAAAAAAGACAACAAAGAGACTATCTTCTGATATTGTATAGATATTAAAATATTAGCTAACCCAAAATAGCAAGTCGCAGGAAAATAAATATTTTTCAATGCAAAATAATCATAACTACATGTACTTGGAAAATCTTTTAACAACCCAAAAGTACCATAAATCCAGCATGAATACATTAATTTATATAATTATTTTAATTTTGTCCCATGTTGCAGAATGCAAGACATAGGGATTACTATCTGACTATAGAGGCGGCGTAAACTATTTGTATAAAGCTTTATATTTCAGAAGGTAAAAGACCTTGATGCTTCATACCTTGTATGCAGATGCCTTATCTTACGAAGTTTCCCTCTGGTCATATGTCCATGGTCGTTGACCTAATTTTCATGAATCAGTGACTGCTTGAAAAAAATGTATAATAGAGAAACAAAGGATATGGGGTATCCATCCATGACACAAAATCAGATAAATGCACAGCAAAAAATAAACAACACAAAAAGCAAAGGAAGAGCGCTTTTATTGCTTTTCTTCATCTCAAAGTCACAGTGAGGGCTTCAACACAGAGCTTAAAAACTCTCATGTAACTGCAAGTTTAAGACAGCCCCTGGCAGCAGTTTGAGCGGAATTCTTTGTAAAATAATTTGGGTATACTTTGTAAGATATAACCCCACCAAATCAGGCCCAGTCAAAAAGAACATACTGGAAAGTTATACATATTTAAACAAAATAGTTCCTACTCATAGGTGTAAATATCAAACTATGTAGAATATATTTTGGTAATTTAGTCATCAAATGAAAGGTGAAGGAATGGTGATCCTTGTAAAACACCTTTTAACTGATAAAAAGGAGGGCATGTATTGACTGTTTCTCAGATATAAAGTACCTGATTTGGAATATCCCAAGTTCCGGTAACCAATACGGTCTGATGTGTAAATAATGGTATATAGACAGCCCCCCCCCCCCCCCCAAATAAATGCTTGAAATTGAAAAATTTAACATAGAAAGTGATGCTGGCCAAGGATAGGTGGTGTGCGTCTTTTTAAATTTTAGTACACAGACTGGCCTAAAATTGAGAGAATGATGTGGCACACATGAGAGAAGTTATCTCGGATAAATACACCATAACTTTATAAATACAAAAGAGCATACACCTCAAGCACGGGAAAACTTTCTACGGCCTCCACACAGCACGAGATACAAACTCCATTAATATAATAGAAAAACAAAGGATATGGGGTATCCATCCATGACACAAAATCAGTACATGCACAGCAAATAAAAAAGAAAAAAAAAGCAAAGGGACAGCGCATAAGGTTCCTGTGGACACTTTGGCTAAAATGGCTGTGTTTTCTCCTCAAAATTTACTCTGAGTACAGATTAACCTGTGCATCTGGAAAAGTTTTAAGGCATAGCATTCCCTAGATAAATAGAATTCAAATGCATTTTAAATTTTAGAAAATTTAAAACTTAACTGGATTTTGCTGTGCACTTTTTTTTCGTCCCTGGAGTAAAGTAAAGCAGTCAAGATATTTCAGTGTGTACACTCTTGTTAATCTATAAACATGATCAAGGTTGTCCCTTTTCAGACAAGAAATCACACAGATTCATCTTAAAATAGTACCCCCCTGCCCTTAAATCTTTGCTTGAACACTGATAAATGCTTATATTTTTGTCCTTTCATGTCTCATACTTGTGAAAAATCATCTTGATTATAGCTCCCTCCAGACCATAAACTTTTGTTGACATGAGAAAATGATTAGCTCTTGCACATTGACATTCCAACATTTATTTTAAGAAGACTGTTGTAGCAGTTGTTTAGACTAAAAGCAACTGCTCGTTTTGAATAATGGATTAAAAATTCCTTGTGATTAAAAATTAAGATTCATCAACACATATGGCATAGCTTCCAAGTGATCTATACAGACTCATGTGAGCATCTTGTTGGTTATTTGTGTTGTCCTATTGACTTATACCAAACTTTATTTCATAATTTACTTAAGTCAATTGAATACCATATACCTCATTTAGTTTGCCCAATAACCCATTTCATGTTCCTGTCTCAAGTTATGTAACTCATCAGTAGTTGTCCTATATCTGATCTTAATGTTCTATGTTATTATACCCCACGCAAATTTTTGCGTCGGGTATAATGTTTTTGACCCGTCCGTTCCTCTGTCCGTCTGTCAGTCAGTCAGTCCTGTTCTTGTCATCGCAACTCCTCTGAAACCACACAACAGAATTTCATGAAAATTTGTAGATAATAAGGACATACTATGTAGATGTGCATATCGACAGGAAATTATGATTCAATTTTTTTTCCAGGAGTTATGCCCCTTTGAACTTATTGGCCTCAATATACTAGTCCGTCAGTCCTGTTCTTGTCATCGTAGATGTGCATATCGACAGGAAATTATGATTCAATTTTTTTCTAGGAGTTATGCCCCTTTGAACTTATTGGCCTCAATATACTACAGTCCGTCAGTCCTGTTCTTCTCATCGCAACTCCTCTGAAACCACACCATAGAATTTCATGAAACTTTGTAGACAATAAGGACATAATATGTAAATGTGCATATCCACAAGAAATTTTTATCAATTGACTTTTGTAGGAGTTATGAGTCTATGACACTTAGGCATCTCATGAGATTTTGTTTGCTCAGTGTCAATGTGGGGGCGTGGGGTATGTGAGCGTGCTCACAAAGGTTCTTTAATTTGGAGAATTGCCTATTGGGTGCTGATTGCAGACCTTTGATTGTGTCTGTTAGATTAATCACAACTCTTATAGACAGGACTATTGTGAGCTCTTCATGTTGGAAAGACACCTATCTATTACTGAAGACTGTATATTACCCTCTACATGTCTTTTGGTTGGTTTTGTCATTTGGTTGCGACATAAACCCAGATCTCCTTTTTTTATATTCATGCTTCATAAAATCACCTTTAAATTGTGAAATAAACTGTTGACACAGAGATTTGTCTCGCCTTTTTGTTATTTTGATAGTAAAATGCAAATGTTGAAATTAAAATAGCAATACTGTAACATGTAAGTCAAGCAAAATATTCAGTCAATAAACCATGACTTAAGGTACAGAGCCAAACAATTTCCATGGAAATGAGATGTGCCAATGCTAATACATATGCATACCAAATAACATTAACCTACCACTAGTAGTTCCCCATAAACTGACTGATTTTTATAGTTTGTTCTTATGTTGTGCTGTTGCACCACTGTCCCAGGTTAGGGGGAGGGTTGAGTGCTGACAAACATGTTTAACACCGCCACATTCTTTATGTGCCTGTCCCAAGTCAGGAGCCTGTAGTTCAGTGGTTGTCGTTGGTTCGTGTCTGTCATATTTGTTTTTCGTAAATTGTTTTGTTATAAATCATGCTGTTAGTTTTCTCAATTGAATTAATTCATATTTTTCATGTCAGGGTCTTTTATAGCTGCCTATATGGAATGGGTTTTTCTCATAGTTGAAGGCCGTACTGTTGCCTATAATTGCTTAAATCCACTTCATTTGAACTTTGGTGGATAGTTGTCTCATTGGCAATCATACCACATCTCCTTATTTTTATACCAATCACAAACCAAAACAGGTAAATTAAGCAAATGTTCAAATTCAACAGACCATGATTGAGAGGGCGGGGTCACATAATCTCTATGGAAATGAGATGTGCTAATGCTAATTCAACTGCATACCAAATATCATTGACCTACCACTAATGGTTCCCCATAAACTGACCTAATCACAAACTTATACTTTGTTGATGACACCACCGCCGCCTGAAACAGCACACGTCTCGCTTTTTGACTCCATCAAGGCGAGACAAAAAGTGATAATTCAATAATTAGCTAACTATCCAGTCAAGTGGAAAAGTTGTCATCTGCTGTAGCAGCTTAACATAAAACTTGTATGCAATAGAAAAATATCACTTCAAAAAAAGAAGAAAATATAAGTGAAGCACTCAAAGACAGGTCATGGAAATCGATATGCTAGGAACCATACTTCTTGCTTGTGTATTGTCCTTGGTGAATTTGATTCATGTTTTAATGCAGTTATTTAGGTATCTTCTACCTAATGTTTTAAAAAAGAAAAAAAATCTTATTTTCCATTAGCTCCCATGTGAAACTAAGACGTCTGCAGGCTGCGATATTGGTTAAGTTATCAGAACCAAAGTTATTACACTTGGCACAGTACGATACAGAATCCTTCTATCATATTTTAGTTTCACCTACATTAAGAGTTTCTCAAGAGAATCATTAAAAATTTCAGCTAATCAACCTAAAAGCAGCTCTCCAGAGGAAACAATAGGAAGAAACTTTTTAAAAAGCAATGTAAAAAAATGTTGACAGCCTAAACCTGTGTTTGAGGAAGCAGAACTTATTCATTGTAATTTTCATTAGACACTGAAGATTTTCTAATTTTTAAATATTTAAAGTATCTGTCAGTCATAACTATAGCCAAGAGCCAAACATTTGGAAAACAAACTAGGTTACAAACCAAGTAATAATAAATACACAAAAGATAATGGTAATAAATGCTAAGCAGCAAAGAAACTACACAAATATTTTGACTCTTTATTGTTTATAACTATATAAATAGTTACAAATATACATCTTTTAACAAATAAAAATCATTGACTGGTAAAATATTAATTACAGAAATACTTCTTAATTATGAGCTATGATCTTTAATAATCTTAAATTTAAGGACCTCAGTATGTTTTCTTTAAATATAGATATAAGTACATGTGGCAATGGTACAACTATTCACCAGAGACAAAATGACGAGGATGTAAAGCATATTTAATAATAAATGACTTTCAAAACATTTTTTAACCAGCACACTTTAGTAAAATGAAGCCTCAGAATCTCAGGCATGTCTGCTTAAAAAGATTCAAAATTAGACATTCTCATTTCAATGAAAAATAAGTTTAAATAATAAGATTTTACTGTTGCATTATCAGTTTAAATCACCAAGACCTTTTGACTTAAGGTTTAGTTACAATTAAATTGATCAACCCTAGAACATAAAATTTTCTTATACACATCTCCTTTTATGCATATGGTTCTAATTTCTGATAAATTCATCAGCTTACATTTTTCCTGAATCTTTTCAGATTATTGAAAGAAAACTTCCTTATTCAATAGTTAACTGTATATTAGTCATGTGACAGTTAACAGAGAATGTCATATATACAGAATGATATCCTGTAACACATGTTTTTCAAATAGGTAAAATGTTCACAGCAGTAACAAAGTAAGTTGTCCCCTTACTAGAGTACCTTAATTGGTTGAACAATGACACGATTTTACCATGTACCAACTTCAGATGGTCATACAAATAATCTATATTCAAAATACTGTAAAGTCAGAAATTTTTGCGATGTTTTCATAATTGCGAAAATTTCAGCGAGATAGGAGTAGCAAAATTAAAACTTGCATTTTTATGCTTACATACAAGATAACATTTTATGCTATACTTAAAAGATAGCTTAATTTGTATGCAGCATTTCCTGAAATGGTAATATTGCATTTGAGTCAATTGTTCAAAAATGACAATAATAAATACACACAATAATTTCTGAATTTACAGCTCATGTTTTTTTCACGTCTAATTTGTTTTATATTAATATATTATTTTGAACACATGGTGGATTCATTTGAGTCATACAACATGGGTGTAGGAGGGTATGGATGGAGTTTACAAAATAAAGAGAAAAATAGGCAAACAATTATAAAGAATAGAGAATAGTAGGGTGCTAAATTAAAACGAATACAGAATAATTAACATGAAAAACTCAGTCGTTATATTTTGCTGCTCTACTGTTACCATACTATCACCTGAAGGCCTAGTCAATGAAAAATCGACAATTAATCATTCTGAATTAGCTTGGGATTTGCCTATCTCAATAACAATAACAGCTGATTGGCTCTTTCATTCAAAGATTCAAAATCCAGGACTTGTGACAAGTTTTAATCAAATAAAATGTTCAGGCCCTCATGAGTTGGACAGTGGATCATGAGGAGGGCCGGACTTATTGGGGTTACAGAATAATGGACAAAAAAAATAAAGATAAGAGAAAATTTACCTAAAAAATCAAAGAATACAGAAATGACGACCCCCACATTCAGACCCTCATTAATAACTACAGCAATGCCTATAGTGTTGTTGTATAATAGTCTCTATTGTTGCTGTGTTTCATACTTGTTTTTCTGTTCATTATTTTGTACATAAATTAGGCCATTATTTTTCTTGTTTGAATGGTTTTACATTTGTCATTTCGAGGCCTTTTATAGCTTCTTATGCGGTATGGGCTTTGCTCATTGTTGAAGGCCGTACAGTGACCATGGTGACCTATAGTTGTTAATTTCTGTGCCATTTGGTCTATTGTGGAGTGTTGTCTCATTGGCAATCATACCACATCTTCTTTTTATATCTACAACATTATGGGTTGTTGAAAACAAAATGCTCAAGTTAAACAGTTTGATTCAGTGATTTCGTGTTAAGTTTACCTAAGTCATACTGTAGTAACTTTAGTTTCTACTGATGTGATTTTTTTTAAAAAGTATTTCTTGTAGCTATCTGAATAAAATTTACAACTTGCAAAAAAACTAATACATGTAAACAAATTATACTGTAAAATGATCATCATAAATATAACTTGAAAATATGATAATCTCAATTAATTAACTACAGATGACCATCTCTGGGATGAAATTGAAAAATAACAAATACAAAAAAAAAACTAGACGATAAGTCACTCAGTAGGGCTACATATAAGTAATTTTCATTTAGCAATTGCACTTCGGTCATAGCTGACTTACTGCAGTCTTCATCTAACAGTTAGATAAAATGTTTTATCATCTGATTAGTCTGATTGGGTGTTATGAACAACAACTTGGTAAAATGTTCATCTGACGGCAAAAATAAGACAGCAACATTTACAGGCAAGTCACACTTATATAGCTGGCTTAGCTGCACTTACTAAGTCTTTCAGCAAGAGCTCTTTACTGATCAACATAGAGCTGGCAATGAGTTCAACATTATGCTAGTTTAGTATGTAACATATCCAAATAAGCACTTTTGTTAGTATGTAAGAATACTTTCTCAACATACATTTTACAAGTTTTTTTTTCAAAACCAATTGTGACTAAGTGTTAAGCAGGTTTCTTTCCTCTTCCTCTTCCAGCACCACTGCCCTTCTTTCTGCCTCTTTTTGACTGTTTCTTTGGAGCCATACATTTTGTACAATACCATGATTGATCCTCTGGTGGGTCTTCCTTTATCCCAACACATACCCTGGAATGGACAGCATTGCATATTCACAAAGCAGATATATAGAAGTATAGAGGATTCTTCTTATTTTCATGACCCAAATGTCAATATAAAATTTTTTTGTTTGAAGACCAAAAAATAATTTCTCATTGAAACAATTTTTAGAATAAATTAATCTAAAATGTCAGTATGATAGAACTATCAATATTGGAGTTAAACTGTCTCCATATATGTGTGCCTTCTAATTAGGTGTTTGTATATTCCCTATCTGCCTATGAAACAAGATTGCCAATGGATTAACTTGGTGGTAAGATATTCTGAATGTTTTCATTATGGTGTACTTTTTACTGTCTTTCTAATGCATTGGGGTGACATTTTTCACATTGCTATTTTAATGAATGAATTTATATTGCAAACTGATATAGTCTTTAGCTCGTTGACATTCTGATTAACCCAAACCTCTCATTAAAACAGTGAGAATCTAAAAAAAGTTTGATGCATAAAAGTAAATCTTTTTCTTTTTCTTTTTTTTTATGGATGTTGATGGGGGAAGGAGGGAGTAGACAGGAAACTTGACCAAAGTTTCAAAAATATTCATAAAAATACATCTTTTATCTACTTACCAATGATACCAATCATCACATATATCACAACCAATCATAGGACTACCATCATCTGGCATCTTACATGTCGGACAGATCCAAACTTTCTGTCCAGTTGCATCCTGAAAACAGTGTCATATAAAAATTAAAGCCAACATTAAACAAAACTCAATACACAATACAGTGACCTATTTCTATATGATGTATATGTTGAAATGATAAAAGCACAAACATTGGTAATAACTAATGCCTACATGTGTGCAATAATTCTTTATTATTACTACATTCATGAAGAATTTCAATTGTTTTAAATGCTAAGAATTAAAAAGGAAATCTAAATAGCATATATTCTATTTCAAAATATTTTTTTCAACTTAAGCCTATCAGTTTAATAAGTAGTATCTAAAAACATTAATTTATCAGTAACAAATGAACAAAATAAATATATAATTCTCTTCATTGCAAGCATATAAACAAATGTAGTTTTTCATTACATACCGTTGTATTGACAATGATTTAATGAAACCTATAAAGATCTATGACACCATTAGAATTGGTAGATTTTTATTATTGTAAAAATAAGGTGATGTGGTAGATTGCCAATGGGACAACTATCCATAAGGATATTACAAGAAGAATGTGTCCATAGTACACAGATGCCCCACTCGCTCTAACATTTTCTATGTTCAGTGGATCGTGAAATTGGGGTCAAAACTCTAATTTGGCATTAAAATTAGAAAGATCATATCATAGGGAACATGTGTACTAAGTTTCAAGTTGATTGGACTTCTACTTCATCAAAAACTACCTTGACCAAAAACTTTATCCTGAAGCGGGGCAGACGGAAGAACTGACGGACGGACGAACGAATGAACGGACACACAGACCGAAAAACATAATGCCCCTAGGTGGGGCATAAAAATTCACAGAAATATGATTCTGAATAGATACATCCCAACTTTGTAATAAGAAAGGGTCAAATATCATCTTCATGCTACTTGAACTGATCAAAAGACCATAAAATACTGTGAGCAATAAATTACTTATGATACCTCATTATAAGTTTTCAGTAAACAGGAAGTTGATGAACGATGGATGTGAATATGCATTTAACAGCATAGCATGCATAACATTAAGATTGATACTAAAATTCAGGATGCTCTGATTAGTTCCTGAGAAAATGTAACAAAAGTTTTATACATAGCCTATATATATTTATATAAGTATTCAGTAAACACGGAATTGATAAGGAATTGATGTGAAAACACATCACACAGTATAGCAATTTCACATGGAGCTTGAAGCTCTGATTTGTGGTTCCTAAATAAAATTTAATGGGACCATAATATGCTACTCTATTGGAGTGGGGGTATAACTAGTTTATTATTCATGAGATAACAATATAAAATTGAGAATGGAAATGGGGAATATGTCAAAGAGATAACAACCCGACCAAAGAGCAGACAACAGCCGAAGGCCACCAATGGGTCTTCAACGCAGCAAGAAAATCCCGCACCCGGACGTGGTCCTCAGCTGGCCCCAAATATGACTATATTTCTATGTACAAAGACTAATATGTTAGTAGGATAGACAGTTAATATTTAACACTATAACATATGATTTAGATAAATAATATTAGTAAAGGTTAGTGGGTAGTTTGAAGGTACAATCAAATCTTTCATGTTCAATTACAAAGGTAGGCAATAAATATAGTCTCTTCAGAAATTTTCTTAAATGGATTAATATTTCTGTAGAAATATATAATACAGAAATCTAAACTAAATTAATATAAACAATGAAAACATGAAAAAGCAAAACGCATGAAAAACATACAGTAAAACCTTTGTATAGCTTATATATATATCTATTAAAACATAAATTTCTCAGAGGTAAATTTTGGAAAAAATTTGTAAGGGTTCTGTGGAACCTAGTGTCTCGCCTACTTTTGCTGTTAATCGCAGATTCAACAAAAATGAGGAAAAAAATTAATAAAAATATTCCTCTCTATACTATCTTTTGATTGTAAGTAGCTTCTGTCCAAGTTTGGTAAAAATCCAGGATAGTTTATGAATCTAATAAATGTTTTAAAAACTAAAACTGCAGACTGTATGTAATGTTAACTGGAAGAAAAACTTAGTCCATTTATAAGTAAAATACGGAAAAAATGGAACAAAATTTTAACAAAATTTCCTTCTGGATACTATCTTATGATCATAAACAAGCTTCTTTCCAAGTTTGGTACAAATCCAAGATAGTTTAAGAAAGTTGTTAAAATTTTAAAAACTTTAACCACAGAGTGAATGTAATGTTAACTGGCAGAAAAACTAAGTCCATTTATAAGTAAAATACGGAAAAAACGGATTTTTTTTTTTACAAAATTTACTTTTGAATATTATCTTATAATCATAAACAAGCTTCTGTCCAAGTTTGGTAGAAATCCAGGATAGTTTAAGAAAGTTATTAAAATTTCAAAAACTTTAACCACAGAGTGAATATTTGTGGACGACGCCGACGACGACAACAACGACAACGGAATATAGGATCGCTATGTCTCGCTTTTTCGACAAAAGTCGAAGGCTCGACAATAAAAAAAGATGCACTTTCTTGGATTCTTTCAATTGCAAAATAAGTTTTTACTGTATATGAAAACTAAAAGAATACGAATTATGATGATTAGCAAACCTTAAGCTTGGTGACAGTAAGCTTGGCTGTTTTGTCATGTCTTGACTTAAAATGAAATGAACCAATTTAAACCCAATGATTTGATGAATAATGTAATGCTGACTAAGAGTTTATACACATAATTACACCTTATATAAGAAAGCCAGATTTTGATTGGTTGATAGCCAGTGTATTTTTCGCATATTCTAATATTTTTTTCCTCATTTCAAACGAATTTGCCTCAAATACCATGGTATTTGCCATTTTGGATATTCCTTTTTTACCCTCTCGAGCATTTTCCCGGCAAAATTTTTCGGATATGACGTTACATAAAAAAGCGAGCTAACGCGTATTAGTACATGTATAATTCCCACGGTTCTATGATAATATCCTTTTTTCCTCAAAATTATGCATAAACATGTTAATGAATTAGTTTCAATCCAAATCTATTCGGTGTAATTAAACAGATATATCATGTTATGGAGGGGTATTTGCGAAAAATTCCAGTCTTGGGACCGAATTTCGCAAATACCCCTCCATAACATGATATATCTGTTCACAATTATAATGATTTAGTTAAAAACATTTCTGAAATAGAATTTTATATATAAATAAAGCAGGAAAATAGCTGTGATGATATATTATGATTCAAAATTTTACAAAAAAGTAAAATTTGCCAAATTGTATAAAAAAAAATTGAACAACAGAAATACAAATGTACAAAGCACTGAAAAAAATTTCAATTCTACTGAAATATGTAAAAATAATGAAATCTAGATGAAAATGGCACTTTGATATTTAAATCCCTATTTAGTGTTTTAAAACCCCAGAAATAATGGCATTGAGACATGAGACAATAGAGGAAGTTATAGTATCTTTTTGATGAATTGTTTTAAATTTTAGTTCATTTCTCTCGTGTCTTTTCACAAAATTTCTGAATAAGATATGTAGTCCACCTGTAGGTAGTAATCCCAATGGTTTTAATCTACCACACAGGGAATACAAATTTAATAAGTCATGTCAATTGTTCTTCAATGCAAAAATTAACTTTACATGTTCAACAGTTATATTTAATTATGAAAAGAGGAGAAATTCTTAAGTTTTCCTAAACTGAAACTAGAATGACAAAGACCATGTCTTTTGTTTCCACTTTAAAAATTGATCATTGACAATAAAATATTATAAACACTACCACTTCAAATCTTGTACTATTGTTGACTGCACACCTATGATAATGAGTTAGTATTCTGTGTTCTATATTTTGACCAAAAGATCCAGATATATTAGACAAAAAACATTAACCTTATATCTATGTAACTTGTATTGTACATATAGGATAATCTTTATGTAGTGAACAATTTTTCATATAAAGATCTTTAATATTCTAAAACTTTACAGAGAATGAAAAAATGTTATAACTCCTCAAGTTTGACTGGCAATAATAAGTGAAGGGTTGTCAAATATGTAAGAATGAGCCAGTCTATTCAAAATGTTCTGAACCTGTTGCAAAAATACTAGCAGCCTACAAAGAACATCTTGTCTGATCAAATGTCCTGAACTTCTACCCCCAAATACTGATTACAAATAGAACCCTGCCAATTCAAATGTATGAGCCAGTCTATTCAAAATGTTCTGAACCTGTTGCAAAAATACTAGCAGCCTACAAAGAACATCTTGTCTGATCAAATGTCCTGAACTTCTACCCCCAAATACTGATTACAAATAGAACCCTGCCAATTCAAATGTTCTAATCTCAACACAAACATAGTTATTCTATCAATATTTCCCAGATGGAAGTTAAATAAATATACATCAATATTTGTTTGTTTTAACCCAAGTACATTAGTTTTTGATAATCCAAATAATTGATTTGCCATTTTTGGTCTTTGGCAACCTTAAATTTGCTCTTTTTTTCCAAAATATGATCTCAATTTGATATTAACAAATGTAACTATTTTCTGATCCATTCTGTTTTTAAAACACACTTGCAATTAAAAAAAATACCCTGTGAATGTTTAATCTATAGACTAATGGTTTCGTGTTATACATGTAAAAATCCACCATGAAACAAAGAAAATGTAGTTAGAAGTGGACTTATTATACAAACAAAGACGTGTAGTTAGAGGTAACAAGACATGTAATGATACATCACCTCAATGACATGATCTTCTGACACCTGATAAGTATAATTTTAACAAGGACAATAGTAAAAGGTCTTTACTCAATAACATGATCTTCTGACACCTGATAAGTATAATTTTAACAAGAACAATAATAAAAGGTCTTTACTCAATAACATGATCTTCTGACACCTGATAAGTATAATTTTAACAAGGACAATAATAAAAGGTCTTTACTCAATGACCTGATCTTCTGACACCTGATAAGTATAATTTTAACAAGGACAATAGTAAAAGGTCTTTACTCAATAACATGATCTTCTGACACTTGATAAGTATAATTTTCACAAGGACAATAGTAAAAGGTCTTTACTCAATAACATGATCTTCTGACACCTGATAAGTATAATTTTAACAAGGACAATAGTAAAAGGTCTTTACTCAATAACATGATCTTCTGACACCTGGTAAGTATAATTTTAACAAGGACAATAGTAAAAGGTCTTTACTCAATAACATGATCTTCTGACACCTGGTAAGTATAATTTTAACAAGGACAATAGTAACAGGTCTTTACTGAATAATGTATGATGAAAGACAGATTAATTGTGAATGATTTAGTATTATATGTATAAAATGATAAATCTGATATAGTATATAAATAATTTGATGATTTAAAAGCCATATTAGAAAACAAAAAGCCTTATATTCCAATAAAATGAATGAACGTTCAAAGCAACAAAGCTGAAAAGCAGACTGAAGCAGGGAACGGAATACATATGTAAAATCAGTTTTTAGTTGACAATTTGAACCCTGCATTTATGCAATTACAATATGTTTTACTTTAATACTCACTATAAAGGTTCCAATGGTTTCAGCGACTACTGTTCTCTGTACGGAGGGCTTGGATGGAGGAGGAGGGGGAGGAACTATAGAAGGTGGAGGCATAGGAGGCAATTCAAACTTCTCTCTAGGATTGGAGGGACCTGGAGAAGGAGATGGGGAATGGTATGGACTGGTAGAAGGTGTGTCACTATGAGGAGAATTGACCTGCTCCACAGGAGATTCTGGAGGATGGGGAGGTGATGATGGAGGTGTAGATGGGGTTTGAACTGGGGATGTCTTAGTTTCTGTTGGGGCAGGGGAAGGAAATTTATGTGCTCCTTGATGATCAACAGGTTCACGTCTTCTTGGTACACTGGATGTAGATGGCTGTGACAGATTTGGTGGGGGTGGGGATGGGACAACACCTCGAGGTAATTCTGGGATAGAAAGTTTACTAGGATTTTTACGAGGAACAGGGGATGGCACTCTGAGAACAGGAGGTGGAGGAGTTGCTGTTTTTGGAGGTTCTGGTGTGAGAATAGGGGGCTCCTCCTCTATCACAAGTCCTGGTTTAATAACTGGCTCTTTCTTGATTTCTTTTGTTTTTGGCTCTTTCTTAACTGAAGTTACAGAGGGGGATGATGGTTTGCTTTCAGAGATCTGTGGTGTTGTCTTCTTTATTACTCTGCAAAATTATTGTAATTTTTCATAGATTTTTATTCAATCATAATTATAAAAACAAGAAAATCCAAAAGAACTTAATCTGATGCTAGACAATATCCATATAAGTTTTTTGTTTTAATAACAGTAAGAACCTTTAAAATAATCTTAACTGCTTCATTTTTTATACATATTTTGTTTAAACATATTTTGTACATAAATTAGGCCGTTAGTTTTCTTGTTTGAATTGTTTTACATGTCATTTCGGGGCCTTTTATAGCTGACTATGTGGTGTGGGCTTTGCTTATTGTTGAAGGCTGTATGGTGACCTATAGTTGTTAATTTCTGTGTCATTTGGTCTCTTGTGGAGAGTTGTCTCATTTGCAATCATACCACATCTTCTTATTTTTATATAGTATGCTTGAATAATATTTTAATAACACTAGAAATAATTGAAATGTAACTGAATTCATAATTAAGAATTGAAAGCTTTTTTGTACTTTTATTAGCATGTACAATCATTGACAGAAGTGCTTTTTGGATGTAGCTTGGAAGCAATTACACAAAAAATATGAGCAAGATCAAAATTTTTACACACCATTAAAACTACAAAAATATGCTTTCAATTTTTATAATTTAACTTGTTAAAATATGTGTGCAAGTCAACTCTAACAAACATGTATTTTCGTATACAGTACATAAAAATCCAACTAATACAGTCATGGTAAATTTGGGTGTGCCCAAAAATAGTAAGTTTCTATTTTACCATAATACTTCTATCCATTTTAATGTAACTGATCAGAATCATATGAAATTTAATTTAATGTTATTATCTACAAATAACATAATGATTATAAACATACAGTTTAAGACCTTCTTGTCGAGGAGATTCACTAGGTGATGACTCTGTTCGAGGAGACATTATTACACGAGTACTTTCACATTTATTTGATGCACCACCAAATTTTATCTTCAGCTTGGTGGGGAAATACGTCTAAAAAGTAAAAATATTTGTATAAGATATTTTACAATTATAAATCAGATTAATGAAAATTCCTTAATCAAATGACAGGAAACTATGTGCATGAATAAATGCAGATGGATACATCAATGAGACATCAACCAAACAACATAAAAACAAATATGACATCTTGAAGTGAACATACCATCTTAAACAACAAAGAGACAAGGATCTGTATCATCTGTAATATAGATACTGTCTTTATACCCACATTAAACACAAAAAAACTGGAGTATACACATTAAAAAACTTTATTACTTATCTAGCATTTCATGCCGAAATTTCCACTTAAATCTGTACAAATAATTCTTAAAATGTTCTGAATTCTGACAATTTCCTAACACATTCATGTATTTTGCTATAAGGAAATATTCAAAATTAAAAATAAATACGAATTGTTTACCTTTCTTAAAATATCTTTTTTTTAGTTAACAGTTGATTTGGATGGGTTGGGGAACCTTAGAAAAAGAAAACATTTATTTGATCTAGGTCTCAAATTTATTTTTGTTATTTTGACACAACAGATCATTGTTCCTTACATATTTTGTAAGTTAGGATGGTTTTTCATTCCTTTTGGTGGCTACTACAACAAATCATGCTCTCTGTATCGCTGCAACAAGTAAGGTGCAGACTCCTATGATTTTAGCACATCAAAAAAGTGCATCTTTGGCAAGTGTCTCCAAAGCAATACAAAATAATCAGCATACATTGTATCACAAAACACACTAGCACAAGTGCTTAATTGAAAATTGATCTAAAACTTTATAAAAAGTTAAAAATTATAAAAGTTTATGTATCATAATCATTTTTGATGGTTTTACATACCAAATATCTAGTAATAACATGTGTTTTATCATATCATAAGCATGTTCAGTAGCTACTTCTTAAACTGCCGGTAAATGTAAAAACCCTCAAAGATTAATTTGACTTGTTCTGTTGATTGATTCTGTCAAGTTTTTAATGACATCCCCTTTTGAAATGACCTTGGAGTCGGTTTTTTGTTATACTGTTTTGATACAGCAAGCAAAGTATACATATACAGAATAATAATGAATCAAGATAAACCTGATTGATTTGAAATAGTGTTTTATGATGCAATTTCAGCTGACATATTTTATAAGTAGGGTACTTGGAGAGTTCAGCTTCAATGAAACTAAATACAAATGGAGTACCACTGAACTGGAAGTTACAACTGAGTCTCTCTCACCTCATGACCTTTATCCTTTTTACTTTTTTCCTTGTCTCTGTCTTTGTTCTTGTTTTTCTTTTTCTTTTCTTTCTTTTTCTTGTGTTCCTTAAATATTAAAATGAAAAGAACTTTTAATTGTCATGATTATTTAAGTGGAGTAAATACAGTAGCACAATGTTCTAGTGATTATGAGATTGTAGATTGAGATGAGAATGTTAAAAAACATAACATAAAACATAGGTTACCATGCTTTCCAGAAAAATGAGGCTGATAGTAGGAAATATTTTTAATTTCTTTAAAATATGCCGACAACTTTGAGAATTTCTAAATCTGATATTTTTGGCAATACAATATTCTGATAAATGTACATCAGAGAAGAATAAAATGAGAAGTTGTTTAAAAAATAGATAGAATTTCAGTATTTAATGTCAAAATATGTTAAATTCAGCGACTTTTATTTGTCAACTTTCACCGAAAACCTGATTTTTGCCTATTTGGAATGCTTATGTCAACCCTTTATAAGAAAGTAAATAAAAAATAATGGACTTAAATATCTGGGGCCAAAAAGGGCATTTACAAAAATTACTTCATTCCCATTAGTTTTGCCGTGTTAAAAAAAATGTTTTTCTGATTGAGTGAAAAATAAATCATGTTACAAATAAGCCTTGTTAAAAAATCTTCAATCTTATCTTAATAATGACCTTCCCATAAAAAACTAAACAAAACATAACCTTACCTTTGATTTTTCAGATTTCTCAGATTTTCCCTTTATTTTGTTTTCATCTTTAACTGTTTCCATAGGCTCAGTTTTAATCACAACTGGTTCATTTCTGATTTCAGCTGGCTCTGTCTTAACTTCCACTGTTTCATTCATTACTTCAATAGTAACATTTTCTACCTCCACTGTCTCTGACATGTCTGCATCTTGTGTAGCTGGCATTGTATCTTCTTCTGGTTCAGGTGGCCGTACTGATACAGCAAGACCTGCTGCTGACATGGCTGCCATCCATGGATCCATTGGCTTCTTTTCAGGACTTTTGACTTCTGGTGATTTGTTTTCAAAAATATTTACCTGACTTATAGTTTCAGATAGAACAGTTTGTTTTAACTTCAACTTTTCCTTAACTGGCGTTGTTATTTTCTTTTTTCCAGAACCCTTTGGACGTCCTTTCGGTCTCTTTATAGGTGGTGATGTAAGCAGTGGTGGTGGTAGTGGTGGTATTTTTTCACCAGTAGGTAAAGTGATATTATTAACATTATCCTTCACCTCAGGTGTCTCAGTTTTGACGGTGACCTCTGATATGACTTCACTATGCATGTCATCCAAATCAACATTTGTAACATAAGCATCAAATGATTCACCTTCATTAAATATTGATTTTTTATCTTTTGATTCAATTTTATTTTCATCATCAGGACTAGCAAGCTCAGCAACTGGTTTCTTTTCTTCTATAGTTTCTTCATTTTTAGATGATTTTGCAATAACTGAATCAATAATGTCATCAATGGCAGCTAATCTTGCCATTTTCTTCTCTGGACTGATTGGTGGTCTTCCACGAGGCCTGTGAGACTGTTCTACAATTATTAGTTTGGAAGACCCATCTTGTGAATTTTCATCATTTCCTTCAGTCTTAACAATAACCTCACTGACAGATGATTCTGTTGACTTTCCAGACAGAGACAAATCTATTGGCTGATCAGTTGTTGGTGTTGAAACAACATCTTTAATGTCTTCATTTGAGATTTGTGATTGTGGTGACATTCTTTCTAATATATTTCTCTCAATCGTTTCAATGTCTGCTGGGCGATTAGGCTTAACCACCACAGGAATAAATCCTCTGGGTCTTCCTCTAGGACTTTTTGGTGGACGCCCAGGACTTCTTCCTGACTGAGGTCGACTTGGACTCCTATGTAAAGGTGGTCTTCCTGGACTTCGTTGAAATGGAGATCTACCTGGGCTTCTTGATAAAGGAGGTCTTCCAGGACTTCTCTGCATGGGAGGTCTGCCTGGACTTTTCTTTAAAGGAGGTCTTCCTGGACTTTTTGGGGGTCTACCTGGTGGTCGTCCTGGGCCTTTAGGACTTTTAGCCTGTCCAGGAGATTTAGATCTAGGCCCATAACCAGGTGGTGACACAACAGTGGATTTCGGTCTTACAATTTCTGTTTGCACATCTTTTGAATCCGATCTTTCATATGAACTTGGCACAAACACAGTTTCAGAAAATAGGTCTCTTTCAATTTTTTCTTTATTTGAATCTGATTTTTCTTTTGCAGATGCTTTCTTTGACTGTTTAACAGGTGATGGTTTGGGCGATTCTTTAGGTTTTTTAGGATATCCCTGAGGTGGTGTTCTTGGATCTGGCAATTTACCAGCTTTGCCATGAGTTGGTGTATGATCTCCTGACGTAGATATGATAACACTTTTCATTTCATATAATGATGGTCCAGCATCTTCAGGAAGGGCACCACTGTCTAACCTATGAAAATATCAAGTGAAAAATTATTGTTTAAACAACAAATAAAACAATTACAAATTGGAACCAACACATCATATACACCTTATCGCTAATCCCGCTTGACCCGAGAATCAGTCCCGCTCGAACTTTTGACGTCATACAACAATCACTTTTCCATTGTGGCGTCAGATATTTTCTATTATGACGTCATAATTTTACGGGAACTTCTGTGATGTCCAGTAATGGCGGACAAATAGCGATAAGGTGTATTCATTTAGTATGCTACAGGTGATTCTAATTGACCATGGGCTATACTTGTGCAATAATAATAAATTCAAGGGTAAATAGTTATACTTGATATTACTGCAATTATAATAGTTTTGGCAAAACAAATCCCTTAAATCAAGTTAGAAAGAAAATGTTTAGTTTGTTTATTTGTGATATATGGTAGTGAAGCCTGAGTTAATGCCAAACAACCAGATTATTGTCTCACATACTTTATGTTTTAGACAGAAAATAATTAATTTAAAAAAAGACATTTAATAATGTAGTTCAGCTTAAAATGGAAAATTTTTGGCATCAACTATTTTTTTTAATTAAAAAGAATGAATATCTCACTTTTCTTGATTATTTTATAAATTCTAACTCAAAATAATCTTTTCCAAATAATTTTGTTTTATTCACAAAAGAATGATAACAAACATGAAAATCTATATAAAATAGAGGCATTGTTTCAAAGTGAAATTTGAATGCGCATACATTTTTCCTTTTTATAAATTTTCAAAAATCTTTTGTAAAATATGTTTATCTACTTTAAAACATTGGACAGTTTGCTGGACAAGAGGTAATGATTAAGAAATTATACCGTCTTCTTTTAAATGGGGGTCCATCTGGTGGTGTATTAGCATGTTTGTCTACAACAGTGCCATCTACTGGACTCGTTGATATCTGATTCATTGTTGGAAGTGGTAATAATCCTGTTAATCTTGCATCTGTACTTGGCTCAGTTGGCACAGACTCTTCTTCTGAATAAACATTTAAAAAATACACATGTTCAACTTCAAATGTTTTAAACTGTAATCTCTTGTTATTGTCATTTGTAGTAAAACCAAAAGTATAGAAATGTTCCTTTATCATGTTTATCTTAAATCAAGTTTCACTGGTTATTAGTGGTACACTATCATATATGTTAATTTGTTAACCAAATACAAGAAGAATAACATTTATCGATTATAGTCAGTATAGGCTGAAGTAAGATAAAATTGACCAGCCATAAACAAATTTAATTTTTTTTTTTGCCCCACAAAGCAAGTTACATTCAGGTTTTACTGAACCTGCATAAATTACTTTATCAAATGCAAGGCAGAGTCATAAGGCATATATAATACCAGAATAACAAGATGAAAATGAACTGTATCATGTATACCTTGATATCAAAACAAAAAGAATTTTCAAATAAAATCTATAAAGCAAATCTTTTAAAAATAATAATTGACTGGTAACTGACATTTTTATATAGCTATTGTACCTTCCAGTTCAGGATGCATGAGCGGCATGTACTCTGGTATAGATTCATCCCTTGTGAACACCTCTCTACAGTCTGGTTTAGGGAACTGTAGATTAGGTTTCTTTGGAACAGGAAATGACACCACATCATGAGCGTATGGTAAAGGATCTGCATTCTTAATGTATTCGCCTAACTCACTAGGACTGACATTCAAATGGCGGAAGGCTAAACCTATGTCATCTATATTGGGTTCTGTTCTTCCAACTGAAAATACAAATAAAATGACAGTATCAACAACTACTCTTTCTTCGATGCTACACGAAACACTTCACATATTTTATGTACAAATTGTACAACACTTAATCTTGTTCAATCACAGTCTACTTGTTCATATATACCATCAAAGTACAACACTTAATCTTGTTCAATCACAGTCTACTTGTTCATATATACCATCAAAGTACAACACTTAATCTTGTTCAATCACAGTCTACATGTCCATATATACCATCAAAGTACAACACTTAATCTTGTTCAATCACAGTCTACTTGTTCATATATACCATCAAAGTACAACACTTAATCTTGTTCAATCACAGTCTACTTGTTCATATATACCATCAAAGTACAACACTTAATCTTGTTCAATCACAGTCTACTTGTTCATATATACCATCAAAGTACAACACTTAATCTTGTTCAATCACAGTCTACTTGTTCATATATACCATCAAAGTACAACACTTAATCTTGTTCAATCACAGTCTACTTGTTCATATATACCATCAAAGTACAACACTTAATCTTGTTCAATCACAGTCTACTTGTTCATATATACCATCAAAGTACAACACTTAATCTTGTTCAATCACAGTCTACATGTTCATATACACCATCAAAGTACAACACTTAATCTTGTTCAATCACAGTCTACATGTTCATATACACCATCAAAGTACAACACTTAATCTTGTTCAATCACAGTCTACTTGTTCATATATACCATCAAAGTACAACACTTAATCTTGTTCAATCACAGTCTACATGTTCATATATACCATCAAAGTACAACACTTAATCTTGTTCAATCACAGTCTACATGTTCATATATACCATCAAAGTACAACACTTAATCTTGTTCAATCACAGTCTACATGTTCATATATACCATCAAAGTACAACACTTATTCTTGTTCAATCACAGTCTACATGTTCATATACACCATCAAAGTACAACACTTAATCTTGTTCAATCACAGTCTACATGTTCATATATACCATCAAAGTACAACACTTAATCTTGTTCAATCACAGTCTACATGTTCATATATACCATCAAAGTACAACACTTAATCTTGTTCAATCACAGTCTACTTGTTCATATATACCATCAAAGTACAACACTTAATCTTGTTCAATCACAGTCTACATGTTCATATATACCATCAAAGTACAACACTTAATCTTGTTCAATCACAGTCTACATGTTCATATATACCATCAAAGTACAACACTTAATCTTGTTCAATCACAGTCTACATGTTCATATATACCATCAAAGTACAACACTTAATCTTGTTCAATCACAGTCTACATGTTCATATACACCATCAAAGTACAACACTTAATCTTGTTCAATCACAGTCTACATGTTCATATACACCATCAAAGTACAACACTTAATCTTGTTCAATCACAGTCTACATGTTCATATATACCATCAAAGTACAACACTTAATCTTGTTCAATCACAGTCTACATGTTCATATACACCATCAAAGTACAACACTTAATCTTGTTCAATCACAGTCTACATGTTCATATACACCATCAAAGTACAACACTTAATCTTGTTCAATCACAGTCTACTTGTTCATATATACCATCAAAGTACAACACTTAATCTTGTTCAATCACAGTCTACATGTTCATATATACCATCAAAGTACAACACTTAATCTTGTTCAATCACAGTCTACATGTTCATATATACCATCAAAGTACAACACTTAATCTTGTTCAATCACAGTCTACATGTTCATATACACCATCAAAGTACAACACTTAATCTTGTTCAATCACAGTCTACATGTTCATATACACCATCAAAGTACAACACTTAATCTTGTTCAATCACAGTCTACATGTTCATATACACCATCAAAGTACAACACTTAATCTTGTTCAATCACAGTCTACATGTTCATATATACCATCAAAGTACAACACTTAATCTTGTTCAATCACAGTCTACATGTTCATATACACCATCAAAGTACAACACTTAATCTTGTTCAGTCACAGTCTACATGTTCATATACACCATCAAAGTACAACACTTAATCTTGTTCAATCACAGTCTACTTGTTCATATATACCATCAAAGTACAACACTTAATCTTGTTCAATCACAGTCTACATGTTCATATATACCATCAAAGTACAACACTTAATCTTGTTCAATCACAGTCTACATGTTCATATATACCATCAAAGTACAACACTTAATCTTGTTCAATCACAGTCTACATGTTCATATATACCATCAAGTCTACATGTTCATATATACCATCAAAGTACAACACTTAATCTTGTTCAATCACAGTCTACTTGTTCATATACACATGTATACCATCAAAGTATAACACTTAATCTTGTTCAATCACAGTCTACTTGTTCATATATACCATCAAAGTACAACACTTAATCTTGTTCAATCACAGTCTACTTGTTCATATACACATGTATACCATCAAAGTACAACACTTAATCTTGTTCAATCACAGTCTACATGTTCATATATACCATCAAAGTACAACACTTAATCTTGTTCAATCACAGTCTACATGTTCATATATACCATCAAAGTACAACACTTAATCTTGTTCAATCACAGTCTACTTGTTCATATATACCATCAAAGTACAACACTTAATTTTGTTCAATCACAGTCTACATGTTCATATATACCATCAAAGTACAACACTTAATCTTGTTCAATCACAGTCTACATGTTCATATATACCATCAAAGTACAACACTTAATCTTGTTCAATCACAGTCTACATGTTCATATATACCATCAAAGTACAACACTTAATCTTGTTCAATCACAGTCTACATGTTCATATATACCATCAAAGTACAACACTTAATCTTGTTCAATCACAGTCTACATGTTCATATATACCATCAAAGTACAACACTTAATCTTGTTCAATCACAGTCTACTTGTTCATATATACCATCAAAGTACAACACTTAATCTTGTTCAATCACAGTCTACATGTTCATATATACCATCAAAGTACAACACTTAATCTTGTTCAATCACAGTCTACATGTTCATATATACCATCAAAGTACAACACTTAATCTTGTTCAATCACAGTCTACTTGTTCATATACACATGTATACCATCAAAGTATAACACTTAATCTTGTTCAATCACAGTCTACTTGTTCATATACACATGTATACCATCAAAGAGTACAGATGTACACAAGTGTTTCAAGGTCTTAAGAATAATAACAATAAGGGAAAGGCATGCTGTTTTTGTTAAATGATAATATAGATGTATTCAAATATTCTATATACCGGTAGCTAATTTCAGAGTGGCTAATTTTAAGAAAAGTAGTACAGGTAATTAATGGGCAAACAGTGATGTTTCTTATTTTTATGACAACAAACACAACAGATTATTTTGAGATTTTTATTTCCAAGAACACAAACACAACAGACAATGTGTTATCATTGCTGTGTATGTTTTAACATGATAAATTAATGCACATAATTTGAGGTAAATAATTGTTACTACCCAGATATTTTTGTTTACATTCAAAGTATAATAAATTTGGTAGAGTGGACAGGAATAAAAAAAAGCATGGTGATGGTGTGTGAGTGGGGGCTGTAATCAAATGGTAGTCACTTTGTTACTGTTTACTCTAATTAAGTTGTCTTCTTATTGTAATATAAATCAGGTTGTTAGTTTTCTCTTTTGAACTTTTCTCATTTTGCAATCCAAGCTCAGTTTATGGTATGTATTTTTTCTCATTGTTGAAGCCCATACAATGACCTGCAACTGTTTACATCTTTGTTCTTTAGTCTTAATGGATGGTTGTCTCATACATTGTCATAGGCAATCACACTCAATCTCCTAATTTTTATATTTATATTTCTAATTTGTGTCAAATTGTAAATTATATAAAAGCAAATCACATCCACTGTTCTTTACTATAAAATGTTCCTTCAAAACTGTAAATTTGAATTTTGTGAAATCATTAATAGAACTCTTAATCCTACAAAAATAACTACTAGAACTCTTATGCCAGTTTAATATTAAAATGTATACATAGAAACTCCAATCATCTGGGTAGTTCCATTCAGTTAATTTCTTCCAAGGAATATTATATCATCAGCCAAAACTTATAATTTATAAAATTATATTAAAATGTAAAAATTCTTTGAATTTATCAAAAATGAAGAAGTGGACATTGTTATGGATGCAAAGGGTACAATAACAAGCATTCTGTGAGTATTGCATGGCAATACATAGTCCCCTACCGGTTACAAATTCATTGTAATGGAACGAAATTCTAACTTGATCTATAACTTGTCATGGTGTAAACTACATAAAAATATCAAGTCAAAATCTTCAAGCATGACAAAAAAAACTGTTGAAAACTGATTATTTAAGAGAATTTTCTATGTCCAAAGACCATAACTCTGCGCAAAATTATCAGACTGGAACAAAATTTGTCTTTTAAAAAATGAGTTATTTCCCTTTGAACAGAAATCTACTAATTAATAAGTATTTCATCAAGAATTTAGTTCTAGGGAAAGGGCTTTAACTGAACAAAGAGAAAAGCTAATATAAAATCGTCAAAATTGAACTTGACCTGTAACTTGTCATGATAAATTAATAAACCAAATATCAAATCAATATCTTCAAGCACGAAGAAAAAAAGTCTGGAAAACTGATTTGCCGGACTGACAGATGGACAGACAGACAGACGGACGGACGGAGTGCAAACCTAAAGTCCCCTTCGACTTCGTCGGTAGGGGACTAATAATTATAACATCCCTAAGTATTTATTTTTTTAGTGAAGGGGGTGTAAAAAGATAAATAGCACTTACATTGTTCAGCATATCTGTGTGTTACTTTCCCTACTTGCAAAAGGTAACGTTCTAAAATATCTGTCAAAAGTTCTAGTGGTGTTGATTGTGTGGAATTCCAACCCAGATTCTGACAGATTTGTGCAACACACACTTTTAAAACCTGGTAACTGTATTCTCCAGACATGTTACACTCTAAAAGCAAGAGTAAAATAATGATTAAAAGGATAACAGGAATTTCTAGAAATATTGGACAGTACAACAGATCACATCAACCATCCACATTTACTATATTCATAAGCCACACATGTGTATTTTTTTTTTCAATAGGCTAACATATCATATTCATTTTTTAGTATATAAATGTTGACAGTCATCATAGCTATATGCCTAATGTCAAAAGGGTTACTTTCCAACCTAAAAGAGTCAATTCAAACCACCTGATGTTTGGCAGAAAAAGGTCTCTTTGTATGATTTTTCATAATCTTAATATTTTGATGAATTTGATTTCATTTTCCCTAATTTGCATAATATTGAGCTTACTTCTTATGAACCTTTATCTAACTGTAGAACACAAAATAAAATTAAACTTTGATACACTGCTATGCTTTCAATTGTAAATTGTCTGAAATGAAAATATGTTTCTTTTAATTATTCTTAAATTCCTTAATGTTATGTAGGACAATATTCTTTTCTGTGCAACGACCAGAAATTTTTTTAGTTGCCATTTGTGATTATTCTACAGTTTATTGAGACTGAGAATGACCAGTATCCAAATTACATGATTTCCTGCCTTTATTTTAAGACAGAATATCGGCCCCGTTCCCAATGAGAAAAAACCTGAAATTTTCCCAAATGAACCCATAAAATTCCTAATTCAATAAAGTTGTATTGGAAAGGTAATTGATAATTTATATTTCGTACAATTTTTTCAAAAATAGGTTGTCATAATGTTCCCATAGAAAAACACATTGAATATTGACAGATAAAGATCATATTTCGGAAAGCAGTTTTTATAATGGGCAAGCTACATTCTGCATCTGGATGACGTTCAGTGGTTAACACGTATCTTGTAATCAACGGAAGGTCTGAAATGAGATCCATACAAAAATCGGGATAGGTACTGAATCAAAATACTTTTCAACCATGGAAGTGTGAATAAATTTTTGCTGGGGTTTCGATTCAGTATCACCATAGTGTTTTATAACAAAGACTTGATACAGAAGAAAGTTCAGAAGTGATTTGTTTTGTAAAAATAATAGTGTGAACAGAAAAACAGACGTGCTTTAATACTGAAAATTAAAAACAAAGTTCACGATTTTACTAAAATAAATGGGGAATGTGTCCATGGGACACACATGATGCCCCCGCTTGCATATAACGTTATAAAGGTAAAGAATTCTAGAATGGTAAATGGGACACCACCCAAATTTGTACTTGATTTGAGTTTTGTGGTAATAAGCATTGTGTATAAGTTACATAACATTTGGTTGAGGCAAACTAAAGTTATAGAACGAAAAACGAAAAAAAAATAAACAATTTTTCCATTTGTAAAGTGACTCCACCAAAATTCAAACTTGATCTGTGTTTTGTGGTAATAAGCATTGTGTATAAGATTCATAATATTTAGTTGAGGCAAACTTAAGAGAACGGAAACCAATTTTGGGATGTACAGTTGTACAGACGGACAAGGGTAAAACTTAATGCCCCTTTTGCTACGGCGAGGGGCATAAAAAGAATTAAACTGGATTTTTGGGTCTGACTCGTTTGGGCAGACAAACAATTTGGATACCATTATGAGTATTTGCAGAGAGGGCCCTGGAACCCTCACAGATGAGAACCTTGAAAAACTTTTGATATGTTGGAATTGGAACATGATAGAAAATTGGAATTCTATTATGAGGACCAAGACCTCAATAACAGTAGAGAAATCAGTATACCAATGATTTCAAATTTAGATATGATCCAGGTAAACTTATCAATCCTTTAAATAAACTTACTCTAAAAAGTTATGAATTCAACACTGTCATTATATTTTTATTGGTATAAATCTTGATTTTGTTATCAGTAAAATAAACCATACTGAATATTATAGTTATACACATATGCACATTCACAGTTCTACAATCTGTCTATATCTATATTTTGACATTGCACAAGGTCATGTCTCTGACTGTTAATGACGTCTTTACACTAAATCCATGGGATGTTGGATGTGTACTGATTGATATTTTAGTTTTAGAATTTAGATACATGATTTTTTCTATAAGTTGTTATTGGCTTTGAACTACATTTTTACATGTAGCAGTCATTACTGCAAGTGTACTTTCAGATCTGTACTTTTCTTTTTCGTTGTGAGGGATGTATAAATTCCCTGCCTGGGGGCACCTACAGTCTGTGTTTTTGATATATGTTTCTCTGTTTTGAATCGATCTGATGAGTTAAGCCCTTTTCAACTGATTTTTATAGTTTGTTCTTATGTTGTGCCGTTACACCACTGTCCCAGGATAGGGGAGGGTTGGTGCCTTCAAACATGTTTACCCCGCCACATTCTTTGAGCCTGTCCCAAGACAAGAGCCTGTAGTTCAGGGGTTGTTGTTAGTTCATGTCTTTGATATTTGTTTTCGTAAATTGTTTTATTATAAATTAGGCCATTAGTTTTCCCAACTGAATTGTTTCATATTTTTCATGTCAGGGCCTTATATAGCCGCTTATACGGTATGGGTTTTTCTCATTGTTGAAGGCCGTACGGTTGCCTATAATTGCTTACATCCACTTCACTTGAAATTTGGTGGATAGTTGTTTAATTGCCAATCACACATGTACAACATCGCCTTATTCGCCTGTGTTAAAATCTAGGTATATGCATAGGAAAATGTCATGTGATATGACTTACTCAATCCACGCATTGAAACAACAACTATCCCGGAACTCACCTATAGCACCAACATTGGATAAGTTTCTGTTTTTCAGTTACTTTTATACCAGAAATTATGCTGGGAATTTTTTTGCAATAAATGTTTTTATCCTGCACCAACTGTACAACATGCATCATACTTTTGATTTTATGATCTTTTATTGTAAAAAGACATTACCAGCACCAGGCACCTACATGTACCCACACACAAGTATTGAGTACTCACTACTGAGTTTAATTACTACAAAAATGTATATCAAAGAAGAAATGATTATATATATATATATATAAATCTGCTGTAAATGGGAAATTCGTAAAGAATTCTAAAGGTTTGCCGACTTCTTCCCCTTTTCACAGGTAACACCTGTTTCATATATCTGTGTATGCTGTTTTTTATCCATATTACAAGTGCTTTTAATCAGGGTTGGCAATAACCCGGGTTTTCTGAGTATTGCCAATCCCAGTGAAATACTGGGAAAACCCAGATTTACCGGGTAATACTGGTCAATACTGGCCAGAATTTTAAAGAGGATTCAGTGATTAATCACAAATGCAATACATTAAGGATATTCATAAAAATAAAACATATAGTATTTTAATTTATAAGTTAACTTGTTTGAGACTCTTATTATTATTAAGTGTAATATCTGATAAAGTATTGTTCCAACAAATAAGACAAAAAATTCAATTTGATTTTTAAAAATAAATAGAACTATTAACAATCAAATGTAAGGAAAATTTCTTTTAAACAATTTTTGTTCATTGCTAAAAATGTTTACTATTAAAGCAGTATATATATGTACATCACTAATTAATAAGTAATTATTATTTTTCAGATTATAACCATGATAACACAGATTTGTTTATAAAACAATAATCATCCTTTGCATTTCTATAAATGTTCACGACATGTCCCCTTAAGGTGTTTATTTAGTAATATGATTGCATAACAATTAAAATTACAATTCACTTAAACATTGCAATAAAATGCATTTTTTTCAAAGTTTGGATTATTAAAACAAAATAATTTAAAAAGGTACATGTATCCTAAAATTTGCAAAACTTGTATTCTGTCTACATACCTGACATAGAAGTACTTTAAGAATTGGAGAAAAAAATTGAATTTCAATCCTCTAAAAATGACTCTCAATGGTTATGTATAAAATGTATATACTTATAAGCCATAAGACTATGAATCAACACGAAGTCTTTACTATTCTTTGTAAAAATAAAGCTTAAAAATCATATTGCCCAGTATTACCCGTTTCTGGGAGCAGTCTTTACAATAGACTTTTGAATCTAAAGGTTTCAGAGCATTAGAATCGTCTGTTAGGCCTATTCCTTCCTTTTCCATCAATATACAGATGAAAATGTTAAAATTGAAATCATAAAAGCAGTGAAAAATTTTGCTTCCGGTTATAATCGGGGTCAAATATGTTCTTAAAGTTTTAAGTGTAAGTACTGGCGTTAATGTATGTTTCAAACGTTCTAAAGATTCAGAAAAGTCACCGTTGCTTGACGGGAAATACTTGTTTACAGTGGTAACAGGAAGCGGGTACACGTTTTTACAGTTTTACCTGATTTTCACACCTTGATCAAGTATTTGTATCGATTTATATGAACTTATAAATTTTTAAAGAATCAAGAACCTTCAAATATGAACTGATTCGATTAAGATGGAGAAATAACACGGACAAAAATCAAATTCTTGAAAAGAACTTGTTTACACTCGTACACTCAGACTCTATATCTAACTATAACTAAATTGTATTAGTACTCTTAACCTAAAGATGGGATTTTTTGACAAACTCGCAAAATGGCTTGGTTTGAAAAAGAAAGATGCAAATGTTATTGTCGTTGGACTTGACAACAGTGGTAAAACAACGATCATTAATCATCTGAAACCAAAGGAAACAAAATCTCATGACATTGTCCCAACCATTGGTTTCACAGTTGAAAAATTTACAAGTAGTGCTTTGTCAATTACAGCATTCGATATGTCAGGCCAAGGGAGATATAGAAATCTATGGGAGCATTATTACACAGAATGTCAAGGCATTATATTTGTGATAGACAGTAGTGACAAGCTTAGAATGGTTGTAGCAAAAGAAGAATTGGATCAACTTCTAAATCACCCAAAAATTACAAATAGAAGAATTCCGGTTCTTTTCTTTGCCAATAAGATGGATGTACGTGAAGCAATTTCAAGTGTTAAAGTTTCTAGTTTGCTTCAGTTAGAACAAATAGAAAACATGAAGAACAAACCGTGGCATATATGTGCAAGTAATGCTTTAACAGGGGAAGGTCTAATGGAAGGCGTAGAATGGATAAGTGACCAACTTCGGGATATTATTGATGGAAGCAAATGATTAACACTTGTTGATAGCTGTTATTTTAGCAAGTTAAAATATGTACATGTACATTTAGTACATGTTTGAATTGAAAGAAATCTTAAACAAATGATAAATATAAATTGGTGTTTTATACATTTTTTTGGTGAATTCTGGACTTTTGTACTTTTTATGATGGACCAAAATGACAATTAACATTGGAGAAAATATGACACTGTGAAATTTTATTTCAGTGTAAAAGTTATGTAAATTTAGTCATGATTGTAGAACTTTAAAAGAAGAAAAAAAACTGATCTCCACTTAAAGTCAGATGGGCGTTATAAAAACACTAGAGTACATGTATTGTAAACTAAGAAAATGATTATATATATCATTGTGAATAGTTATGTTTATTTAAAAACACCAAAAATATTCAATTTCAAAATTAACCAAAATTGTTCCTACATTTGAATGTAAAATTTAAACATTAATTACATGTACATCTAAGGAAATTCCATTCCAAATCTTTTTAAAATTATTGACTTTCATTATTCAATAATATGACACTACATGTACTTACCTGTAGCTCAATCATACATTGTATTTTACAGTATTTATAATAAAAATAAGAAAAGAGGATCTCTGTTTTTGAATATTGAGAAATCCATATTTTTTCAGTAATTCAAAATGCAGATGGATGCTTAAGATCATTAAAAAAATAAAATTGTACATGTATGTTATTGGAGTTATATATTTCCTGGAAATTGATTTATAGTAAACAGCATCTTATGCTCTGAACAGAAATAACATGAACAGAAGTATTTGGTTGGCATACATGTATTTACTGGACAGGAAAACCTACTGATCTGTTTGATGAAGTAATGTATTCTTGAAATTAATATTTATCTTGTTTATATGATCTTATTATGTACATTTGTACATGTGCATGCACACCTTTTTAATATTGTAAATTGTCAGTACATTTCAGTTGATAAAAAAATAACACTTACACTGATTATACATTTTTTTTCTTATATACATGTACTGTAGAGTATATAATTATTTTACATTGAAATTTGACAAAAATATATCAAATTAACGACTTTGTTTTCAATTTTAGAACTTTTTGTAAAGCAAGAACTGTATCCTAGGTACATGTAGGTTAAACTTTATCCCTGCCTATACATTTAGGCTATACATTGTTTTTGTAGCTATACAAACCTTGCAAAAAGTGCATATGGTGATGACTCAGATGTACATTTACAATTTTTTTTCACATAAGCTATAATGCCTTGTAATTGCCTAATCACCTACATGTACATATAAAAATGAAAAGATGGGGTATGATTGCCAATGAGACAACTCTCCACAAGAGACCAAATGACATAGAAGTTAACAACTAAAGGTCACTGTAATGCCTTCAACAATGAGCAAAAGGCATACCGCATAGTCAGCTATAAAAGGCCCCTAAATGACAAATGTAAAACAATTCAAACGAGAAAACTAACAGCCTGATTTACACACAAAATAATGAACAGCTGGGACAGGCACAGGGGTGGCAGGGTTAAACTAGTTTGAAGGTGCCAACCTTCCCCTAACCTGGGACAGTGGTGTAACAGTACAACATACATGTTGACATAAGACTTGTATATTTTACAGTCTGATTTTTACCATTAATGTGAAGTCAAAATAATGTCAAATCCAGGACAATCAACTATGCTTGAAAAGCAGGAAAACAGTTTGTCCTATAAATCAGGAGTTGTTTCCCATGGCCAAAATTCTAAAATTGGAAGCAAAGTTGGTAATTTGAAAATGAACTATTAAATAAGATGTTTTGTCAAATTTTGACCTTGATGGAGAATTAGCCTACATGTACATCATAACATGTACATATCAATCAGTCACAGAGAATAATGAAAACTGATGTTAAAAAGAAACAAATTGGTCCAATATCATGAACATTACTAATTTATGTGCATATGAATTGAAGAACTAGTGTTAAACATTTCAATAGAAAAGAACCTTTTAAAATATATGTTTAAAAAAATGTGGGCTTGAAGTCAATATCAACAAAAGAAATGTTTCATATGCAAACTCTGAATCTGTGTAGTCTAGACAAGATGTGATTAAATATAACAGACAATTCAAATGAACTGCCCTCAATCAGTCAGAGGTAACACTTCTACAAGTTGTTTTTATTTACCAGTACAGGTTAATACAGTAGTAATAAATTTGGAGGTAGAGTTACCTCCCTTAGTCATTCAGATTTTTTTTTTTACTTACATGTACAATGAATTGCAATATGAAAGTAAAGTAATACTTTCTTCTTTCTTGTATTTCTCTTGACATCATTGCTCTAATAGGGTACAACTTTTAATTGTCTGTCTTTAATAGGACCATTAAAATATCATTTGTATGTTCATTTCAAAGTACACAAATGTACTACCCATTTACAAGTCTCCAGGAGGCCTTGCACAGTTACTTAACATCTGTGTGCAGCAGATTTCTTTGTTTAAATCTTGAAATAAAATGATGAACTCTAATTACAAATTGTTGAGCAAATCAGAAAAAAGTTTCCAGAGCAAGGGCAACCAAATCAGAAAATTGCTCAACACATAATTCTAAAAGGTATTAGTTTGGATACCTCTCCCAAAATTGAAAATATCAGGGGTTGTAAAAAGAAATTACTTGAATAAGTTAATTTTTTGGGGAAGCATAAGGGGGATTATTCGAAACCTTGAAAATTAAAATCTGGCAAATTTACTTATACATGTACTAGTAAATATTACTTGCATCTTCAAGACTTTGAAAAAGTATTACCCCTGACTGTCAAAAACAAATTCTCAAAAGACAAAAATACTAAGATATAACTAAAAACAACCACTGAAGAGGTAACTGATATGGGACAGACACATTAACATTTGGTGTTAGTCTAATGAGTATATTAAATAATGTACATTTAAGAATGTGAAAATGTCCTTTTTATCATGATTAATGATTAACATGTGTATTAACAGTCAATACATTTGTTCAAAGTAGGTGGACTTGAGAGTAAAGTAGTTGGTGGAAAACTTTTGAAATCCCTTATCATACATGTATAAAGTTTGCTTCAATGAAGTTGAAGAGAAATTAGATAACCTGTTGAGTCAGACATTGATAGACATGCAGCCATACAATTTTTATGCAGACAAATGCCTTGGAAAGAATGACCTTTTACTGTATGTGTAAGTCAAATGACCATATTTCATGGTTCTGATTGGCTTTGATTATTTTTTTTTTAACTTTATAAAAATAACAAATATGATTTGCCTCGGTTTATAATTTGAACACCACGAATACATATAAAAATAAGAAGATGTGGTATGATTGTCAATGAGACAACTCTCCACCAGAGACCAAATGATGTAGAAGTTAACAATTATAGGTCACTGTAAGGCCTTCAACAATGAACAAAAAACCATTTGTTACTTTTTAACTTTTTAATTTAAACATGACATACAATGTACATAGGTGTACTTGTATAAAACCTATTATTGCAGTATTATACAAAGAAATTCTGGAACAAGATTTGTCTTTATTTTACATCCAAGTTAGTTCTCCAAGCAAGTGACCTATAATCATATAAGTTGGTGAAAAGATTAAGCTCTGCAGATTATGACAGCCTCCCACAAAAACCATGTCACCCTAGTTTTCCTCCAACAAAGTATGCTGAAAATTGATTTTAGTTTTACACTCCAGGTCACATAAGAGATTTTGAAATGTATGATCTTCAATCATACAAATGTGGCTAGAGGATAGTATACATTTTTATTGAAATTTCATTTTCAAAAGGGCCAGTGGGAGCTCTTGTCTTCACTTGGCATTTATAGTGCGTCTGCTGTCCATTAACTTTTACAAAAATCTTCTCCTCTGAAACTACTGAACCAAATAATAGAATCTAACTTTACTACAATTATCCTTGGGGTATCTAGTTTTAAAAAAAAATGTGAATGATGATTCCAGCTGCCAACTAACAAGGCAAACTAGAACATTGGGGGAAAATGCAAGTATTACTCAATAACTTTTAGACCATGATATTCATAATGAAATAAGACTAGGACAGAAATGTTCAGAATATAAAGATTAAGTGTTTTTTGCAGAAACTATAAAAGTTTAAAGAGAAATGGAAACAGCAAAAATGATCAGGACAAGTTGTACAAAAAAAGTCAACATGACTGAAATTGTCAGTTGACTCCTTTTCGGAGGTATTTTGACTTTTACCTATATTTGTGTGTTTTTTTTCAAGTACTATAGTAGATACGTTTAAGGAACAGTAAACATAAAAAAAGACCAGCATGATGAGATCTTCTAGTTAAGTCAACATGGACGAAATTATCAGTTCACTTCTTTTAGGAGTTATTGCCCTTGGAAGATGATTTTTTTCTCGCCTGCGAGACATTATAGGGATTACAATCTGGCAGCAGGGTAAACTATTGGTATGAAGCTTTATATTACAGCAGGTAGAAGACCTGGATGCTTCAAACCTTTTTATGCAGATACACATGTACCTTGATTAACGAAGTTTTCATCTATCATATGCCCTTTGTCCTTGACCACATTTTCATGGTTCAATGACTGGCTTGAAAAAAAATTATAATTTTTTTGTCATGTGAAATAATCACCCAACAATGAGTAACAGGATAACTGTTTTTGGTAACATGGCTTTCTTGCAAGGTCTACATGTCTGTAAGACTGGGTTTACCTGACCTCAACCTCATTTTATGGATCAGTGATCAAGGTTAAGTTGATGTGGTCAAGTCTGTATCTCAGATACTAAAAGCAATATGTCAACTTTATTATTTGGTGAATATAATGATTGTGTACATGTCCGATTGGCAGGTTTCATCTGACGTTGACCTCATTTTTATGGTTCAATGAACAATGTTTAGTTTTTGTTGTTTTGTCAATTTATTAGATACTGTATGCAATATGGCCTCTATATTTGGTGTTTGAAATAATTGTAAGGTGCACATGTCAGACTGGCAGATTTCATCTGCCCTTGACCTCATTTTCATGGTTCATTGGACAATGTAAATTTTTCATGATTTTGTCAGTTAATCAGATATCGTAAGTAATAGGTCAATTATAATTGATGTATGGAATGATTATAAGGTGTATGTGTCTGTCTGGCAGGGTTCATATGACCTTGACCTCATTTTGATGGTTCATTAATCAATGATAAGTTCTTGTGGTTTGGTCTGTTTTCTAGGTACTTTAAGCAATAGGATCACTATATTGGGTGTATGGAATGATTGTAAGGTGTATATGTCTGTCTGGCAGGGTTCCTCTGACCTTGACCTCATTTCCGTGGATCATTGAAAATGTTAAGTTTATGGGATACTTGTAGTAAAACCATATTCCAGAACTTTCAACATAAATTCAATCAAAGTAAAGCATGTGAGACATTTCAGCGATTGCACTCTTGTTATTAATTTTCTTGGTCAGAAATATTCTTATTGCTATGTAAAAAATGCCAGGTGATTATTAATATACAATTCAAATTCTGTAATTTTTTATTTGCGACAAAAGGAATACGAGACATAGTGATTACAATCCGGTGTCAGGGGTGGCATAAACTATTTGTATAAAGCTCTATATTTCAGAAGATGAAAAATGCGCTCCCCCTGGAGCAGCTGGATACAACCACAGTGGTTGAACTCTGAACAGTTGTGGCAAGTATGGACGCAATATTCAAGCTTGATATAGCTCTGAATTTGGATAGTGATTAAATATTTGACACATTATAGATTTCTGACACAGAATAAATGTGGTCAGATAACTTAAGATTTTGAAATGGGACATTCAATCTACTTAATGGTCCAATCCAAAATCTAATTCCATGGTTAGATTCAGCATATAAAAAAAAACCATGAATTCAAACAAAGTTTTATTTTGGACCCTTTGGACCTCAATATAGACCTATTTAAATATGTCCAAATATCCAATATAGTAATACATGGTAAAATCCTCAAACAATTCAAGACTTTAAATTAATCCTCATTGAAATTGGTTAAAAGATTTGTATTTATTTTCAATTGAAGATTTCTTGCTGTTGTGCTGTTCTTTGATTTTGTGCAATACTTAGTAAATCTGTTTACAAACTAAATATAATAATTTACACACCCTGTTTGGTGTGTATCTCCTGCCATATCAGTATTTGTTGTTTCTTTATAAAGATCAGAAATAATTTATGTTAGAACCAGCTTAGCCATTATTAGTAAAGTCTTGTTTTTGGCCCCTATTTGGCCTCTAGTGTCTTATTAAAGCCACAACCCACAAAATCGACCCCAACCTTCTGTGTGTAGTATGAAACCTTGTGGTACAATTTCATAGAGATCCATTGACTAATACTTAAGTATTTGTCAGGAAACCAGAAAAACCTTGTTCCTTCCCCCCCTTTTTTTGCCCCTTATTCCTGAATGGTTTGAGCCATAACCCCTAAAGTCAAACCCAACCTTCCCTTTGTGGTATGGAACCTTGTGTTTCAATTTCATAAAGATCCATAGACCAATACTAAAGTAATTGTTCATTGACCAGAAAAACCTTGTTTTTCCCCCTTTTTTGACCTATTCCTGAACGGTTTGGGCCATAACCCCAAAAGTCAATCCCAACCTTCCCTTTGTGGTATGGAACCTTGTGGTACAATTTCATAGAGATCCATATACTTATACACACGTTATTGTCCGGAAACTAGAAAAATGCCTTTTTTGGCCCCTTTTTGACCCCTAATTCCTAAACAGTTGGGACCATAACCCCTAAAATCAATCCCAACCTTCCTTTTGTTCTATTGAACATTGTGATTACATTTCATAAAGATCTATTCACTTATACTAAAGGTATTGTCTGGAAACCAAATGTCTTCAGGCGACTAGGACGACATGATAGCAATATACGAACGCAAATCTTTTGCGGTCGTATAAAAACCTGGATGCTTCATACCTTGTATGCAGATGTCTTTTGTTATGAAGTTTCCGTCTGTCTTATGACCATTGTCCTTGACCTCATTTTCATGGTTCAGTGACTACTTGAAAAAAAGAATTGAGCTTTTTTCTCAAGTAAAATATTGACTTATTATATGTCATAGAATAACTATATTTGATATATTGCTTCCTTTCACGGTCTTCATGTCCAACAGACAGGTATTCACCTAACCTCCACCTCATTTCATGGATCAGTGGTCAAGGTTAAATTTTCATGGTCTAGTCCGATCTCAGCTACTATAAGCAATAGGTCAATTATATTTGGAGTGTGGAATGATTGTAAGGTGTACATGGCAGCCTGGTAGATTTTATCTCTCCTTTACCTCATTTTCAAAGTTCATTGGTCAAAGGGAAGTTTTTTGTGGTTTGGTGTGTTTCTCAGTACTTTGCGTCTTTTGTTATTTGTTTATGTGCAACAATATTTGGTATATATAGAATGACTGTTAGAGTATGTCTGTATCACAGGGTTCAATCTGACAGTGACCTTATTTTCATGGATAAGCTTTTATTTTAGGGACAGTATCTCAGTCACATCCATCAGATATGAAGTAAATGTAAGCAATTATAGGCAACCATATATTTGGTTAAGAATGACTGTAAGGGATACATATCTTCATGAGTGATCTGACCTAGTCCTCAATATAATGGTTTAGTGGTCAATGTTAAGTTTTTTGTGATTAAGGTCAGTTTATAAGATTCTTTTAGTAATAGGTAAAAAATATGGTTTCTTGAATAATTGCAAGATGTAAATGTTCCTCAGACAGGTTTCTTGACTGTCTCGGTTCATTGATCAAACAATTTTTCGTGGTTGCAACATTTGCTAAGTAACAAGTATAGGTCAACTCTATTTTATGTATTGAATGACTTACAAGTGTAGAAGTCTGTTTGACAGGGTAAATCTTACCTTGACCTCATTTCATGGTTCATTTATAAACGTTATGTTTTTTGTGGTTTTAAACATATTTTAACTATAATTTATAGGTCAACTGTACCTTTTGTAAACTTTCATGAATATAATGTTAAGTTTTTATACTGTAATGGTGTATCAATACTATTTTACCAATGAATTTCTATTTATTGATTAGGCCACGATGAGTGATTGGCCAAAGTAGTTCATCTACTGTATTACTAGCCTGTCAACACTGAGGTTGTGAGTTGGAAACCCTGCACTTCGCAGGTGTGTTCAACTCTCATCTTAATTGACAGGTTTGTCAGTTGTTTGCCAAAGAACAGTGGTTCTCTCTGGATTCCTCCACCAATAAAAAATGACTGCCAACAATCAATCAATCAATCTGTTTACCCAGTATTATGAAATGCAGATGTTGGTCATGATGAGCTATACAGTTATTTCAATACCTTTTGATGTGCACTATTTTTAATTTTTCAAAAAATAATAAAATGTAAAAAAGAAATACAGATCCTAAGATCAACATTTCTAATAATGTGTTTCAATAAAACCTACCCTACCATACTTCAGTCACTGATAGTATAACATTTGTCCATTACTTGCTGATAGGGGTATAAAAATTAGATCTAGAGATTTTGAATCATTTATTCCTTTATTTGACTGATGCATCTGTAAATACTACTATATTGCACTTTCTAATGATAAAATGTCTCAACAAAAACAAGCTGACAAACAACAAAATATCACATTCTAGTAAAACCTTCCTATTATGTTCTCATATATATAACATTAACCTACAGTATTCATTTTTGACTAGTGAACAGACATGCAACTATTTTGATGAAATCATGAGCAATATTTCATAGTGTTCTTACAAATGGTATATAAATGTACAGTGAAATATTCTGCGATACAGATTCATGAATATAACTGACAGTCATTCTTAGCTTATAACTTATTAGTAGAATGAATAAAAAAAAACTACACACAAACACTGTAATAAGGTAGATCATCTGTCTGACATAACAGCATATGTATTATAAGGGAGGATTTCAGAATGACAAATTGCTGAACATGGGTATCATAATATGCCCTTACCACTGAGTGGCAACTACATAAAAATTACGCCTTTTTGTCCATTCTTAAAAAATCACAACAATAAATGCATTCAATAATTTCTGATTTATCAGTGCCAGTGAGAACCTGTTCGAAATAAGTCAGTTTTGTAGTTTTCATGAATGGTACTGAGTTAGAGCAAATTGTTTTGTCATGTTTAAATGAATTATTGATTTCCAGCAAACTTCTTGTGAACTTCTTAAGAATATAAACAGTTAGGTTTTCAATAATTTCAGGGACCCAAGAAGTTGCCTTCTACATTTTTAACCTTCTCCCCAATGAATTACATTTTAAATAATTAAATGGTTTCAACATTGTTTAATCTTATTTAAATCTTATTAAAGTTTATCTGTCTGATAACTTATGCTTGCTTCTTTATAACAATGTTTGCATTATTTGACCAGCAGATAATATTAGGACTGAAAATCTGCCAATATATATGGCATGCATATATATTGTTTTGCAATAAATAGAAAATTCTACACTCATTTGGAGTAAAAAACAGTAAAATTTGAATAGCAAATAGAGTAAATAAAAAACATTATAAACAATGTATCATCAATAACAGTTATTAAATAAAATAATTAAAAAAACTTAATATATATAAAGCATAAAAAACAATATAAAATCACAAAAATTGCTATAAATCTGAGATCTACAGTTTTGACAATGTACACCTGAAACAGTTCATGTTAATCTAACATGTGTTTTACAATGTATAGTACACAAAGATACGTTTTGTATGATTTGATTCTTTATTTGAGTTTTATGTAGACAATAACAAATAGAGATGATTTTGTAAAATGATAGGTTTTGTATATTAATCCAATATAATTCAAAATAAAAAAAATAGTCAAAGCATGATGGATGCTGCGACTTGATCACAAAAATCAGCATATCCATTTATGTAAATTATTTTAGTTAAATCATTCCTTTAAAATTGTTTTATGCAAAGCAGTTGTTGGAAGCTCTCTTTTCAGATATTGAAAGGGATATACATGAGACTTGGTTAGAAAGTGTCTTACTTTAATAGATTGTATTCTAGACTAGAATTTCTAGTAGAACTTTATAATTTAAATGACAAAAAAATAACAGTTAAATAAAGTTTTAAATGTCAACTGTTCATAATTTTGGATAACTGAGATTTCTTTAAATGGGAAATCAACTTTTATATCAATACATAGCTTGTACTTAATTTATACACACAGAGAGTTTGTGTAAGATCAGTGTTCCAGCTAGGTCGTTTTCACAGGGCAGTCCGCCCGCCCTTTCCAGAGTGCCGCCCTGTGCCCTTTTTAGACGCCCTGCCCTTTTTCGTAAGTCCATGCCTTTATAGCCGTAATATTTTGATGAAAATACAATTATTCTACCTGTCTTCATATTTATGGCAAGTTTATGCCCCACAGCTAATTTACATTTACAGCAGGTGTAATAAGTTGTGATTACAGATAATCCACTCATCGACATCGGATGGGTCATTAATCCGTTTATTAAACTTCATAATTGACCATTGTAATAATTTTTCTCATTAAATTCGGTCAGTCAGCATTTCAATTTCAATATTTGTCAAAAGATGACAATTTGCGTTTGATGTATCCGTAGATCGTTTGTTGTTATGTCAAAGATTTTTTTTTTTAAATTGATCTTTTAAACTAGTTTTAATCCAGAAGAAAGTAAAAGCAATGCTTGACTGTACCTTTCATTGAATATCTATATCCAAATTAAATTAATAAAAGCTGTAATCCATGATCACAAATTGACTGCTTTGTTTACATTTGTTGAAAGCCATGTGCTTTTTGGCGGGAAAATTCGGAAAACCCCTTTAACAAAAAACAGTTACATTTCATTGTTATTTATAGACAGTAAAGATGTGTCGTCAAAATACATACTGAATAGCATAACTATGTGCAAAGGGACATAACTCTGTGATTTACCAAATGGGCTACAATGCCCCACTTATATGCGCATCTTCATGTTAGGACATTTTCTAAATTCAGGGAGCATAATTACAGAAATATCAAAAGGAGGAAAAATACCTTAATGCTGCATAGTTGAAAAAAACCATAATCTGTAATTTTACCAAAGAATTCATAAGAAAGTTTGGACAGACTTTATTTTTTGGTATATAAATTAATTTTATCTGTGAACAACAAATTTTTAAAAATAAGAGAAATTTTCAAATTGTTCTGTTATAAGAGTAACGTGTCTGTAGATACAGACAACACATCTATACCATATTGCAAGATATGATTCTAACTTTTATCATGCCTTATAAAAACACATTTGAAAAATAATTGTACTTTCTATTTCAACTGAAAGGGAGAGGTTTCAATTTTAAAGGAATTATTTAACTAAAATAATTTACATATATGGATATGCTGCTTTTTGTGATCAAGTCGCAGCATCCATCATGCTTTGACTATTTTTTTTATTTTGAGGTATTACAAAATCAGGTGATTTTTAAGTAAAGATAATTGTTATGTAAATGCACAGCTTAGACTGTAAGATCTTTGGAATATTATGAATAACCACAGATTTACTGTTGAAAGAAAGAAAAATCAAACTTACCAACTATCTGTAAAAAATATAATAAAATTACAAAATTTTCACACATATTTATGCGTTGGAAATATTGAGCCCATGCAAGAACCACCAAACTGGTAAGGTGTTGTTCATATTGACCAACATTGTGGTAAATTATTTAGATGGAATTTGCATGTGCTCTATAATTGACCAAAACTATGTATTTTCACGAAAACCTGTAAAGGGCCTTTTCCAGGACATCAGAACTGCATTTAATGTGAGATCATGGATCGAAAAAATATCTATTTTTAAATTTGTATTACCTCAACATTTTAAACAGACAAAAATGAAAATCTGAATTAAAAAATTCAAATTTCAGTAAAAATTTAAACCCAAATAAGGCCCTTACTGCACCCAGTCATTTAACCTGATAACAAACAACATGTAAAACTTAAATAAAATAATCATGAACATTTCATAGCATGCATATATCAAGATACAATTGACTAGGAATGTATTTTAAAAAAATTATCTCAAGTAAAATTAACAAGTCATTTTTTAGATTCCGCAGTAATATTTACAGACATAAAAATCAACAAAATACATTTTTTTCTTTACAGTCCATTTCAACTCTTCACTAGAATCCTAAAACTAAAAGAGATGGCAAGTCATACTGAAATGGCTAGTCTGAAAAACTGACTTGCTACAATTTTTAATCATCAATTATTTGTGAAATGAGTTGTTTATTCAAGTCCCAATTTCCAATTTGGTCATATAATAAATTGGGTGTATGAAAACAAAAGGATCTTATTTTCTGTACAACAGCTGATTTGCAATTTTCAAAGATAATAATTTCTTTATAATAGACATCGACCATTATGATGTATGACCAACTTAGACAATTTGAAAACCAATGTTAAGTTTGAATTTTAACTGCTGAAAGAAAAGCAGAATTAAACACTTCAGAATTAGGGTATCAGAACGAAATGTATTATATACATTTGTAACTGTCTGCAGAGTTTAATGGTAAGCACACTACAGAAATTTTTATAGTATGTTTGTGGTTGTCGTTTTTTGGTGTGGTTCATAAGTGTTTCTCGTTTTTTATATAGATTAGACTGTTGGTTTTCCTGTTTGAATTGTTTTACACTAGTCATTTTGGGGCCCTTTATAGCTTGCTGTTTGGTGTGAGTCAAGGCTCCGTGTTGCAGGCCGTACTTTGACCTTTAATTGTTAACTTTTTATACATTGTGACTTAGATGGAGAATTGTCTCATTGGCACTCATACCACATCTTCTTATTTTTATCGTTAGTCAAAAATAAATAAATAATGGTTATATGACTCTGGAACCATTTTACTGTCATGTGTACATAAGTGAATTTATTAGTTAAACACAATAAATGTTTAACTTAACATTCTGATTAAACACAATAAATGTTTAACTTAACATTCTGATCAAACACAATAAATGTTTAACTTAACAAACTAATATCACTATACTTGAAGACTAAGTTCCAAACATTACACTACAGTACATAACACTATAAATTATTTTATAATGAAATCAACATGCATAAAAAAAAAACTCATAAGGAGATCTTGATCCTTAATATAAAGTTTACACTTTAAGTGATTATGATATATCAAAACTTTTGTATAATGAACACATCTTACTTTTTCTTACTAGTTGGCTGATTATGAGTATCTCTTGGCATTCTAAACAATTAAACACATATAGTTCTATACTACACTTTGTGAAAAATTTACAAAAATGGTGGGATTTCATGGAAATGTATTGCAGCAGAGTATTGGTCAGCACCAATGCCAACTGACCAATCAAATTATTCTGTGTTTTAGAAAATAGTTCACTCTAGTTCAAACCTACCAAATGCCACGAAAGAGATTTTAATCACAAGAGGCATTAACTCCTGTAAGGAGTGAACTGACAGTTTCTGCCATGTTTCCTTATATGAAGAACTTACTTTGCAGGCCATTCTCTCTATCTATGGTTTTTACTGAAAATTTAAAGGTATATATACCTAAACCTGCTTATAATTTTTACCCATTGTCAATTTTGCTTCAACTGCTTTAGTTTTTGAGATATAAGGCAAAAACTGCAGTTTTAAACTTATGTTCTATTTTTAGCAACAGCATCCATGTTTGTTAATGGATTTAATCCCAGGATACAACTTTAAACTAGATTTCGTAAGGATCATTTAGGAAAAATTTGATAACATTTGGTTTAGTAGTTTCAGAGAAGAACACTTTTTTTAAGTTTAAAAAGATGACAGATGTCTAGTGATGACAATCACTCACATGCATGGCTCTTTGTCCAAGGAGAAATAAAAATGGTCTATGAACTTTTCATCTAGAAACTTTAAAATTCAGAACATATTAGACAATAACATATCATAAATCTCGAGTATGAGATTTAAGTTTGACTACAATGTAATTTAAAATGTATTTTGCAGTCAATAACCATGTGCAAAAAACAGTTAAACTATTGTGACAAGTGTTACTAGAATCACTGACCTCAGGATTCTAAATACTTTCAACTTTATTTAAAAATTAATCAGAAAAACAATCATGTGTATAAAAATGACAAGATTCAATACAGAATCAAACTTTTTGGAAAATAAAAATGTTTTAACATACTAAATGGCACATGATTTATATTAGTCAATTAAATTTGACGATTAAGATGATGTCAGACCTTTTAAATAGCAGATTTTTTGTAAGTTTTTCTTAGAGTCTGTATAAAACAGAGTTATAAGTATTAGCCATGTTTAATTTTCATTACACATATTTTATAACTTCAGCATCTAAAGGACTTCAAAGATATTACAATTCTTTGTTTGTACGCCAGAATGAAATGTGTTACACCATTGGTTTTATCTGTAGTTAAAATTATTTTTAACTGATCAGAAAATTTGCTGTATTGAGTATTAAGATAACAAGAGTTCACACTTCTTCTTTTGATCAAGGTGTAAAAACAGTTGATTAAAGATGTGTTCTTTTTTTCAAAGTGTCTTTCATAATTATCATGTATACTTAAATGGAACAGCCCACACTTCTTTCGATACTTTTTCTACATGCTGCCTTTTTAATCAATGCTTGACAAATTCATACAAAATGATAATAAAAGAGTTCTTCATTAAATAATATATATAATATATCTAGTTGTATCTATTTCCTTGTATATATATGATATCTGTATAAAATTACAGGTAACATGCCTTAAATAGCTGATTAACTAGACACAATAGACAGTCTAGTATACTTAATTTTAGATGGTGTTTTTGCATATTATTAACAAATAATTACAGAATAAATTAATTGGTCAGTCAGTGTTCACATATCAAAACAAAATCTACATGTCTCCAAATATTCCTGCAAATGTTTTTCTAAGGTTCTTCATGGTATCCTCTCCTTCTGGGTAATCTGTTGATTTGCCTAAAGTAGGTGCTCCAACACCAATCGGTGGGGGACGTGCTCCTGGTGGTCCTCTGAAAAAAAAATCAGTTTATATAGAATAAAGAACGGGGCATAGATATTGTTGAAAACAAAAGAATAAAAGGTAAAATACAAATGAACAAGAGGCTCACCTGAGCCTGTATAGCTCACCTAGTGAAAGAGTCAGTTTATGTAAAATATAATGAAAAATACATTTTATCTGATTTTTATTAGATTAAATGTGTATTCAAAGACAATAAACTGTTATCACAGAGATATGTCTCGACTTTTTGTAATTTTGATAATGCAAATGTTGAATTATAATAGCAATACTTTAACATGTAAGTTATGCAAATATTCAAAGTCGATGAACCATGACTGAAGGTACATGGCTAAACAATCTCCATGGAATGAGATGTGCCAATGTTAATACAACTGCATACCAAATACCATTGACTTATTATAAGTCGTTCCCTTTAAACAAACCTAAACACAAACATTAACTGGTAAACTATGTAAAAGTTTCAAAGTCAATGAACCATGATCAGGGATGGGGCTATATAATCTCCATGGAAACGATACTTTCAAATGCCAATAAATTTGCATACCAAATATCATTGACTTTATATTAGCAGTTCATCTTAAACTGATCTAATCACAAACTAATACATGTAAACTAAGCAAAAGTTTCAAAGTAAATAGACCATGACTGAGGGGGCGGGGCCAAATATTCTCCATGGAAATGAGATGTGCTAATCAAGGATCCGGAAATTTTTCCACACAATTTCGGTCATTTTGAGATGATTGAAAAGTTGGTGCCCCTTTCCAAATTGTCGATGTCAACTTGACTAGATTCATAGCATCAGCCATCAACGAACTTGTATTGCTGTTTCATCGCATTTACTAAGTAAATGTCTTACCATTACCATGAAGAACAGTTTAGGGAAGGCAATAGTTTAAAACTGAAATGATTTTAATGACTCAAAATGGTAAATCTCTCAGACATTGTCTCCTGCTTACGTTTCTTTCGATTTGACAAAAGTTAAAACCGGAGGTTTGCGATAAAGTTAAAGTACGAATAATTCTGATTCATTTCCGGGATTTGTTTTGTTTATCAAATTGACAGGAAATCACCGGCTTTTTATGGCTTTTTTATTTTATTACCTTTACAAGTGTTTGAATGTAACAGACAATAGTTGCACTCGTTTAATTTAGCATGAAATCAATTTGCATTTTACGATTAAATATTAAATTTGCTGAAGGCAATTTCATGCATGCGTATTAAATAGTAAATAAAGCACATGAAAAAATACTTTTTTCTCCGTAAATTTAGGTTAATTTTTAAATCAGATTTGATGATTGTCTTTGCTGAAAAGTAATTAAATAATGAATACACTTGTCAGGGAATTTCAATTTTTGTTAAGATATCATTCTGAGCTTGTGATCACTGTCAGGTGTGAATTAAAACCACAGGTAAAAAGTGATTAGCGATCATTAGCCAATGTTTCCCGGAGGCATTGATATAGATATTAGGAGGGCCCTCAGGATTATCAATCTACTGGAGTGGCAGTTTTATTACAGGAAAGGGATTATAAACAAAAACAAGTGATCACAACTTACACAAGACAGTGCAAAATGGCGATTAAGAAATCCGATTTCAAACATTGAGTCAATGAAATGACCGAAATTGCTTCTTTAAAAATATAAAATTTGTCCTAAATCCCAATTACTCGTTTAGGACAAATAGTTTCATCTTAGGACATGACTGGCATATATGACCGTTTCCGGACCCTTGGTGCTAATGCCTATACACTGAACACCAATTAACATTAGCCAACCACTAATGGTTCCCCTTGAACTGACCTAATTACAAACTAATACATGTTAACTTAGCAAAATTTTCAAGGTCTATAGACTATGACTAAGGGGGCGGAGCAATATAATCTCCATGGAAATGAGATATGCCAATGCTTATACAACTGCATACCAAATATCATTGACCTACCACTAGTGGTTCCCCATAAATTGACCTAATCACAAACTAATACATGTAAACTATGAAAAGTTTCAAAGTCAATAGACCTTGACTGAGGGGGAGGGGCCAAATAATCTCCATGGTAATGAGATGTGCCAATGCTAATACAACTGCATACCAAATATCATTGACCTACCACTAGTGGTTCACCATGAACCAAAACTTATCACAAACTAATACATTGTTGACGCCGCTGCCGCCGGAAACAGAATACCTATATCTCGCTTTTTGACTCCGTCAAGGCGAGACAAAAATCAATAAAAAAGTCAGTTTTCTGATATTCCACTTACATGATCTATAAAGTAAAATCACAAAAATACTGAACTCCGAGGAAAATTCAAAAAGGAAAGTCCCCAATCAAACGTCAAAATCAAAAAAACAAACACATCAAACGAATGGATAACAACTGTCATATTCTATATTTTTACAGGGAGAAATATGCAGTTGTGTACATTGTGTTATGAAATAAGCATATGTTTTAGGAATTTAATATCTGTTCATAATAGTACTATGGTTATCTCTACTAGAATTTACAGTGCTATTTTGTTATTCTGGATGTGACAGTATATATATCAGCTACACTAAAATACAAACCCATCTGTTCTATTCTGTGATTGTTGTTGCCTTTGTTGCTGTGGATGTTGTGGTCTCTGATTCATGGCTGCACCATGTTGAACTGGATGACCATGGACTGAGCTTTGTTGTTGTGTTTGGCTTGTTTGACGCTGCATCTGAGCAGATGGCTGATGTTGTTGACCTTGAACATTGCCTTGTTGACTTTGTTGTCTTGGTATTGGCTGCCCTTGCTGTGGCCTTGGTTGACCATGACTTTGTGGTGGATTTGGTTGACCTTGCTGAGAGGGTTGTGGGGGCCTTGCTGGTGGGTTGACTGGTTCGTTCTTAGAACCATTCATTCCATAATGTAAACTTATCGTCCGACTGAAATGTAGACAAATACTGTTATTATTGATGGCAGATTATTTACCAGGATTTGTCTATTTTTAAAAGATTACTAAAACGTAAGCAAAGAAAACAAATGCTACCAATTTTCCACATAGGCTTCATAAAAGTTTGTTACAAAAAAGAAATTTCTTTAGCATGGAGTGGCTTTTGGTCTAAGAAATGAAATTGAATAGACTAATTAAGATTTATTCTGAATTTATCAAGGGACATAACTCCTGATGTAACAGTATTTTAAAAATTAAACAAGAATACTATGTGTACTTTAACATCATTTAAAATGGTGACAACTAAATCATGAATCAATGTCCTACTATAATTTTAAACAGTAATTTTGGAATCTGTTATATGTCCTTGCATATTATTGATCAATTTCAATGTTGATACCACACTTACTTTAGTGTCCAACTAAATAAGTTGTCCTACCAAATTAGATTGTCACCAGGTTTGTACTTACATGAGCATCATGACAGGTGCCACATGTGGAGCAGGATTTGCTTTCCCTTCTGGAGCACCTGAGATCACCTACTATTCGTGATGTGGTTGGTGTTGCTCAGTCTTTAGTTTTCTATGATGTGTTATGTGTACTGTTATTTGTCTATCGTCGTTTTTTGTTTTTTTGCCATGGCATTGTCAGTTTGTTTTCGACTCATGACTCATATCCCTTTGGTGTCTTTCGCCTCTCTTTTACTTTAATTCAAACTTCTGACACATTAGATATGATTATTAAACCCTGAAACTAAAGTCACAGCATCCTTTGAATCAGTACTTTTTGATATTGCATCTGCATCGCATCAAATTATCTTCAATCTGGTCCGGACCATGAACATTGAACTATGAAATCACATTTCAATGGACCAGTATTTTATGTGTTGCATATCTTAATGAATTCTGTGGTGAAGTATATAGTAATGTCACAATTTTTTCATGAAAATGAAATCCACACTTTATAAATTTGGTATGTTTGAAGCACTTTTATTGATTAACCTTTATCAGAAAAACTTAAATAAAAAAATAAAGTTAGGGATGTATGAATATTTTATGAGCTATATGACCTAAGGAGACCTCAAAGAATAAGTAAAACCATCTATTGTCAACTTTGATTGAGGAGTTTGAACCTTAGTTTCTAATAATTTGTTTATTTATAAACAGAAAATTTTAGAAATTTCTTTTATAAATGTCAGTGGCCATGCACTAACTACTGGGATGATAGGTTCTTGGAAGAACCTATAAAGTTAATAAGTCTCAGGTTGAAGAATTTGATTTCTGATTACTAATTCACCTGACTGTATACTAACCTGAGTGAAGAACTTGCTGCATTCTGATAATTTCATTACCTCTCACTATATTAACATGAGTGACCTGACTTTCTGAAGACACTTATATTCTTGTTACTTTTAAAGTCGCCTGTCGTTACTAACCTGAGTGTCTTGATATGCTGTATTCTTAAGTTACCAGTCTTTTATACTAACCTAAGTGTCTGGACAAGCTGAAGACACTTGTATTCTTAAGTCAACCGTCATTATACTAACCTTAGTGTTCTGACAAGCTGAAGACACTTGTATTCTTAAGTCTACTGTCTTTAAACTAATCTTAGTGTCTGGACAGGCTGAAGACACTTGTATTCTGAAGTCTACCGTCTTTATACTAACCTTTGTGTCTGGACAGGCTGAAGACACTTATATTCTTAAGTCACTCATTGTTATACTAACCTAAGTGTCAGGACATGCTGAAAACACTTGTATTCTTAAGTCACCCATCTTTATACTAACCTAAGTGTTTGGACAATCTGAAGCCACTTGTCAACGTCTTTATACTAACCTAAGTGTCTGGACAGGCTGAAGACACTTGTATTCTTAAGTTACCCATCTTTATACTAACCAAAGTGTTTGAACAGACTGAAGACACTTGTAATCTTAAGTCACCCATCTTTAAACTAACCTAAGTGTTTGGACAGGCTGAAGACACTTGTATTCTTAAGTCAACCGTCTTTATACTAACCTACATGCCTGGACAGGCTGAAGATACTTGTATTCTTAAGTCAACAGTCTTTATACTAACCTAAGTGCCAGGACAGGCTGAAGACACTTGTATACTTAAGTTACCCATCTTTATACTAACCTAAGTGTCTGGACAGGCTGAAGACACTGTTGCATTCTGGTTATTACTAATTCACCTATATTTCTTCTGTCTTCTTCTTGACTTTCACCAAGTAAATTCATAGATGAATCATTTACCTAAAAGAAAAAATCCATTTAAATTTAACATCTCTATATATATATATATATATATATATATATATATAAGTACCTCTAAACAAGTGAAAACTCTATCACAGATCTATCCATTGGATCACCAGTGAAGGTGATACAAGGCAGAAAACACATATTATATTCATAATTACTCTAAATAACAGCACAACAATGTTAAATCTGCAAATTTGCGCAAACTTTTGTTCCTCCCTCACCGGGATTCAAACTCATGCTATCAAGATATCAAGACAACACCACCTGCACTGTGTACAGCCCTCTAGACCACCTAGGCACCGAAAGCTGAATTATTAGTTCAGCCTAGGTGGCCTAGTGGTCTAGAGCGCTGGATATTAAATATATATAAGATCCATGTTACATCTCGTGATCAATTTATTTGGCAATCGTCAATGGCAGTCAGCAGGGTTTAAGAACATCAGTTGTTCAACCTGTTAGTCAAATGTAATTTGTTAAAATATACTTTTCACTTTTTTGGTCTCTTGGAAAATGTTGTTTGTGCTGTATTTAGACCCCTCTACCAAGAAATTTGTTTTACATGCACTAGTATGAAAATTGCGGTTTTTATCCAACGCAATCATAGGTTTGAACTTTGTTTTCAATTTAGACTTGTTTATATTTTTTCGTTTGGGCTTGTATTATATTTTCCTTCGGGTTTATATGATCCGTTCATCCTATTTCGACTCTTTAAAATTCAAGAGTCTATCCTAAATTGAGGTAAATTATATGGCCTTCCAAATACCGTTTTGATCCCTAACATCACTGAAGAGACATTAATTGTCGAAATTCGGATAGGGTGTACAAATTTTTGCACCTCATGTTTGCGGTATACCACCTTCTCCGCAAGTTTATTGTTTTCTGTTTGGTATGAAATTAATAATTAAGATCCATGTTACATCTCGTGATCAATTTATTTGGCAATCGTCAATGGCAGTCAGCAGGGTTTAAGAACAACAGTTGTTAGACCTGCTAGTCAAATGCGATTTGTTAAAATATACTTTTCACTTTTTTGGTCTCTTGGAAAATGTTGTTTGTGCTGTATTTAGACCCCTCTACCAAGAAATTTGTTTTACATACACATGTATAAAATTTGCGGTTTTTATCCAACGCAATCATAGGTTTGAACGTTGTTTTCAATTTAGACTTGTATATATATATATATATATATAAAACATTAATGTTGCCACTGTTGGGAATAGTATGCATTTATAAAGACAACTGATCTTTATTTGACATTGTTTAAGAAATAATTCCTTCGTGTCATGCTCTATGCTCATTTTAACATGGGTAGGTATTATATTTGTCAATACACTGAGCGTTAGAGCTTTAGCTCGTTGTAAAATATCAACAAATATAAAGCCTACCATATTAAAATGAGCATAGAGCATGACATGAAGGAATTATTTTGATTATAATAGGACAAACACTATTTTAATAGGTTGAAGCGTACAAAAATACATTAGAAATGTTTGGCTGCTCCCATTTCGTCCCAATCGAGTATGTACATTACATTCTCATATTTTATAAGTTCAACAAGTAATAGCAGGGTAAATATATGTTGACTTAATAACAATATATAATATTATTTTATGTAAGCAGCTAAAATATATATATTTTATTAGAATAAAATGCCAAACATATTTTGTGCTAATTAGAACACAACTTTGTTTACAAAGCGAAACAAGGATGTCATATTAGAATTATGTGGTTTATATTGTTATTTGGGTTATAGTTAATGAAACGTTCAAGAGTATTCTAGATAGATAGTGAAAGTATTTGTGTATATTTAAGTTTCAGGAAGTGTTAGCAAATTCTGGAATTTACCTTGCAACTAAAAATAGATTGTTTATCATTTATCTAGTTTTAATATTTGTAGATGATTCTAGATTTAGAATATTCTTTTGATTTTGGTATATAAGGTAAGGTTTTTGTGAATAAAGATCATTAGTAGAAATACTAATACCATCAGTAGTATAGAAGTATTATCAGTTGAACAAGAAAGCATAAGAAGGATTATTTAGCAGTTTATTCCAATGTGGTATTTATTGAATTTGACATACTGTATATACTGTAAATAACCGTAAGTTATTTTATTAAAGTTAGTCTGATTTCGCCACAGCTACAAAAAAAATATGTGAAATCGCTTCACTTTGATCTGAACAAACTAAATCATCATCAAAGTATTAACTGTTTATCATCAAAATATTTAAGAACTGTGTTATGAACGTTTAATTATGCTTTGATACCTTTGCTTGATTGAAATGTCAAATATGACATTTGATGATTTTGCATAACGAAATTCCGCCAACTGGTGGCATACAAATAACATCTTTTACACTTGTTGTTAATCCTACATTTCATTAGTAACTGCTATCTACCTGCTTTATATTGGTATATTGCTGTATCAGTGTCAGGACTGATGACTGATGCTAACATTCAGATTACAGTTTTTAGTTTTTCTGGCTGCCTACATAAATGCATACATCTTGTTTTAACAATGATGGTATGCCCACTAAAAAGATGAAATGGGTTTAAGTATGAAATCTTATATGTTATACCAGTAGTTTTAAATGGAGTTGTCTTCCTTTATCTGAATAACAAATATACCTCAATGATATATTCTTTTCCATCTTTCCCTTGTACTGCCTCAACTGACATGATATCCAAACCTCCAAATAACTGACTACACTCATCTACCCATAACTTAAATCTGCAAATACAAAAATCATATCTTTAAGGCATTTTTATAAATATTTATACAAGTATTGGTGTAGTTTATTAACTCTTCTGCCTTTATTTTTATTTGAATTAGTACAACTTTGGTTTGTACACAATGACCCGCGTTTTGTTAATATTTGTATATAATTCAATTTGTCAACCTTATTCATTACAATACTCTCTGTAATCACTGAAATGATGGATTGCAGGAAAGATTGCTAAAAAGTGATTTTTGTACATTATCATATTTTCTTTGGTGACTATAATTTTCACAAAATATAAAATTTCAGGAATTGTTTTTAAATATCGGGTATAATTTTATATTTTTTATCTGTCTGTAGGCTTTAAAATATTAATTTGAATGGTCATTCGTATAAGGTTACACAAAAATTATGACATGTATTATCTTTAATACATTATACATTGCATACTCCTAAGTGATAAAAAAAAACCAATATAGAGCCTTTTCATATAAAAATAATTTACTTCTAACAGGTAACTGATTGAATTACAAATTTTTAAACCAAAGCCCCCCTTATCATCAATTACTAAAATAAGTTGAAAATAAAAAAAACTTTTATTAGTCCCCAATATTCAAATAATTTTTATAAAATAGTTAACATTTGAAAAGTCTCTAATTTTGAAATTACGCTTTGATATCTTAGATACTATTTTAGTAGTAGTCAAAGGGGATACATTATGAATGGACAATCTAATATTCTTAAAGCATGAAGATTTCACTTCTTATCTATTTGGTGTTGTATTTAAACTGTTACAGTAGTAAAAGGCTTTAAAATTTTTGTTATAATATTTTAATATTTGCAGCTGAAATGACTATGATACAGTAAAAGTTTAAGATAAAAAGTTTCAACTTCAAATAAGGAAAATATCTTAAAGTCTGCATAGAACCATGCCCTATACTAGTGATCTGACATTTGAGGTTGGTCAGTAATACTGCATAGAACCATGCCCTATACTAGTGACCTGACATTTGAGGTTGGTCAGTTACTGCATAGAACCATGCCCTATACTAGTGACCTGACATTTGAGGTTGTCAGTTACTGCATAGAACCATGCCCTATACTAGTGACCTGACATTTGAAGTTGGTCAGTTACTGCATAGAACCATGCCCTATACTAGTGACCTGACATTTGAGGTTGGTCAGTTACTGCATAGTACCATGCCCTATACTAGTGACCTGACATTTGAGGTTGGTCAGTTACTGCATAGAACCATGCCCTATACTAGTGACCTGACATTTGAGGTTGGTCAGTTACTGCATAGAACCATGCCCTATACTAGTGACCTGACATTTGAGGTTGGTCAGTTACTGCATAGAACCATGCCCTATACTAGTGAACTGACATTTGAGGTTGGTCAGTTACTGCATAGAACCATGCCCTATACTAGTGACCTGACATTTGAAGTTGGTCAGTTACTGCATAGAACCATGCCCTATACTAGTGACCTGACAGTTACTGCATAGAACCATGCCCTATACTAGTGACCTGACATTTGAGGTTTGGCAGTTAACACTTTTGATATTACCTTCTTTTTTATACCTAAGCTCCTGTATATGTAGAAACAAACTTAAAACTTATTTCCATTACATGGATTTTTACCCTGAATATTAGTTCATATAGTTTAAATAAAGATAACTGTCCATGGTGATATTCAATTAATGGGAGAAATATTTTAAGGAAGGTGGCATAATTCATAAAAGAATCAATGTCCAATCCAAGTTCCTGTTCATGAAGAACCAAAAGAATGCAAATCAAAATAGATTCATTTTGTTTTTATACAAGTATCAAATACACAGATGTCATTCCAAACATTCTTGTTTATAATAACACTAAAATCAAATGTAAATTGATCAAGATTCTGTAACATGAATCTTTGGAAAATCTCAAATTGTTTTATGATGAATAAAAGAGAGTCATATTAGAAATGTACCTGAGTTTACAAAGCTTCTCACACACTGAAAAGAAAAGTGATATTTTACCATATGTAACTGAGAAATGACATGCACTTTCTTGTGTTAAAAGGGAATATCACTAATAAGTATATGCATGAGAATAAAACAATATGTGTCCATAGGACACCATACCATGCTCGCACTATCACATTTCCATGTTCAGTAACTGTAAAATCTGGGTAAAAAACCTTAATTTGTCATATTTATTTTTAAAGTTCACACCAAAATGAAATTGTAATAAGTTTAAAGTTGATGTGACCACAACTTCATAATAACCTACTTTAAACTTAAACTTTTACCTGATATGGAACAAACAAATAGACAAACAGATCTGAAAACATAATATCCCTTCCTATCGAAGACTGGGTATAAAAATATTGGACAACAACTTTAATGTTTGCTTGAAATTATACTTATTATACTTGATTATAGTGGTCTTAGACTATGACCAATGGGAAATATGATCACTGAAGCATCACTTTAACAAGAACTATTCTCAGCAGCAGAACCTACCATTGAGAAAATATTCATCCTCCAAGCATATTATTTATAGCACCAAGTGACATAATGTTTAGGGGATCAGTTCAATTGATACCTTTTTGAAATATGGTCACTTAAACATTATTCTTGGCAATTTTAGTCCAAATTAGCCCTCATTGGTTTGTAAGAAGATTCAAAATGTTCATCAGACAACAGATAGATGATAGAAATCATATTTAATTAAAGAACCTTTGTGAGCATGCTCACATACCCCACATCCTGACATTGTCACTGGACAGACAAAATCTCACCAAATTCCTTAGTTCAAAGACTCATAACTGTACAAAAGTCAACTGATAAAAATTTTCTTATGGATATGCACATTTACATATTATGTCCTCATTAACTACAAAGTTTCATGAAATTCTGTTGTGTGGTTTCAGAGGAATTGTGATGACAAACTGTTGCAGTAGTATATTGAGGCCAATAAGTTCAAAGGGGCATAACTCCTTACGATGACAAGAACAGGACTGATGGACGGACGGGTCAAAAACATTATACCCTCCACAACTTTGTTGCATGGGGTATATTTATAATTAACGTTCTGAAAGTTATTTTCCCCCCAATGTCCTAAACATTTATAGTCTAGGTACAGGTAGCCATACATCGTAACTATATTTAATACCATGGTTCTGCATAAGGCAAGAAGGCAACTCTTTATCTTAAATCAAGTTCAGATATCAAAGGTCAAGGTTCCATGAATAGTGCTATAGAAAAAACTTGTGGAAAATATAAAACAAGAATGTTTCCAAAGAACACGGATGCCCCACTCGCAATATTATTTTCTATGTTCAGTAGACCGTGAAATTGGGGTCAAAACTCTAATTTGACATTAAAATTAGAAAGATCATATCATAGGGAACATGTGTACTAAGTTTCAAGTTGATTGGACTTCATATTAAATCAGAAGATGAACTCATAGGTCAAGGTCAAGGTCACTTAACAAAATAAACAGCCGCGCCATGAGCGCATGATACGCCCGTCGTCTCGTGTGTGAATTTTTATGTAATAAGCATAAATAGTTTCTGACATACGGCGTGACATGCGAAAACCCCCTTTTTTTTTTACAAAAAACTCAATATCTCTAAAATAAAATTTTGAATCAAAACCAAAAAGTATACAGATCTTTAGATTAATATAACTAAGAAGTGTGTAAAATTTTAAGCAATAATCATAAATCGTTTTTGAGATACGGCGCGACATGTGAAAACCCCCCTTTTAAAAAAAAAAAAAAATCAATATCTCAAAAATAAAATTTTGAATCAAAACCAAAAAGTATACAGATCTTTAGATTAATATAACTAAGAAGTGTGTAAAATTTTAAGCAATAATCATAAATCGTTTTTGAGATACGGCGCGACATGTGAATAACCCCTCCCCCTTTTTTTACCAAATACTCAATAACTCAAAAATTAAATTTTGAATCATCACCAAAAAGTATACAGATCTTAAGGTTAATATAACTAAGAAGTGTGTAAAGTTTTAAGTAATAATCATAAACTGTTTTTGAGATACGGTGCGACATGTGAAAAACCCCTCCCCCTTTTTTAACAAAATACTCAATATCTCTAAAATAAAATTTTGAATAATCACCAAAAAGTATACAGATCTTAAGATTAATATAACTAAGAAGTGTGTAAAGTTTTAAGCAATAATCATAAATTGTTTTTGAGATACGGGGCGACATGTGAAAAAAACCACACACCTGTTTTAGTTACTAAGTCCCCTAACTCAAAAAGTTTTAATCTTATTTTCACCAAAAAGTATACAGATCGTTTGACCATCATAAGAAACAACTATGTTAAGTTTCATGAAATTTGAATAAGTCATTCTCAAGTTACGGTGCGACATGTTTACGCCGGACAGACGGACAGACAGACGGACGGACACCGGACATTTGTATACCATAATACGTCCCGTCAAAAATTGACGGGCGTATAAAAACCTGTTCACATTATTTTTGAGAGGATTCTGTTTGACTGCTTGTTTACTGTGTGCTGATCATTATGCAATTGGCCAAAATATTTTACTTTATTTAAAAGGTAAACTTGTGCTCCGACAGTTAAACCCTTTTTAACTTAGATAGAAAAAGGTACTTAGGTTAAGTTAGTTTTCATCTAACATCAACTCCCTGATGACAAAAAAAAATAAAATTTCACAATATCTTTACAATTATAGTGTGATTGTGATGATTCATTATGACACAAAATAAAACAGGGATGTAATCACTTTTACAATATCTTCACACAATTAATATGAATGGCAAGCTCTTCATTTAAGTAGCAACTATTATATATATAGATTGCAACATACTTCAATCACATATGCTTGACGTCATTTTTTCTTCAGTGGATTAATAAACGGTATCTCTATATATAGACCACAAAAAGTGACAGAGTTCCTTCTTTTTGTCAGAACATTTGACAAAAATGTTAGATATTACTGTAATCTGTATCATACAATAACCAAGTATTAACCATACTTAAGTAAAAATTTTCAACACTTTCAAGAATTTGTTGACATGTTATACACACCATTTCACACCATAGAACATGGAAAACTGACAAAGTTGTCTACAATATTAGACACTGATAAATTTGTTTACATTTTTTATTCTAATAAGGTTAATTACATTCTTTGAAAATCAATAACATATTTGCTAGAAGGGTGTTATACCAAAAATGAGGAAGTACTAAGAGTATGTCTTGGAATGTTTATGTGGTGTAGTAAATATGTATGTCTAAAGTTCAAAAGAAAAATAAAGGGAACTGAGGACATGACCTTGTAACCTTGCCAATAATTTCCAAGTTACATGCAGGAAAGGTTGAATGGATACAAGTATCAAAAAATTGCACCATATTTGAAAATTAATCTAATTACATGTACCACAATAGCATGCATGTAACTAGAAGTCATTTCTGCCAATGCATTACCTTTTTACTAATAAACAAAGTACGGTAGACATAGGAGTAAGATGTTTAATTGTACCATTACCTTTATCCTACCACAAAATTAACTTTTCTTTAGGAATCTGAATATAATTCCCATTTTTTCCACCTGCTAATCTTTATTCTGATGTTTTCTGCAAGTTGCTTGTTTTTTTAAGGGACACCAGTTATGTACCAGATCTGCACATATTTTATTTTTAACAGTTATTTCCCTTTTTTTCCAACATGCTAAATTGATCAATCTACCAAGTTTGCAGATGATTCTGCATAATCTAGCTGCAAATACAATTCTTCTATAACATTGTTATTTGGACTATGTGTGTGTTCATTGTTTGTTTGTTTGTCTATTTATAGAGGAGTCACGTGTTGATGTGGTCTGTTGCGCTGTCCAATATTTTTGGTAATTCAGTTATCCATTTTATGTATTATTTCATCATCTTAATTTTTTACCTGGCCTTAATATTGAATAAGGCCTACAACTTTGATTTTACTATATGAACATGCATTTTATTATGACATCCTCATAATTATTTCAGACAAGTTTAAAGCTCTATGTGACTACAGCTTTTCGTACATTCAGTGTACAATCTTGCATGTGACACTGACTTTTAAGCAATTCTGTAAAGTTGTGTAAAGTCTGTAAATAGTATGTCAGTGAACTTTAAGGACTTATATTGACTTTTAATAGCTAACTCTCGAAATAGATAGGATTAATAATCATCATCATTGTTTTCCACCCTACTAATGTGTTGCAAATATGAAAAACACATGTACTTGACTCCCCCAACAACTTATATATTGACATATGTAAACCTGTCTGGTTGTTTTTTTGTGGGCAATCAGTTGATGAAACAACAACAAAATCAAACAAAGTTATTGGGTCAAGTGTATGAAGTGCTAGGAAATACTTTATCTAGAAAGGAAAAATCATAAACTCATCTTTTCCCTGTGTTAATACTAATACTTATATCTATTTATGTCCTTGTAAAATAACTATTAAGAAAACTGAAGAAAAAAACCCCATCTTCTGTACCAAGCAGACAAAATGCATCCCATTCTAAACATTAGCATCTCATCGATAATTGTAATACTGTAAATTCAGAAATTATTGCATGCATTTATTATTGCGATTTTGTCATTTTAGACTAAAATGCGATTTTAGTTTTTGCGATATTGAGAAAAATCCTATTTAATTCATATTCAAAATTTCAAAATGCGAGTTTAAACTATTGCGATTATAACCCTGTCGCATTTTTCGCAATAATAAAAACATCGCAATAATATATAAATTTACAGTACAATGTAATGTTAAAATCAATGTGCAACATTTTTAGAAAATTTTGTTTTGCTCAATTCGTTGTGAAAACACATGTGGCCAGCTACTTGATATTTAAAAAGTATAACAGTCCAAATATTGTTACCTGATACCCTTTTTAAGTCACAAGTTAAAAGTCATTTGATTAAAGACGTGTAGTTGACTTACTTTTCATTCATAGCTATCTGCTCTAACATGGCTGACCCAGTGTTGGCTTTCCAATTTCCAGATATAGACTTTCGCCTAAAACAGAAAATAGTAGTCATTATTTTCTTTCTCCATATCAAAGATTCAATTTGCTTTAATGGGGTTTTCCTTATCTTCTTGCTTCTAACTTTTGTAAATTCTGTTCGAACTGTAACAGAAGCTTCTTTAATTAAACTGATAGCCAATGAACCAAAATTTCTTTAACAGTCAAATTGAAGAAATTTAACCCTAGTTTTACCTGTGTTAAGCCTAAATAATGTTGATTTCAAAAGCTTTTTTTCAAACAGTTCATGTTATAATCTTACCTGAATTGAACACTAGCAAAAAAATCCTATATGAGGCTTTGCTAAGATCCACCTAACATTGTTGTGGAACTATGGCTGTTTCAGTAAAGTTGAACTCAAATTTTATTTTCCTCATAATGGCTATAAGTTAATTAAAATCAAATGCGATATTTGTAGTCTCATTTCAATTTTTTACAATAATATGTAGGATTCTTAATTTGGTCTACCTCCCAAGAATTTGTTCAATAACATGTGGTTATATTAATTCAAATCATAAAATCATAAGATCTCAGGTTTTTTTTACCACATCAGGTCCAAGTCTTGCTTCAGGTAAGATTTACATGGTTCATAATCTAAATGTTTAATATGTAACTGCTGTTTTGAATCAGCAAATTTAACAAAATATGTATTTTGTTACATAACTTGACAAGTTTTTCTGAGAAAAAAATATGTTAATTTAATCCATCACTGAGTGGCAGCAGTCAAACAGGAATAAACAGATTTATTTACTAACTACAACTTTTTACACAAATAATTCAAACTAAACAAGAAAGTTCAGATAGAAGAATATAGCATTCACTTTGGTCAACTTGAACAGTTAAAGCAATACAGACATAGAAAGTAAAGTATACTTAGTCGCAGAAAACTTGCACTTCCATGCAAAATTTTACAATGGGGAGACAAATTTTTAAAATAAAAAAAAAATTTTGTTTTTGATTTGTTAAAAATCTGATCTAAACTAATAAAACTATAATAGATACTATAAACCCGGTGGTTTTGACTTACATGTAAGCTTTGTAGTGAGGGCCTATCTTCTGTATATGTATATCATAAAGTGTGTCGATGTAAGCTTCTGTAGTAGAATACGTTCCTGTGACTGCCACCACACCAGCAATATCTTGGAAATCATAATGATTGGAAACTCTAACCTAAAGCAGTAAAGGTCATCACCACATAAGAACATTTTACACAGGTCAAACATTAATGATGAAATATCATGATTTACCCAAGATTTTTTAGATGTTTTCAAAAGGTGTCAAAGTTGTATCATGTTATTCACCCATAACAAACCCAGCTTGAAACCTAGCAAAGATTATTATGGTTCAGCCATACCAGTCAGTCATCAATAATATTTCCAAAACTTACATTTTTTCAAATTTTAACAAAAAAATATTTCAAAATATTGTTGATCGATCTAAATCTGGTTCCAGGAATTTAGACTGTTAAAGAAACAATTTAACTACTGGCTGACTGTGATGGCTTGTGCTGATATTTCCTTACTGATAACTCACATATAAGCCCTGTAATTGTTTCCGATCTTCTGTAAGTGTAGATCATATCGACCATCAATGTATTTCTCTGTTGTTGCATAGTTACTGCCAAGGGCCAATATATGGGCTACTTCTCTGTATGTATCTATATTGTCTAACCTAACCTGTGTTCATATAATTCATGTATGTATGTACTATGTATATTGTCCAATTCAACTAGTTTTCATATAGTTCATATGGTACTCATATAGTGATATTCAATGTATTTCATACTTCTGTATGTTTTCTAAGACACCTTGTCCATACCAGTGGTTGTCTTGATGAATCATATACCAAGGAGGCAACAACCCAACAACAACAAAAAATGTCAGGATTTGAAGTATCATTTAAACTATGTGCATCAGCATATAAAGCATGCAGATAAAAACTAGCAACTATTAAATCAGGATCATATGTGGGTCTTTTTTATCATCATTGTTTATTAGGTCTGCATTTCAATGTTATGTGGATGAATTCTACCTTTGGAATTCTATTTACTTTGATAATTATCCAAACTTTACAATAAATGGAAATAAATATGTTCATGCTGTTTAAATATTCATGCACAAAGCATTAGTTATTTCAAATGAAAATGACATTTGTTCTTCAATGTTCTATTCATTTTCTAAGCTATTGTTCCTTATAAATGTACAAATGTTTGCATGCATTCATCATAGCGATTGTTAAACAATGAACAAAAATGTGATATTAATCATTGCGATTTAAGAAATTCAATGCTCCATATAAGTAATGGAGTCAAAATTTATATTGTGAATTCTTATTCTTGTAATATTTAAATCATAGTAAAAAATTTATGAATGTACAGTACATATGCTTTTTACCAAATTTTCCAGCAATGTTTTACAATTTATGGTAATTTTTATTAAAAATGATTTTTTGGCAAACTTGGAAGTGGCATAACTCTTTGACTTTATGTTGTAGAAATGATTTAATACAAAGTTAGTTCTTTGTTCTGGTGTTATCTGATTTCAGAAAGTGCTTCAGTTGAAGATTGAAAGTGGCACTCACTCACTCACTCACTTCTGGAAACATTCAGGAACTGAAATTATACCCCTCATCCCTACTTGGATTACTCATTTCAAAAATAACATTTTAAAATTGACATATTTCAACTTTGTTTATAATTGGGGTATTGTGAATATTCAACTTACATTGGTAAGGCACATACATATTTTTATACTTTGATTTACAAGATGTCAGTGTTATATTCGAATGTAACCCCATCCTTGATGGTCAAATCATAGATGTATACAGGTTTATACATCTATGGTCAAATGTAAGCCATCTTTGATGGGATGGGTCAATAAGGTTTTGTCATTATAAACATATATGTTGTTTATAAATATGATTTATTGATTTAATTATACATGTTTATCATTTTGTTGTTTTACTTCATCATTTTAATAATAAATGACAGTTTTCAATTCATACATATTGTTTGTTTGTCATTCCTTCATCCCATCAAACAAATGTATTTTCTGTCTTTATAATTATCTAAATGGGAATTTCATTTCTCTTGTGTTGTTGTCTTGATTTGTATATACGGGCTTTTTATAAAGTACAGTTTGCAATATTGACTAGATTATGGGCAAATCAGTCCATATACACTATGCCTGAGACTTTTTAAGAGTACATAAAATTGTCTTTAAGTAAACAATCTATAAATCAGTACAATTGATGATCTGACTGTACTGGTTAATCCTTTACCTGCACATTCTATTTAAATGATAGTATATGTTGGCCAGCTGACTTTACCTGTACATTCTATTTAAATGATGGTATATGTTGGCCAGCTGACTTTACCTGTACATTCTATTTAAATGATGGTATATGTTGGCCAGCTGACTTTACCTGTACATTATATTTAAATGATTGTATATGTTGGCCAGCTGACTTTACCTGTACATTCTATTTAAATGATGGTATATGTTGGCCAGCTGACTTTACCTGTACATTATATTTAAATGATGGTATATGTTGGCCAGCTGACTTTACCTGTACATTCTATTTAAATGATGGTATATGTTGCCCAGCTGACTTTACCTGTACATGCTATTTAAATGATGGTATATGTTGGCAATTGTTTCAACATTATCAATGACACAGCAATACAATGGTCAAATGAATTATGCTTTCTCATCCATTGACCATCTCATTATTTTCTGAAAAACTTATTTTTCATTCTTCAACTTATAAATTCCCAGAACTAAAACGGTAAACAGGACAGAGCATTAAGCATGTTTTCCAAGTTAATTTGTTTACAGATAAAATGGCTAAAAACTTTTATTTTTTCCAGATAAAGTAAACACGGCACAAGATGTAAACAGTATAAGCCTGGAATATGTTTTGATATTTATTTGTGAAAAACTTTTCAGTGATTGCAAAATAACCAAATACCACCCAGATGATTATTTTATAAATAAAACAAAAATTAGAAAAATACATCAAGGAGACAGATATCTAAGCGATTGGTCATGGCAGCTGCTTAATACCTAGTATTAAATATTCCATGCAATTTCAGGATAATAGCATGTGCATGAAAAGTAGGAATATATCCTGTTTGCAAAAGATTAATACAAATTAGGCAGTCCACTGCAAATAATTTCACCCTTCAGATACATAGCTGACCACCTTGGACATGTGAGGAGATTCTAACCCACTTTTCCTGCACTTTAAGTGAATATTGCTTTTAGAGAATACCATTAGTCAGGATTTGCAATTGGACGTTATAAAAACAAAAATTTGTAAGGGTTCCGCGGAACCTGGTGTCTCACCTACTTTTGCTGTTAATCGCAGGCTCAACAAAAATGAGGAAAAAAATTAATAAAAATATTCCTCTCCATTCTATCTTTTGTTTGTAAGAAGCTTCTGTCCAAGTTTGGTAAAAATCCAGGATAGTTTATGAATCTAATAAATGTTTTAAAAACTTTCACTGCAGGCTGTATGTAATGTTAACTGGAAGAAAAACTGAGTCCGTTTATAAGTAAAATACGAAAAAACAGGTACAAAATTTTAACAAAATTTCCTTCTAGATACTAGCTTTTCATCATAAACAAGCTTTTGTCCAAGTTTGGTACAAATCCAGGATAGTTTAAGTTATTAAAATTTTAAAAACTTTAACCACAGAGTGAATGTAATGTTTCCTGGCAGAAAAACTAAGTCCATTTATAAGTAAAATACAGAAAGAAAAAAAATTCTTTTTACTAAATTTACATCTGGATACTATCTTATGATCATAAACAAGCTTCTTTCCGAGTTAGGTAGAAATCCAGGATAGTTTAAGAAAGTTATTAAAATTTCAAAAACTTTAACCACAGAGTGAATGTAATGTTTCCTGGCAGAAAAACTAAGTCCATTTATAAGTAAAATACTGAAAACCAGATTTTTTTTTAAAAATTTACTACTGGATACTATTTTATGATCATAAACAAGCTTCTGTCCAAGTTTGGTAGAAATCCAGGTTAATTTAAGAAAGTTATTAAAATTTAAAAAACTTTTAACCACAGAGTGAATATTTGTGGCATGCCGCCGCCGCCGACAACGACGACAAAGACGATGGAATGTAGGATCGCTATGTCTTGCTTTTTCGACAAAAGTCAAAGGCTCGACAAAAATCAATCTGAAAGTTTTAAGCAAATAAAATATTTGACACAGAGATTGTCTCACCTGTATGTTACTTTGATAGTAAAATGCAACTGTTATAATTTAAATAATAACACTGAAACATATAAACTAAGGAAAAGTTTCAATGCCAATTAAACCTGTATGAATACCTAAAGCCTGATATTAATTTTGGGAAGCTTTTTGTAGTTACCCCCTCTCCTAACAGAAATACAGTCTATGATTAGCTTTGAGAAACCAAATAAATAATGTTGATTAAAAAACAATAAGAGGTGCACCATTATATGGTTATGGTTAAGATTCTGAGAAAGTTTCAAAAATTCTAATCAGGGTTAAAAGAAGCAGTTGCGTATACAAAATGGATACCCCCAGATAAAGCAATGGCAGTCCATTATTTACTTCGGGAAACTCCAAAAATAATTTGGATAAAAAACTAGGGGCTCTAAAGAGCCTGTGTCGCTCATCTATAGACTATGTGCATCTTAAACAATGGACACTCTCCAACATTGTTGACTACAATAGAATCCATGACAACAATCTCTATTTTGTTGTTATTGTATTGCTGATCATTTTTTCTGTTTACAGTTTCTTTCAATCTTTACTTTTTGCCCAAAACAGAAAAAAGGGTAAAAAAATTGTCATCTAATCACTCCTAAAGGATCTACTATAAACAATTTCAGCAAAATTTGACTTGTTTGTAGATCTTGTCTTGCTGATCATTTTTGCTATTTGAAGTGTCTATCTATCCTTTATAGTTTTCAAGATAATAGGCAAAATCTTAAAATATTGGTAAAAGTCATCATCAAGAGCAAAAACTCCAATAAGGAGTAAACTGACCATTTCACCTATGTTGACTTATTTGTAGATCTAGTCTTTCTGATCATTTTTCCTATTTAAAGTGGATGGGCACATTGCATTTGTGCCAATTTTTACAAAATCCAATCTTTCATTTGCGCCACAAGGTTATATTTCAATTGCTCTCAAAAAATTAAAACTACATTTGCGCCATTTTACAGGTAACATATAACGGAAAAGTTTAAAATATTTAATTGCTACATCGTGAATAAGTTTTTTTTTAGTGTATTCCTCCTATGTAACTAAGTAAGTTCATACTCATTTCTAATATAAAACTGAGAGTCACTTAGGTTTATCTATACAGTGTTAACATGTTTGAGGGGTCAAGATGGACATTGTCAATTCTGAGACAATTAGGCCGTTAGTTTTCTCAATTAAATTGTTTCATATTTTTCATGTCGGGGCTGTTTATAGCCGAGTATACGATATGGGTTTTTCTCATTTTTGAAGGCCATACAGTTGCCTATAATTGCTTTCATCCACTTCATTTGAACTTTGGTGGATATAGTTGTCTCGTTGGCAATCATACCACATCTCCTTATTTTTATATAGAGGAAATAAGTTTATTTTGTATGACCACACATATAGGTTATTCAGTGTACATAAGTACATCCGAGCCGTTGCTTACAAGTCTTGTGTCAGAACAAACATTTGGTTTAACTCCAGTATATAGTGCTTTCTTTTAGGTTTTATATCTCGTTAATTTATAACACAACTGTGTTTTAACATTATTATGAAAAGTCTCTTATTAGGAACGTACTAGTGTATAGGGCTTTCATTATGGTTACGGTGACTTATTTCGGAGGAATATGTGTTTTAAATTTATCATTAAAAGTCTCTTTTGAATAAAACTACTTTTTATACTATTTACATGTATTTACCTGTATTATTGGCGCAATAAAAATGTTTTATTTTGGCGCAAATGAAATATGGTTTGTGGCGCAAAGGAAGATTATTTTGGCGCAAATGAAATGCCATTTGGTGCAAAAGCAAAGCACTGGTATCTATCTATAATAATTTCAAGATAAAAGGTAGAAAACTAAAAATGGGTAAAAATCATCAAAGAGCGGTAACTCCAATAAGGAGTGAACATACGATTTCAACCAATAGACTTATTTGTAGATCTTGTCTTGCTGATCATTTTTGCCTATTTAAATTTCTATCTATCTTTTTATAATTTTTTCAGATATAAGGAAAAAACGCAAAAATTAGTAAAAATCATCATCAAAGGTAACAACTCCAATAAGTGGTCATCAGATGATTACAACCATGTGACTAATTTGTAGAGCTTGTCTTGCTGGTTATTTTTCCTCATGTATGTTTCTATCTATCTTTTATAGTTTTACAGATATAAGGCAAAAATTCAAAAGATTGTTAAAAATTGTCATTAGAGGGCAATAACTCCAATAAGGAGTCATCCGATGATTTCAAGAATGAAATAATATATAGATTTTGTCTTGCTGAACATTTTTGCTTATTTCAAGTTTCTATCTATCTATTATGGTTTTTCAGATATTAGGCATTAATGGAAATAATTGATAAAAAGCACTTGCATTATTCGCATTAATTAAAACCTCCCAATAATTTCTGAATTTACAGTAAATGGACAGTAGATAAATATCAACATTTTGAACATTTCTACCTTTGTTAGATTTTTTTCTATCTAAAGCAGTTTTCAAGATAATATACAAAACTTACATTTCACCCCTATGTTCTATTTCTAGCCATTTCCGTCATGCTGGTTGACAGGCGGGGTCATCGACCCTATGTTAAAACTAGAAACTCTAATGATGATTGTGGCCAAGTTTGGTTAAATTTGGCCCAGTAGTTTCAGAGAAGATTTTAGTAAAAGTTAACGGACAATGACAGAAGATGGATGCCTAGTGATGACATTTAATAGCTCAATTGGCCCAAAATTGGGTCCAGTGAGCTAAAAAGGGGTAGAGGATACCAAGGGGACAATCAAGATGTAAGTTATCTTGATACTCAAGTTACAGATACAAATGAACATGGGACATTCCTGTAAATAGCTAAAAGCTGTCATCAGAATACAGTGTTCATTTTTTTTTACATATTTCCAAGGCTATTTGTCCTAGACCAGGAAATTTATTCTAAAACATCCATTGATTAAATAGTCTTTATGTGATCCAGCAATTGACAAAAACAGACCATTTAGTTTCCACAGATACCAATTAGCAATGATATTTATTTGTTATACATATGATACTGACCTTACCAGCCCCAGCATGTGCATGTCCAACCTTTACAACTACAGGGAACTTTGGTGTTATCAACTGTGGAAGAAAAAAATAATTAATATGAAATACAGCAGGTAGTAGATGTGGTATGTTGTACTATGCAATATTTTTGTTGTTTCTTGTTATCCTTTTCATGTATTACAATATTTCAAACTGGAAACTTACAATTTTTTTTGTTCAAGACTACTTTTCAAATTTCAACATTTCAAATGTTAATGTTGATTTCAATGTTTCTTTTGGTCCCCTTTGCACTGTCCAGTAAGTCTATCTATATTTCAAAATCATTCTTTTATTAAGCAAGTTTTCTTGTAAAAAAACAGTATATACCAAGTGTTAAATGTTTGTTTTGTAAAATAAATTAACTTTTTTTTCAAATAAATGGCAGCATACTAGGAACAATTTCAACAGTTGAGCATCATTTATGTCAACAACATGCATTGGCCTGACCTGCCTCTAAAGTGTAGGAGTCTCAGTAAATTCTTAGAGTGACTTTGACAATATAACTGACATTCTATTCAGTATTACATTGTTTTATTTAAATCAAGCAAACTTGCTTAAATAGAAAAAAAAACCAAAAAACTTTGAGGTATATTTTGAATGTACTCTACATTTCCAGAATTATGTGTAAATTGTATGTATCATTTTTGGGTGGAGATGAACACTTAACGTAAAGTACACAAGTATTTCTACATAGAGTTAATCATAATGAGATTAATAAACATATACACCTTCAAAACATTAACAGCTTGTACTTTTATATAATAAACAATTAACCCTAGATTCTTGGCATCATAGTTTCATATTAACCTTTAAGTGTTTTCCAATCCCTTTCAACATTTATCAGATTATTTAGAAAAAAAAACACCAAACAGATAAATTCATTAAAAAAGCAATTACTTAACAGAGGATAAAATTTTAAATGAGAGACGCCTAGCATCTTAAGCTGCTCACCCAGTTCATGACCTAATATACTGTGTTGGATTCTTTTGATTAAAACTTTCAATTTCATGTTAGAATGAAGTTTTACTTAATTTAGAACAATAAAACATAATACTGAAATTAACCATCTGTATAAAAGTTTCTCCAGTATTCTCATGATTTCATGTCAAATTTGTGTGATTTCCAAATTACATTTTCTAGATGTGGATGTCAAACATTTTAATTTTAACTTTTGAATAAGTTTTTGAGTTTACTACATTTTTGATTCCTTGATTTAAAAATCTTAGAGGACTGCAATATTTAACCTCCCCACCCAATCTCATGACCATTCAACAATTGTCTAGTTTTTAACTAGCTTAGACCTGGAAAATGTGAAGACTCTCAAGGGGTGATCCAGCCATTTTTAATAAACTGTTATCACAGAGATATGTCTCGCCTTTTTGTAATTTTGACAATGCAAATGTTGAAATTAAAATAGCAATACTTCAACATGTAAGTTATGCAAATATTCAAAGTTGATGAACTATGACTGAAGGTACATGGCTAAACAATCTCCATGGAAATGAGATGTGCCAATGCTAATACAACTGCATACCAAATACCATTGACTTATTATAAGCCGTTCCCTTTAAACAAACCTTAACACAAACATTAACTTGTAAACTATGTAAAAGTTTCAAAGTCAATGAACCATGATGAGGGGGGTGGGCTATATAATCTCCATGGAAATGATACTTGCAAATTCCAATAAATTTGCAAACCAAATATCATTGACTTAACATTAGCAGTTCATCTTAAACTCATCTTATCACAAACTAATACATGTAAACTAAGCAAAAGTTTCAAAGTCAATAGACCATGACTGAGGGGGCAGGGCCAAATATTCTCCATGGAAATGATTTGTTGAGATGTACTAATGCTTATACAACTGAATACCAATTAACATTGGCCTACGACTAATGGTTCCCCTTGAACTGACCTAATCACAAACTTTTACATGTAAACTAAGCCAAATTTTCAAGTCAATAGACCATGACTAAGGGGCCGGAGCCAAATAATCTCCATGGAAATGAGATATGCCAATGCTTATATAACTGCATACAAAATATCATTGACCTACCACTAGTGGTTCCCCATAAACTGACCTAATCACAAACTAATACATGTAAACTAAGCAAACGTTTCAAAGTCAATAGACCATGACTGAGGGGGCAGGGCCAAATAATCTCCATGGAAATGAGATGTGCCAATGCTAATACAACTGCATACCAAATATCATTGACCTATTTGTGGTTCACCATAAACGAGACCTAATCACAAACTAATACATTGTTGACCCTGCCGGAAACAGCATACCTATGTCTCGCTTTTTGACTCTGTCAAGGCGAGACAAAAAGGGGGGTTCCAAATATATGTCCCCATTCAAATGCATTGATCATAAAAAAAAAGGGGGGGTTGCAACCCCCCCTCCCCGATCCGCCACCTACTCTCAATACTGTTAAGTAACAAACAATCAATCAATTAATCAATACTGTTTATATTGGATGTTATATCATAAAAGAGCTCTAATCAAGGTGAGCATAAAATTATTTCTTCTGGAAAAATCTTTTAAGTCAGATTTGACAATTAACATGTGAAACATGCTTTATCTTAATTTGATTATCAATGATATGTGTAAACGTGTTTTATTTTAAATATATGTCATAGCAAGGTAAACAATGTTTGTTACCTTAGGTAAAGAAAAATTATATTTTTGTATGGTAAATAGAAGAATCTTCTGTATCTTTATTTGAAGACTCCTGAATAACCATTTCTGAGTCAATTACAATGTAGAAATATTTTCTTCTTCGAATTTTCACAACTACAAAAATTGTAATAGCCTATCAACTTTATGGAGTATATAAGATAGAGTTAGCTAGAAAAGTATGATAAAGACTAGCATTGCATTTGGCTAGTCAAACAAAAGTCATTTATTTTATTTTGCCCATTTATGACAAATCAAATAGATAAAATGTAAAAAAAATAACATATCTCCATTGACAAACAGACCTTATTTACACTGTGTTTCAATGTAAATCTATAATTCATTGTTCTTTCAATCGCTTTTCAATTTTATGGATGAATATATCTCCGAAGTCAAACTTAAATATAATAAATGGTTTGTTTTTTGGCATTCATGATCTTTCTTCTTATGAAAAGAAACTGAACAAACAAAGATTGATTGATCTTCTGTGTACCACACTCACACAAACCAATACATAAATACTCAGGTTATACAAAAAAAGTACAAAATAATGAAGATAGAAATCTACCAATTTTGTGCACAATTTACCGTAACATAATCTATTTTGTTCATGTTAACATTGATTTAATCAAACCACAAAATCAAGAAAAAGAAGTTACCGACTTTTTTCTGCTATACTGTTGGTTTACCACATGAATCAAATTGCAGAATATTTGTATGAGTGACTTTGTTTGAATACAAATCATCATTCAACTTGAAATACTGTACATAGAACAAGCAAAGAATATTGTTTTGTTACGAACGCACCTCTGAGAGATGTTTTGTCAATGATATGATCATTTCTTTAACAGTTAAATACAAAAGAATCATATTTTAGAGCAATATCAGTCATAATGTTATCGTAATTCAACTAATAATCTACTGGACCACCTAATATATAGCCTAATTAATATCTGATAATTTAATAAGATGTCGCAGTTCATAAATAAGTTCTATGATTTTGGCGACAAATTTATACAGTTGATGTCACAATGTATTTCATCAGAAGTCAAGAGTAATATGTAAAGTTCTTTTAAGTCATGGACTATTTTCAAATTAATTAATGTAGGACAGACAAGGATCATAACAATTAAAAAAAAAAGACGACTAAACCTTCTGTTGGTGACATTAAAATTAAAGAAAAAATATAGTCCAAGAACAAAATACTGTGACCCTAACTCACAGCAAAGTATTAGAAAACAGAACTTAGACTTATTTCAATCTGGTGGGAAAAAACCCAAGATTAGTGATTCCTCAGTAACAAAGTACAAAAAAGTTGACGTAGTTCACAATTACTTTGTAGAAGTATTTAACAGACTGGCTTATCTTGTTTCTATCTTTCACAAAAAACTGGAAAATATAAAATAACAGATCTCTTAACTCTCCATCAAAGAGACATATGCTAAGGGTCGTGGAAACTATACAACCCTACGGTTAAAAATAGCAGTATTTGTAGGATTTTAAAAGGAATGCCAAATCAAAGAAATTTAGAAAATTTCAGAATGCAGAGAGAACTTTATGACAGGAAACACCCTTGTTATGTCTTAAAAAACATAATTTTTGGATTATGTGTAGGATGACTTAATAAGCTGCAATGCAAGAGGTAACTTTCTCTTTAAAATCTGTGTTTGAAAGAAAATCTTAACCAATGGCCTTCTCACGATTCCTCTCATTTACAAAAATATGAATAAACAAAGTTTCCTAAATCAAAACATAGTATGCACTAAACAATATGAAATTTAGCAGGTTTTGATGATAAATCTTTTAACCCAATAATGTTTTTACAATAAACGTTCTTTGTAATGAATTTGAGGGCTTGTCAATTTATTCCCTTTTTATGGCTGAATTCTGTTTGGAATGTATTTTAATGTTTAGCAAAACTAAAAATAAATTTTATGGTCTTTATTTTGTCACCTCTGAAATTCATCACTCAAGCAAACTATATTTAAAGAAGTAAACTTTTCTAAACTGAAACATAGGTGTACCTAAAAAAGGCATGCTTTGTCAATCAAAATACTATTTCAAAATATTATATGATTTTTTCAAACTTGCAATATCAGATGCCAGTCATAGAATTCTTCAGTAAACTTATTATGTTTAAGGAAGTTAAGTTCTCTTGGCAGCTGGCATGCTGTTAACATTTATGTACCTTTTTTATACTTACAATTCTTCATGTCATAAACATAATTTGATTGTTTCAAAACTAATCCTCTGAAAATATTGCAATTACTCACTCTCTATCAAAAAAGTGATTTCCTAATCATCAAAAGCAGGAAAACTTTGCCATATCCAACAGATATTTGGCTATTCATGATTAATTGATTGTTGGATGCTTAATGTCCAATTTATCATGCAATATATGTATATCATTTAATAAATCATTTCTGAAGGTTTTATTTAATGTTTTCTAACAGACCACTCAAAATGTTGCAAAATTTGTCCCAAAAGGCAAAGAGCAAAGTTGTCACCTAAACCTACCTGATGTAATCAAGGGGTTTTTGACATGAGACATTAAGTAAAATAAAATCCAAGCAAGAAGCACAAAAATATTGCCTAGACCATCAATATAACAACTTTGGTCAAGACCATTATGTGAAGTTTAATTTGGACCTAAGCAGGTAATACAAAGATGTACATCAATTTATTGAGTGTATTAAATGTGACCTTGAACTGATATAATCTAGAGTCAAGAACAACTGTGTAAAGTGTAACTAAGAACTAAGCAGACAGTATTGAGAAATGGCCAAACCAGGGACAGACAGACAGATGTAATAATGTGTCCAAAATATTCTGCAGAGGATAAAACTATAAAAACAAAGAGTGTACAATGCTCAAACTTCTCACCTGCTTTATGCTTATGACTGAAATTTATGTTGAAAGATTTTAAAATAAAGGTTTTACTGAAAACTTAACATCATCAATAAGGTCAAGGTCAAAAGAATTTTCCAAGATGGACATGTTTGCCTACAATTATTTCATACACCAAATATAGTTGACCTATTGCTCATAGTATCTGAGAAACACCTAATTATGTAAATCATTGAAATGAGGTCAGGTTCAAGGTAAGTGAACCTGTCTCTTCATTCCATACACCATTAAATTGCTACGCCGAGCGCAGCTGGATACGACCGCAGAGGTCCAACCCTATACAGTTGGGGCAAAAATGGACACAATATTCGGGCTTGATACAGGTCTGAATTTGGATTGTAATTTAATATTTGACACATAATAGGTTTTTGACACAGAATAACTGTAGTCAAAGAACTTAGAATTGGTTATATGATTTGAATTTATATTCAATTTTTTGCTTTTAAGCAATACACAATGCTGCTGCGAATTTACCTCCCCCTCCTTTTTTTCAAAAAAAATAAATTTAAAGGATTTCTGAAATCTTGAGGAGAAAAAATTGTCCCTCACTTTTTTGCCCTTAATTCCTAAACGGTTTGAGCCATAACCCCCCAAAGCCAATCCTAACAATCCCTTTGTGGTATGGAAACATGTGGTATAATTTCAGAGAGATCCATACACTGTTCCACAAGTTATTGTCATGAAACTAGAAAAATGCTTATTTGGGCCCCTTTTTGGCCCCTAATTCCTAAACTGTTGGGACCATAACCCCCAAAATCAATCCCAACCTTCCTTTTGAGATCATAAACCTTACGTTTAAATTTCATAGAGATCCATTTACTTAAACTAAAGTTATTGTGCAAAAACCAATTGTAACTTGGATGGAGAGTTGTCTCATTGGCACTCATACCACATCTTCCTATATCTATGAACACCTTACAATCATTCCATACACCAAGTATAGTTGACCTATTGCTTTTAGTATCTGAGAAACAGACTTAATCAGAAAAACATAACATAAACTAATGACCATGAAAATGAGGTCAAGGTCAAATGAACCCTGCCAAACAGATATGAACACCTTATAATCATTAAATACCCCAAAGTTAGCCCACCTATTACTTTTAGTTTCTGAGAAAAGGACCAAACTACAGAAAGTTAACATTGACCAACAAACCACGAAAAGGAGGTCAAGGTCAGATGATACATGCCAGACAGACATGTACACCTTATAATCATTCCATATACACCAAATGTATTTAACCTATTGATTAAGGTATCTGAGAAACAGACCAAAGCACAAAAACTTAGTATTAGCCAATGAACCATGAAAATTAGGTCAAGGTCAGATGAAACTTGCCAGTCAGACAATCATACCATACACCAATTACCGTTTACCTGAATACAGTTCTATACAAATTGTTTAAGCCACTGACCTTGGATTAGCATCCCTATGTCTCACATTATGTGACTGTATTCTCTTAACCAAGAAAATGAGGGTAATGACAACAGAAACCAGAAGTATTCAAGGCATCCCATATACAAGATATCCACATCTTCTCCTTTATAAAGATTTATACAAATATTCTAAGCTCCTGACATCTGAACTGAACCTAAGCATCCCTATGTCATTCTATGACATTTGTCACAGGGGAGACAAAAAATTAAATAGGACTGATAGCTTGATGAAATAGCCTGAATAGCTCATATATATATATTATATATAAATATATATATATTTTTTTGGGGGGGGGAGGGGGGAGGGATGGGGAACCCAGGAAAACATAGAAAATTCAAATCAGTTAGAATTTCAGCATTATTTATAAAGGGTTTAAAAATCAATTCTGAAAAGATTCCAAAATAAGGGGAAGTAGCGCATTGTATTCTTGAAAATAAAGTCTAGAACAATAAAAGAATGATATAACCATGACTAAAGGTTTTTTAGTGAAGCAAGAACACAATATCATATGAAGCTTATATTCAGTCACAAAGACTTGGCAATCTCTATTATAGCATGACACTTGTAGAAATATTTGTAGATTGAGAAAAGAAATACCTGAACACAAAGTAGCACATGACAGGTATATAATAGATCAAACACTACAATTGGTTGACATAGCAATTGCATTCCTATCATCCTGACCTATCTCAGGCATTCTGACATATTGTACATACAGTTATACTTGTTTACCTGTCATTAACCTGTAACAAACAACTAAATAGATCCATTTATCTCTGTTTGACACAAGACAAGATCATTTGTAACTGAGTAAGATATAAAAGATACCCTTTTAAAATATTTCTGGGTCCATGATAAGTGTTTTCGGTATTACAAGAGATCAATTTCTCAGAGACAAGAGTCACATCAACTAATATTTGCTTACTTTGTTTAATTCCTGTTATCTGAGAAAATGAAATTTTGTTTTACAAGTTGTTTTAATGAATTGTTCAATAATAACCTTATTTGTGTAAATTGTGAACAAATGTGTGACTCACAATTTCATATTGACAAAATTGTAATGACATAGGTAAGAAAATGTTACAATTTAAGAATAATTTCATTCATGTTATATTCTGTATGTAGAAATTTAGGTTTGTTTAAAAATTATTTCACAGATATCTAGGTGGGACAAATACTCGCATCTGTAAATCTCTATTTCCTCGTATCAACTTATAAATAACTATATACCGATGATCTCTCCACCCTTACTAATGTAAGTACTGAACATTAGTTTTTATCACTATAGAGTTGTAGTAAACCCTTGTTAAAAGATGAAAGACTTGAGAAGTTAATTATCTGTAACCACAAAACATAGGTGGCTATACATTATGTAAATCATGCATGCTAGAACCTGGCTTCTGATGTACCTAAAATCAGGTGTGAATTGTATACTTATTTACACTCAATTTCCCCTGGTATCTGCTGATTCTAACACAGACATAATATTACTATAACACCCTTTTCATTCATCTTCATTTAAAAAAAAAATATCTATTACAATATGGCAATTATACTTCTTCACATTCAAGGCCACATCTGATGAGAATGAGTGATTGAAATATCAACTGCTGTGTATAAATAATGATTGAATATTTAATCTGTCTATCATTTTCTATTTCTATCTAACAATTCTATTACCTTGAACTAGAAAAAGTGGCAGCCATAGCAGTGAGTGGTTTTTTACACCATGCATATAATCAGAATTGAATATACCCTAACTTTGGAATAAAGCTTATTTTACAGATTGATAATACATAATAACAGTTATCTCTCAAGACAATATTTCCAAATGCATACTGCAGGTTGAATCTTTAACCATTGTAAAAGGCTGAATGGTGACTTATTCATTCTGATCATTTCAGTCTTTTTTTAACAGTTGTCTCATACCCTTTCATACCAGATCTCTACTACACATTTATCTTATCAAACTAAGATCAACTGCAATGAAATAAAATTCAATTTCTTTTTTATCTAAATGAATGTTGGCAACTTATTTTAGTCCATCTTCAACTCAAGTAAACTTAATTACCACATCCTCTTCTTAACTTAACCTACTTCACAATTATATAAACTGCACATTCCAAACATTACTATAGCCTGGCTATAGGTACCAACTTGAAGATTCTTCCGACACTATCAATTTTTATCGTTCACTCATATTTCATTCATAAAATTCTTAACAACTATTCTATATTTGGACAAAATATAAGTACACTTATCCTTACAACATTATCTCATAAGTAATTTAAAAGAGTGTAATTATTTAAGAGTTACTTAAAACACCAATTAATTCAAAATTTCAATTTCGAAAGCCAACATCATGTGTTTATGCAAAGTACTTCTAAATAGGGTTAAACACTAAGAGGCACTTGTAAAACATGATGTCACCTGAGAGAAACAATGGAATCACCCAGGTATGGGAACAGATAGTACGGAAGTTTAACACAACATATTTGCTATAAGTAGGGACCTTCTTGAAATTGACGTAAATAACTCCTCCACTCTCTGCTCAAGTGTTAATTCCTAGGAATTAAAAAGTATAAATAGCAGAAAAATCTCCCAGAAAAACATGTGAACACATAGGTAAATATTTATGTGATAAGGACCTACAGTACTATAAATAATTACTCCTCAAAGAAGTTTGCATTACCTCAAAATTCATAACTTAAGGTAAGTCTCTTGTATTTTTAGTTAATTTTTGTAATTAATTTTTATAATGATTAACTATTTTCTTATACATAAAACAATATTTTTTTTATAATTGTGATTTTCTACCATTGATATCAAGTACATACTAATGCAATGGTTTTAGTATGCTAGATTTTCTTAAATTCCAATTTTGAGTTGACTTGAAAAAATTTGCTTTTTAGTGGAAATTGGGTGCCTGCTTATTTTACAGTCAATATTTCACATAAACCAATAAACATGAATGCAGACTGTTTTTTTTCTAGTGAAGAGGGGTATACTGATGAAATGTAATAAAACTGTTTGTAAAAATAGATAACTACTGCTGCATATCTTTTCAATGACTGTCATGATTAAAAAAGAACTAAGACATTAAGACTATCTTTTATTATGATTGGCTTTACTTTGCTTGCTATCTGTTTATTCACTATAAGTAATTTTTGCCATGTTGAATTATTTTTTACATAAAAAGACAAACACTCATCACAGCAGTGAGCTGGCTAAGATTACCTTTCACAGATAAAAGTATTCTAACGTTACATAATCTCCTTTGTAAATTGTCTAAAGGTAAATATATATTCTTTTGAAAGTGCTTTACATGTTACCTTAGGGAGCATAATGAATTATGCTTCTCACGATATGAGTACACAACAAAAATGTTTACTTTTTTCAATCTATATCTATAAAACCCCCTATTTTCATATAAATCATACTGATGACAGTCTTAACCAACTAAACCTTACTTTATTGGCCATGGGAAGAAGTTTTAGTAGTAATTATAATGACATGTCAAATGTTTGACTTAGTATCAAAGCATAGTAGTCTAGATCCATTTAGATTTGAAAGTAACTGGTGTCAGAGAGTAAATTCACATTTAGTACCATTTACAACAAGAGTGCACACGCTGAAATGTCTCGCCTTCTTTACTAATCATTGATATTATGTTGATAGTCCTAAATATAAAGCTTTATTACAACTGTCACATAAACTTAACATTAACCAAGTAAAGTAAACATTGACCAATGAACCATGAAAATGAGGTCAAGGTCAGATGAACCATGCTAGGCAGGCATGTACAGCTAACAATTCTTCCATACAACAAATATAGTTGACCTATTGCTTATAGTTTAAGAAAAACAGACGAAAACACAAAAACTTAACACTGAGCAATGAACCTTCAAAATGAGGTCAAGGTCAAATAAAACCTGCGTGACTGACATATAGATCATAAAATATTTCCATACACCAAATATAGTTGAACTATTGCATATAGTATTAGAAAAAAAGACCAAAACTCAAAAACTTAACTTTGACCACTGAACCATGAAAATGAGGTCAAGGTAAGATGACACCTGCCAGCTAGACATGTACACCTTACAATCATTCCATACACCAAATATAGCTGACCTATTGCATGCAGTATTAGAAAGAAAGACCAAAACTCAAAAACTTAACTTTGACCACTGAACCATGAAAATGAGGTCAAGGTCAGATGACACCTGCCAGCTAGACATGTACACCTTACAATCATTCCATACACCAAATATAGTAGACCTATTGCATACAGTATAAGAAAAACAGACCAAAACACAAAAACTTAACTATAACCACTGAACCATGAAAATGAGGTCAAGGTCAGATGACACCTGCCAGTTGGACATGTACACCTTACAGTCCTTCCATACACCGAATATACTAGACCTATTGCTTATAGTATCTGAGATATGGACTTGACCACCAAAACTTAACCTTGTTCACTGATCCATGAAATGAGGTCGAGGTCAAGTGAAAACTGTCTGACGGGCATGAGGACCTTGCAAGGTACGCACATACCAAATATAGTTATCCTATTACTTATAATAAGAGAGAATTTAACATTACAAAAAATCTGAACTTTTTTTTCAAGTAGTCACTGAACCATGAAAATGAGGTCAAGGACATTGGACATGTGACTGACGGAAACTTCGTAACATGAGGCATCCATATACAAAGTATGAAGCATCCAGGTCTTCCATCTTCTAAAATATAAAGCTTTTAAGAAGTTAGCTAACGCCGCCGCCGCCGCCGCCGTAGCCGCCGCCGCCGCCGGATCGCTATCCCTATGTCGAGCTTTCTGCGACAAAAGTCGCAGGCTCGACAACAAAATGCTATTCAAAATAACAACTAGCTGCAGTTTAAATGAACAGAGATGAATCCAGCCAGAAATTAAATGTTTGAAATGTTATGTGGGGTCTACAAGAACTAAAGACTCTTAAGAGCCTGTGTTGCTCACCTAGGTTTATGTGCATCTTCACCAATAGACACTCTCCAACCTTGTAGACTATAATATTATTCATGACCACCGTACATATCTTCTATAGTTTTTGTCCAAAACACAAAAAGGGTAAAAGTAATTATTTAAGGGCAATAACTTGTCTTACTGATCATATTTGATTTTTAAAGTTCCTAACTTATGCAGTTTTCAAAATATAAGGCAAAAATAGTAAAAAATCGTCATTAAAAGGCAAAATTACTCCAATCAGAAGCCGACTGACAATTTTGGCCATGTAGACTTTTTTGCAGATCATGTCTTGCTGATCATATTTGCAATATAATGTGAATGTCTATGGTACTTATAATAATTTTCAAGATAATAGGCCAAAAGGGGAAAAAAAATCATTCATCATTTAAGAGCAATAACTCCTACAAGAAGTCATCTCATGAAAGTAGACAGTAGGTAGATCTCATTATTCTGAACATTTTCGCTCTGCCAAATGTTTTCTGTCTATAGCAGTTTTCAAGATAATAGACATAACTTGCATCTTATCCCTATGTCCCTATTTTTAGCCATGTCTGCCATGGTTGGCAGACAGGGTCATATTTTTTAAAACAATATATTCCAATGATGATTGTGGCCTCAGTTTGTTTAAATTTGGCCTTTTACAAAGATCATCTCCTGTGAGACTAAGTAGTTTCACAGGAGATGATCTTTGTAAAAGTTAACAGAAGACATTTATGGTGACAACGATGATGGATGCCAAGTAATGGCAAAGGCTCACATTGGCCTTTTGGGCCAGGTGAGCTAAAAATAGAGGATTTATTCTTAATAGTGTCAATTCTAATATGACTTTAAACTAGAGGCTCTCAAGAGCCTGTGTCGCTCACCTGACTCTACTTTGGTTTTAGAAATCATGTAAAGAAAGATAAAAATCATAACAGATACCCAAATAATGATTGAGGCCAAATTTTGATTAATATTGGTCCCGTTATTTAATAAAATATCCTGGTGGCCATCTTGAACAGTAAATCGGCAACAAAGTAGCAACACTTGGTCAGCACTTCATAAGGAACATTCATGCCATGTTTGGTTTCATTCCATTCAGTGGTACTCTAAAAGAAGACATTTGTATGTATTTCCCATAGGGTCCTATGTTAAACTAAGCCCCCCCCCCCCTAGCAGCCATCTTGGATGATGGATCCACTGCAAAGTAACAACACTTGGTCAGCAACTCATAAGGAACATTCATGCCATGTTTGGTTCAATTCCATTCAGTGGTTCTCTAAAAGAAGACAATTGTATGTATTTCCCATAGGGTCCTATGTTAAACTAAGTCCCCCACTGTCGGCCATCTTGGATGATGGATCGGCTACAAAGTAACAACACTTGGTCAGCATCTCATAAGGAAGATTCATGCCATGTTTGGTTTCATTCCATTCAGTGGTTCTCTAAAAGATGACATTTGTATGTATTTCCCATAGGTCCTTTGTTAAACTAAGTCCCCTGCTGTCGGCCATCTTGGATGATGGACCGACTGCAAAGTAACAACACTTGGTCAGTACCTCACAAGGAACATTCATGCCATGTTTGGTTTCATTCCATTCAGTGGTTCGCTAAAAGAAGACATTTGTATGTATTTCCCATAGGTCCTTTGTTAAACTAAGTCATCTTGGATGATGGACCGACTGCAAAGTAACAACACTTGGTCAGCACCTCATAAGGAACATTCATGCCATGTTTGGTTTCATTCTATTCAGTGGTTCTCTAAAAGAAGACATTTGTATGTATTTCCCATAGGGTCCTATGTTAAACTAAGTCCCCCGCTGGCGGCCATCTTGGATGATGGATCGGCTACAAGGTAACAACACTTGGTCAGAACCTCATAAGGGACATTCATGCCATGTTTGGTTTCATTTCATTCAGTGGTTCTCTAAAAGAAGACATTTGTATGTATTTCCCATAGGGTCCTATGTTAAACTAAGTCCCCTGCTGGCGGCCATCTTGGATGATGGACCAACTGCAAAGTAACAACACTTGGTCAGCATCTCATAAGTAAGATTCATGCCATGTTTGCTTCCATTCCATTCAGTGGTTCTCTAAAAGAAGACATTTTTATGTATTTCCCATAGGGTCCTATGTTAAACTAAGTCCCCCGCTGGCGGCCATCTTGGATGATGGATCGGCTACAAAGTAACAACATTTGGTCAGCACCTCATAAGGAACATTCATGCCGTATTTAATTTCATTCCATTCAGTGGTTCTCTAAAAGAAGACATTTGTATGTATTTCCCATAGGGTCCTATGTTAAACTAAGTTCCCCAATGGCGGCCATCTTGGATGATGGATTGGCTACAAAGTAACAACACATGGTCAGCACCTCATAAGGAACATTCATGCCATGTTTGGTTTTATTCCATTCAGTGGTTCTCTAAAAGAAGTCATTTGTATGCATTTCCCGTAGGGTCCTATGTTAAACTAAGTCCCCCGCTGGCAGCCATCTTGGATGATGGATCGGCTACAAAATAACAACACTTGGTGAGCACCTCATAAGGAACATTCATGCCATGTTTGGTTTCGTTCCATTCGGTGGTTCTCTAAAAGAAGTCATTTGTATGCATTTCCCATAGGGTCCTATGTTAAACTAAGTTCCCCGATGGCGGCCATCTTGGATGATGGATCGGCTACAAAGTAACAACACTTGGTCAGCACCTCATAAGGAAGATTCATGCCATGTTTGGTTCCATTCCATTCAGTGGTTCTCTAAAAGAAGACATTTTTATGTATTTCCCATAGGGTCCTATGTTAAACTAAGTCCCCCGCTGGCGGCATCTTGGATGATGGATCGGCTACAAAGTAACAACATTTGGTCAGCACCTCATAAGGAACATTCATGCCGTATTTAATTTCATTCCATTCAGTGGTTCTCTAAAAGAAGACATTTGTATGTATTTCCCATAGGGTCCTATGTTAAACTAAGTTCCCCGATGGCGGCCATCTTGGATGATGGATTGGCTACAAAGTAACAACACATGGTCAGCACCTCATAAGGAACATTCATGCCACGTTTGGTTTTATTCCATTCAGTGGTTCTCTAAAAGAAGTCATTTGTATGCATTTCCCATAGGGTCCTATGTTAAACTAAGTCCCCCGCTGGCAGCCATCTTGGATGATGGATCGGCTACAAAGTAACAACACTTGGTGAGCACCTCATAAGGAACATTCATGCCATGTTTGGTTTCGTTCCATTCGGTGGTTCTCTAAAAGAAGGCATTTGTATGCATTTCCCATAGGGTCCTATGTTAAACTTAGTTCCCCGATGGCGGCCATCTTGGATGATGGATCGGCTACAAAGTAACAACACTTGGTCAGCACCTCATAAGGAACATTCATGCCATGTTTGGTTTCATTCCATTCAGTGGTTCTCTAAAAGAAGACATTTGTATGTATTTCCCATAGGGTCCTATGTTAAACTAAGTTCCCCGATGGCGGCCATCTTGGATGATGGATCGGCTTCAAAGTAACAACCCATGGTCAGCACCTCATAAGGAACATTCATGCCATGTTTGGTTTTATTCCATTCAGTGGTTCTCTAAAAGAAGTCATTTGTATGCATTTCCCATAGGGTCCTATGTTAAACTAAGTCCCCCGCTGGCGGCCATCTTGGATGATGGATCAGCTACAAAGTAACAACACTTGGTGAGCACCTCATAAGGAACATTCATGCCATGTTTGGTTTCATTCCATTCAGTGGTTCTCTAAAAGAAGTCATTTGTATGCATTTCCCATAGGGTCCTATGTTAAACTAAGTTCCCCGCTGGCGGCCATCTTGGATGATGGATCGACTACAAAGTAACAACACTTGGTCAGCACCTCATAAGGAACATTCATGCCATGTTTGGTTTCATTCCATTCAGTGGTTCTCTAGAAGAAGTTCAAAATGTAAAAAGTTTACGCCGACGACGGACGACGGACGACGGACGCCAAGTGATGAGAAAAGCTCACTTGGCCCTTCGGGCCAGGTGAGCTAAAAATGGATAAAAATCTGAACGAGTTTGACTCTTGTGGGAAAGAGTACTGGTAAGCACAATATATTATAAAAATAAAAATGGGCAAATTTTAAGGGTGAGATCAAATTTGCAGTAAAAATAATAGTAAACTTTAATTGATGTAGGGTTATGGGAAATTCTAATAGACCATCAATCAACACTACTAAACCTTCTAGAATGTACTACTCTATGCAAGATCATGAATCAGGTTATGAATAAGACTATCAGGTTTCATAGTACATACTATAAAGCTACTACTGTTGATGAAGATGGATGTTGTGACATACAGTGTAGGTGGGGTATATATTATAGACACCCAATGATTCATATAATAATATGAACAACGTAAATAACTGGAATACAGTGATACATGTATACTGGAATTACAATTTCTCCTTTACAAGTAAGAACTTTTCTCATTTCAGCCTGTGACATATATAGGACAGATTCATTCTTGTAGGTCTAATTATAACCAACAAAAAAAAGAGTAATAACACATTAAAAAAACACCAAACCAGAGGCTCCAAGGAACCTTTAATTGCTTTCCTAGTATCTATCCAATAAAGTTAATTATGTTTTGTTCCTAACATTTCAAAAAAGGCACCAACACAATTTTGGAGTTAATATGGCACTCATCTAAACATCTATGGATAAAACTGGCTTATGTTCCTTATAGAGTTCATGTTATTTTATGGCATGATGCTTTTTAAATAGTCTTATATAGTAAAAAATGTGCTCATTGTTGAAGACTGTATGGTGACCTATCATCATTTGGACTGGTGGATAGATGTCTCATTGGCGATAATACCACATCTCCTTATCTTTATATCAAACTATGCAATTGTAAATAAAAAAGGCTCATGGAATGTGATTTCCATTTAAGGTTCTAAATGCTGTTGATCTCAATAACATTCACCTATTAACACTGTTGGAAAACAAACATGTAGCATAAGATTTATGTTACTTGCAACTTCTCGAGTATGGTAATGCAAGGCTGTGAATAGAGCATTAAATATTCTACCAAAAATGGTTCTATTATCTAGTCAAACTAGAAAAAAAATGTGTATGTAATCTGTGCAGACTTATTTAACAAAAATAGACAAACAGCAAAAAAATACTATTTTACATGTATTAAGGCTTACAATTATTATGCCACTTATAATAATTATGCCAGCCACTTTTGGTTGGTATTTAGCCTTCATTAATATAATCATGAAACTCAAAACCTCAAAAAAGATAATTACTAATTTTGGTTCTAGTTGGGCAAGTGGTTTCCTAGGACCTTTTCTCCATGTCTCTATTTATTCAGATATTTCTGTCATGTGTTGGATGCCACATGTGGAGTATGATAAGATTATCAAAATAGTTGAAACCAATTTACCAATTTATTAGGGATTTCTTCTGAAGCATTGTTGGCATACTTTGGAATTGTAACTTACAGGGATCAACAAGAGAATTTTAAATGATTAATTGTATAGGTCTACCATAAACTTAACAACCCAAATCCGTTATCTGGCAGAAATTAAGTTTTATAAATTGTTGTATTTCTTACATTACACATAATTACAAGCAGTAAATTGAAAAAAATCTCCAACAGATTGTAAATAATGTGCTTGTAATCTACCTTTAAAAATTGTTTACATGGTGAAAAAATCTCCTTGGAAGTAGTGAAGATTGAAGAGGCCTTTCACTCAATCCAATACCATTTATATTTATGAATGAAGTATTTTTACTTTCAAATGTAGATGTTTTTATATAAGTGACTACCTTTCTGATGTACTAGCAGGATTAAACAGAAAATGAGACTGTAAATAAATAGATTAATCTTTCTTATCGCATGTTAAAAAGGTATATCACAAGATGCTTAATGAAAGGTGAGGTTCAGAAATAACTTAATCTTGGCAGAACATGAAAGAAAATGTTGCTTGATATTTCAAAATTAAAGTTTAATGTTTGGTACAAGTGAAATAATTGTTTTAAACCAGCGTGTAGTGTTACCTTGCTTTCGTGTTTTACAAATTCACAGTTATCGTGTAAATCGATACGTCTAATGAAACGTTATATTTAAACAAATGTCTTGTCACCTAAGAGGATGATTTTCGCAATAAATTTTCATGAGAAAAATGTTAAGGCATGTGTATGCTGTTGCAGACATGTAATACCTGATAATACTAATTACCATGTGGAAATTTATCCTTGGGTTTAGAGCTCAAATTGGCTTAATTTGCATAACACCTTTTGTTAATTTTGTCTCCTTGATTTATCGTTAGCCAGTCAGACTTATATGGTTTGCATCTGCAAATATTTACAGCAGGTGTTCAATTCATACAAATGCTGATGTTTTATTGGCTGAAAGATGAATCATTTGATTCTGTCATATGTTTTCAATTCGTATGAAAACGACTCAAGATCATTGAGTTTTAAGCTCTGCCCACTTGATTCACCAATATAAAAATAAGAAGACAATATTTTTACACTTTGTTTGTTTACTGATACTTCATGCAAACACAGTTATATAATAAAAAAAATTGCAAATTTTTCAATTTGAAAAAGTTATTGACACATTATATGTAGTGACACTATGAACAATTGATAGAAATCTGTATCAATAATTTATACACATGTAATAATCATTGTTTGATAAATATTTTACGACATCTTCATTATGCAAATTTCAGCGATATGACATATCACAGATTTCATGTGTTTAAAATTTTAATTTCAGATATAATATGCCTTATTATAACATATATAGGTATTTCACTTCAAAGGATTGTAAATATAAGAATTGAACGCTGTGTTTTTGAAGTTTTATACAAAATGAAAGTAAGTGACAATCATAATTTTAGCAAGAAGTGCTTTCCTGATTCACACAAAATGTGGAGGTCACTTGCTTTCATTTCTGAATCTTTAACTGCATTCCTGCAATTCCACACAGCAAAAAAATGACATTCCCAAAAATTCATTTACCTCAATTGTTTGGGTTGTTTTCATATCTTTATTAGTGGGAATGACTGTATAATTTTCCTGTTCGAAATGCAGAATTGAAAATGATATGAGAAGGTTTATGGTAACATTTGTTAAACATTTGAAGGCCTTAAAATATTTAAAAAAGCAATGACAACATTATGGATTTATTCTCTTTTTCAGAGACATAATTTCTAACCATGGAACTGGTATACTTATACGGAGTATTGACATTCTTATTTACATTGCGGCATTATGCAAATGCATGCTCATGCTTTCCAACCCATACTCAGAACCATTACTGTAGAGCTGATTTTGGTAAGTGTGAAAGACAGTCAGATAAGTGACTTACTTCTATATATATATATACTTGTTATCTTAGTTTTTTTAAAGTAAGGAGCATTTGGGTTTTACAACAGGCTATGACTTGAACAGGAGATTATTTCATATAAACTTGTAAAACAGATGTTAAACAATTTCCAACAAAATTAGAGACAATTACTATGATTATATCTAAACAAATTGTTGTGCTCTCAAGTTAGTAGAGTGAATTATTGTTTTAATGACAAATTAAATCAATGACTTCCTCTGATTTTAATGTTAAAATGCTACTGTGTATATATTCATACAGTATTTATCATTTTGACCATGTTTGTTGCTTGAAAAAATTGGAATTCCTGTGTTAATCATCTTTATTCTGCCAGTTCCTTTGACCAGTCATAATCAAAACACTTACTAAGGCTTAAAATTGGTCATGACTATGTCAATAAAACTGCTTCAATAATCTGAATTTTTATTGTTGATTAATTAAATTTAATTGCTTTTTTAACATCCAGTGGCAAGTATTTCAAGTATATCCAGAACAAGACCATCTTCATCAATAAATCAAATTAACAGAATTTACAAAGTAGGTTAAGAAGGATGGATGTAAGTAGGAGGCAGAACTTTGCCTTCGTTAGGTCTCTTATGGGCCCCTTACTGAGTTGTCGTCACAGTTTTTTAGCTAATAGAAGTGGACTCCTTCCAAATAGATTGCATAAAATTTACCTCCAAATTCTAAAAGGACCAGGCTGAACATTTATACACACCAATGAGTCAAATATGCATCCCTCAGCATGGGTCCTTATGTTTTACTGGAGAGGTTTGAGTAACCTAATTTTTGTCCTCATTCACACTCTTTTTTCAGACCCAGTTAAAAATAATTATAATATAATATTTTCAACAAACAACTTTAAAATAGAAAAAATTAAGAGAGAACAAGTGAAATTGTCATGCCTTCTTTAAAATCAAGGTCTTAAAATATCAACTAATGAACCATGAAAAGGGCAAATGTTAGATGAACCTTATGAGATGGACATGAACAGCTATCAATTATTATCACACTGGGTATACCGATCAGAAAAAGGTGGAGGGATCCAAATCACAAGGAGCAATTAATGAAAAGTTTGTTACAGTGGGTAGTTAAAATCTGGATTTGGTTTTGACAGAGGAATTATGTTTCAAGAATTTCATTAATTGTTCCTCAGGATTTCGGATCCCTAGATGCGAATTTTGGATGGGGATACCCAATGTAATTATCAACTTCTAATATAGTTGACATATTACTTATAGTATTTAAAAAAGTGACCTTGTTATGAATGTTGATCAATAAGTCATGGAAATTAGGTCAAGGTCAGCAGAACTCTTTCAGATGCACATGTTCGCCTTAAAATCATTCTATACATCATAATTGTAGTAGTCTCTGAAAATTGACCTAACACAAAAAGTTAACATTTACCAAAAAAAAATGAAACCAAGAATATGAGGTCAAAGTAAGATAAACTCTGTTAGACCTCATGTAATGCTAACAATAATTATATACACCAAATCTAGTTGACCTTATCTTTATAGTACCTAAACAATTACCTCAACAAGTGAATCATGAAAATGAGGTCAAGGTCAGATGATCTTGTACATTGTACAATCCTTTTATGTAACCAAATATAGTTGCACTATTTTGCTGTGGCTTGCAGAACAGAATTCTAAATGACTGTTTTTGACTTTGCATTAAAAATAACTAAATAAGGTTACAAACAAATTCCATCACAATTTAAACCTAAAAATAGCAGCCAAAACATTGAGATCAGTAGAACATTCCTCAAGTACCTGTATTCATAACAATACAATACATAACTTGAATGCACTCCATGCATGCTTCAAATAATGCCAAGTATTACTATTATACTAATTATGTAATTAATCAACACAGAAAATAACTGTCTATGAAGTAAAATCTGATGCCAGATTTCATCTATGATTGTCAGTATTCTGAAACAAACCACTACAATTATATTATGTTTGTCATATCATAGGCTGCAAGCAAATTATCTACTGTAAGAATACTTTGCATTTTTTGCAAAATAAATGTTTGTTTTTTGTAGTTTTACTGATTGCTTTCTATTTGTGTTCCAGTGGATTGTTCATTTGTCTGTCAATCAGATAAACAAAGCAAAAGATAAATGGTAACCAATTATGTTTTTCTATCAAACTGCAACAACAACATAATTATCTAAGTCAATGTTTGATTTAAATCAGATATAATCATCTTTGCAGATATTTTAAGTTGGCTCACAGTGCATGTGACAACATTTATCTGACTGAATAATGTCATTTATCAATATGTATAATTTGTACATGTTTTTTTCAGTAATTGTTGCCACAGTGAAAAATGTAGAAGAAATATACAATAACCAATTCAAACAGACCAATAAAATTCCAGAAGGACCAGTGTATCCATTTCCAATCAGGAGAAAGTTCAAGGCTAGAGTTCATAGGTCATTTAAGGTAACCTACAGACAACATTCATAAAAGGAATGACAACATAAAAGAGCACATTTTATGATAGGCACCTAAAGTAATAGAATACCACATCTGACAGAAGAGATCAGTCATGTTTAGTAGAGATTTATAGATGTCATTATCATGATTTCTCAGTACATCCAAGGATTAAGACAATTTTCCTGCAGGATTCTTAATGTAACAAGATCAACTTCAAAGGAGTAACAATTGCTAATTCTGCTTATTCCAGCCTATTTTTCATTTGACGATCCTTTGTATAAAACCACACCAAAGTGAAGAAATAGCTTTGGTTTTTCACCCCACATCCACATTGAAGGTTTTTCTAAATTAATTAAATTTCATGAAGACTTTGTTTGACATCTAATAACATTTTAGTTTGCAATTAGATAAAAGGAGATGTGGGGTACAGGTCATTAAGACAGCAATCAAATGAAGCAAACAAAAGGGGGGGGGGGGGGGGGGACTTCATCCATTTTTAAAAAAATTTTCATAATGTTCTGTTGATGAAATAAATAAAGCTACATATTTGTGTAAGCAACCAGCTTGAATTTTGCCTTTCGTTCATTTATCTTTTAATCTCTTACAGAAGAATGGAAATGATACATCAAGAGAGATTATAATAAACACTCCAGGTTCTGATGCTGCTTGTGGTGTACAGTTAGACCTCAATAAGAAGTATATTATTGGTGGTAAGACAAATATATTAACTAATGTCTTAAATTCACAACAGAATATGTTTTATTTAACCTTGTATAAACTGAGGGTAAAACTTCGGTTATTTTGGGTCATTTAAAACGGTCAGGAGTACATGTGTTTCAAATTTATAAAAATGAAATTGCACAAGACAGATGATCATGATGCATACAAGACAATATCTATAATATTGCAAGGGAAAATATCACTGAGTATCAATGTTTGTATGTGTTTCCTAATTTTTATTAATTCAGATATATATTTTTTTAATATATTCATACTAATTTCAAACAAAAAGAAAATCAGATTGTAATAGTTATCATTCATAAAATAATAGGCAAAGGAAGATAACTCAATTTTGTTCATAAGACAATAATTCAGCTGCTCATCTTTTTTTCCCCAGGTTATAAAGTTGAAGGTGACTACTGGATTAATCTATGTGGCTGGGTGCAGGAATATAAAACACTTAACAGGCAGCAAATAAAAGGACTTAAATTTTTCTATGGAAAAAATTGTCAGTGTAAGGTAGGTTATAATAGAAAATATGAAATAAATTACAGTAAATGTACAAATTTAGAAAATCATTTACTGTGAATTGACTCCACCTATTGCAGTAAAATTCAAAATTCTGTATAGAAATTCTTACAAACATTTTCATAATATCAATGAAGTGAAATTAAAGTCTAATAGTATTGTAAGTAATTGCTTTATTTTATCACCTTGCACTTTCACAAATTGACTAGTTTTCTACAACAGTTTGTTAAAATTTCCGACCAGTTGAAAAGTTTGGTTTGATAAAAACATTGTGCAATTTGGTCAGAATTTTGAATAAACTGCAATATGTGAAGAGCAACACTTACAGTCAAGTCACAGTAACATAAATCCAAATATGGGCAATAAAAAACTCATAAATATAAAAGGATCAACACAATGGCAAAAAATTTTAAAAGGATAAACTATTGCATGATTAACATCCAAAAAGAAAACTAAATGTGTTTGAACGACACGAATGGCCCTGCTCACAAATTTTCCAAGTCTTAGCCCTGTAATTTCAGCCAAAATCAGCGAAGCAGAACCAAACGTAAACTCGATCTGTAACTCATCATAGTAGACTCACATACTAAATATCAGCTCAATATGTGAAGCGTTTAGAAGAAAAAAATTCTGTATAACTGTTATCAAATTTTCAAAGTCATCAATACGTCAATTTCAAAGTATGCAATTTATTTTTTAGCTTTAATACTGAATACAAAATGACCTTGATATTGTCTTTTACAGGTATCTTGGTGTAATGGTAACTTCTGTAATTCAGGATATGGAAATTCAAACAAAAACACTTGTAAATGGGAACCACGGTGGAGTAATGATTGTTATATAAGATATGGAGTCTGTAGTGAAAACAGATCTGATGGCTCATGTTCATGGCGGAAAAACAGAAAATTCAAAACATGCCTTCAGACAAATGATGAAGTATTTCCATGGAAACAAAGGAAACCATCAAACGCAGAAGTTTTCCCTCCACCATCTGTACATGAACATGAACACAGTCCTGGTTATGTGCCTTAATGTATCTCTAAGTAAATGTGTTATAAACCAAGAGAAAACAAATATCAACAGTTTTGTATCTTTAATAGGGCATACTATCAGGCAGATGATATTGTTTTATAAAATAATGTGATGAATATGGACAGCTAAACAGATTTCCATTTAATATGACAACAATGTTTAACTGTGTTACTTCTTAGTGACATTTCTGCATGACTGTAGAAATCTCACTGATCAATTACTTTTTCATATTGAAGAAAAGTAGACTAAAGACTTAGTATACACTTTATAATAAGAATTTTTCATGTGTGTATATTTTTGCTATGTCAGAAGTTGGCACTTGAGTCCATTATTTTCCTCTGCAGGTATTAATCTGCAATATATATTGTTATGTGAATCTTAAATAATAGTCAAACAGAATAAGCAATACAGCAAACATTTAAACTTCTAATTTTATGTGAAAACCGAAGAATAAAAAAGCATTTACATTCTTAAATATATTATAACAGAACCACCTATAGCTAAGTAAAATTAATGAACTTTTGTGAGCCAGCTGACATACCCAAGCCCCAAAGAAAGGGGCTTATAATAACCCCGTTCACTTTCAGGTCTGATGCCTTTCTTTTATGATTTTAGACTGAAATATTGTCTAACAAAAATCTGTTTTCATATCTATGACCGTAGACCTAGAAATTTCAAAATTAAAAGGGTCTTGATTTCATTATATGTCACAAATTTCGGTCTATAATTAATTATTTTGACCTTGAACTTAGGTGTAGTGAATTCAAAGTCAAAAGGAATCTTCCTCTCATTATATATGTGACCATATAACCACGTAAAGTTGCAATTAACATCCAAAATCATTGATTGACAGACTGACAGACAGACTTATATTGTAGTGATGGGTATAATAAAGAGTAGAAGGAAGGCCTTTCAAGAATGCAGCCTTTTTGTAAAATGAAAAATGTTAAGAAATGATAAGTTTGTTATGTTTTGATATTTTCTTGCAGTTGTATATTTTTGTAAATACACTAATTATAGGCAGCTAAACCATTCAAAGGGAAGTAACTTATAAATTTAGTTACTTCATTTTTATAGAATTTTTAAATTCTTTACTTTTCATACAATATTGTAATAAAGTAGAAAATATTTGAAAACTAGCAAAAAAATAAGTTATCAATTTGAGTAATTTTCTTCATAAATAGAAAAAGGTAGCTATTTTGTTTTGTTTTGGACTATTTTTAAAAAACATTGAATGATGGAATCAATGAAGTAACTAAATGAAAAGTTGTATTTTTATGTTTTGTATGTCTTGCTGTTGTGAATTCTATTTTCTGTAATATTCACCTTGAACTACAGATAGCCATATAAAATAAAACTCTATAGGACAGCAAACTATTTCAATTTAACATATATATCTTAACATATCAAATTCACACATTGTTCACCCCTGTAAATACATTGTAGGTAGATACATTTTGTGATTTTTTTTCAATAAAAATATGTGACTAAACTTATGTCAGTTATTGAAGTGAGATCTGCCTTAATTGGAACATTATAACCCAGAAAATGTATTACACAATTCTAGAAAACTAAATGTACGCTATTATCGACAATTCGTACATTTTCCCTTTGAACTTACTGCCTAATATTTTTAAGATCATGGACAGGACTTGATACTCGAAAATATTAGGCAATGACATCATCTGTCATGTTCTCAAGTCCATCTGCGTCAATTTATCAATGAAATGCACGAGACAAATCATTCATACATCTGAAAAACTATCCCAGGGTTTTGTATGCGTAAAAGAAGCGTTACTACCGGTAACTATTTCATTTTACTTTGTATTCTCCACCAAAAAAATATACATTTAAGACAAATTGCCGATAAAAAGAATAATGGCATTTTATTTTTGATACTAACTTCATCACCTCAAATATCAGCTCGCCCTGTTGAGCTCGCTTGATATTCTTGCTGATAAAGTCAGTATCAAAAACAAAAAGGCCATTATTCTATATATGTATACATTTAGTCCATACAACCAAATAGACAAAACACATAATTAGGAAACAACCTAGACAATGCTATTCATATACACCCGTCATAAACAGATATGCCATTGTCTGCCTGTCTGTTTGTTGTCCATGTTGTTGTAGAAAAGCAAGATAATGCCTTGATCAAATTTCAGGCAACTTGTATGGAATACTTAGATGGATTGGAAGAAAGTTCCCAGTCAATGTTGTATAAATTTTCATTTTGTTGTTCAAGAGTTATGGGACTTTAACTATCAGATTGAAGGCACCTTTTGACATATCCTGCATTTACTTAATGATGCTCAGATATATCCTGGAAGTATAATATTGACTTTTTACTTCCATGGATATATTTACTTGAAATTCTACACTATTGGTGGGATTTAATATTTAATTTTTGTGTGTAAATTGTCCTGATGACACCTGCCTGGCAGGCGAAATATGCAAACCAACATTTTTTTTTAATAAAATTGTAGTCTCATGAAGAGTTGTTGTCATATTGGTACTTTGTTTGATATTAAATATTGACAACCCTGTATACCAAGGTATCCACTCCAGGAGTCTCTACCAAAAGTAAACACAACAGAATGTTGTTTCATTGGATGCATTTTCAACCTTTTAGTCATGTGATTTATGTTCAATGTCATAAATTTGAACAGTCTTTAATTCAGAGAAGAAAAATACCCTTTCTTGAGTAACTTGTCTATGTATAATAAATTTGTTGACTTTAGCTGGATATGATGTAAAAAAAAAAAGTAATAATAACGAATGCAAGATTATTCAAGTGTCAGAACTAATATGAGTAATAATGAGTAATAGTGCAAAATCCAGCATTGAAGGTATTAAATAAGAACCTTTTTCATTCCAAATGTCCTTTTTTTTTGTGCTAACAAACAGATTATTCGAACATATTATGACATATCATTGGTGAAAATTTCTGAAGAAGATTAAAGACTATTGAAGTTTTCTCCCACAGACAAAAAATGATTAAATGTTTGATATTTGTCTACAGTCAAATGACTGATGCCATAATAACATTGATGACTTCATACTTTGTCTTTATTTGATCCGTCTGCAACATCCTGCATAAAAGGACAACCCAAAGATTGATTTTTTATAAGTACTTCTAGTTAAATCTTGTTTTAATACAGGAAATAAATATTTTTATTATCAATGATTATAAATACCTTAAATGTGAAAAAATATTTTTATGTTGATATATAAGCCATTCAATCTTATAAAAATTGTGTCAATGCTAGTCTGCTTCAATCATGTTGCAAGTTGATCATGATGTTTGAATATTTCACTGCTTTTATAAACCTTCACTTTCATGATAATATTTTTGAAATATTTTAGCTTGAAGACATTTTGTTCCTTGACTGATGTTGGTGTAGGATAAGTAAACATAACATGCACATTTGGGACAAGAAACAAGTTAGACAATGATCAACAATATAAAAAAGAATTTTATTACAGGGATTTATTCTTCCAGTTTGCATCATTTTCCCTTGCAAGTAGATTTATAATGATGACAGGGACCTGGAGTTACTTGCCCTGAACTGCTCATGGTTCTTATTTAACTGGTGCTTTAAAATCTAAGTATGCATAATTGACCAAAAACTCTTCAAATATTAAGTTTGGGACCAAATGCATAAACTTGTTGTTTGTAGACATTTGCTTTTAAACAAAAAAGTCTTGAATTATACAACTTAATATCTATACAAAGATAGTATTAATGAATGCTATCAGGAAAGTGTCTAGCTCTTAGCAACAAAAGGAAACCTAATGCATCAATGTTAAAACTAGGCTCTTTGGAATTCAATGTTGAGACTAATTTTCTGTCCCTACTCATCCCAATTTTTATTTCATATTTGTTACTTATATAGCCTTATAATTGCTCTGCTGGGGCAATAAGTCAAAGGGAATGCATCAACACTTATTTGACAATAAAATGATGAAATTATCAAAAATAAGAATTAATATAATTGTCACTAAAGATTTATACCAAGACAAACTTAAAGGACAAAGGGAAATTATCAACACTTATTTGACATTTTAGACATTTATACAAATCTTCAGGGAAATCAGAAAACACATAGGAACAAGATATCAGATACTTTCATCATCCAAATTGCCTACGAACAAATTGGCTGTAATTTCTTATCATGTGATATTGTACTAAAGAAACATCAGATTTGTCTGAGTTTCCTCGACACATACCAATTTTAATTTGTTTTATGAGTAATACAAATTGATTCTAATTTTGCTTGAAGTAATTTGCTTTAGTTGATAAGATTTAAAGATTTAAGAATGGGTCTATCAATTTAATTCATAAACTTTGTAATAATTGAACTGATTGATTGTTGGTGTTTAATGCCACTTGCAACATTCTTAACTACAAAATGTATATCATGACAGGCAATTTTTATTGGATGGGGAAGTCAGGGGTGTCCAGGTCCATTCAATCAAAGTTGGAATTGAAAAAAATTGAAAACAGTTATGCTGAAAACGTAAACATGTTTGAGGACATAATTGTCCTTTAGTACTTGGTGGATTGTTGTCCGTGTTGGCCAACATACCAAATCAATGTAGTTTCAATTTCATATGAGGTTAAAAGAGCCAATCTGTAAAAATAAATTCACCATTTTTGTTCTACTATTAGCACATTCACAAATTTAACTCACCATGCTCATACCAAGTGTACTTTATTACTTTACAAAATTATTACGTTCATAATTAAACCAACAAAAGCTAATTATTAAAATACATATTGTTTACTCTTATGGCGGTGTCATGAAATAAAAGTTCCTCAAATGTAAGTTCCAAACGAAAGAAATATTCTGTAATATTATTTCCACTGGTTATGGCATTATTTATAACAAAGTTTCCAGTGGAACTTCTGTAAGGTGGAACAAATACATATTGACAGTGGTAAAAACTGGCACTTTTTCTTGGTCTGCAGCAATTTCTGATTGTATGATGGCCTCTGAATGTCTATGTTTGGTGAAGATTGTATTGTTGCCTATAGATGTCTACTTTCGGTCAAATTTTGTTTTCAGATCGCTGTTTCAATGGCAATTACCCAATCTATTTTCTATCCTATATCTGCTATAAATATTTGATCATTTCAAAATCCCACCTAAGAAGTTTTTATCTTTATTCATATTCATCCTAAAATATATCTTCTTTCACAATAAGTTGAGGAGTTTCTCTTTAAAGTTTATCCATACTAATAATTCATCTATTGTCATTTTTTCATTGTCGTGACTAGATTTTTAATATTGACGTAAAAAATCTCTGACATACAATGTCAGAACAGATTATCTAAATGATTTATAGGGAATTGGGTTTATAAGTTCTTCAGTGAAAGTTGGTCTATTGAATTAAAGGTAAGTTGTTTTAAAATTTAGATTTATATCTTGCACTGATGCCTGCTGTAATTTTTGTACTTTCTTTTGCATATTATCATCATTTGTTGTTTTTAAAATCAGTTCATAAATATGTCAGCCTCATTTGAGACTTTAAAAATACTTATTTAAAATCAAATATTTGCATATTTTGTCAATTAAAATCCTTACTGTAAGAGTAAAGTGGGATGTGGGTATTCATCAATGAGACAGCGATCCAAGGACACAATGAGACAGCAATCCAAGGACACAATGAGACAGCGATCCAAGGACACAATGAGACAGCAATTCAAGGACACAAAACATTAAAAAAAAAACATCTAGAGGTCAAAATATTGTAATTGATAGGTTTAAGTTTGGTGACTTTCATATTTGTTTTTCGTTTATTGTTTTGTACAGTTTGTTCTTGTGTTCTGTTGCTCCGCTAACAGCACTGTCCCATGTTAAGGGGAGGGTTGGGAGCCTGCTAGCATGCTTAACCCCGCCACTTTTTGTATATCATATTTGTTTTTTGTTTATTGTTTTGTACAAAAATCAGGTCGTTAGGTTTCTTGTTTGAATTGTTTATATTATGTCATTTGGTCTCTGGTCAAGTGTTGTCTTATTGGCAATCATACCGCATCTTCTTATTTTTACATTCAACTAAAGACAAGTGTCTAGCTCTAAATCTCCTCAAGTTTCAGCAAGAAGTAAATAATTACAGAAAGGCTATTGTAGATCTGCCTTCAGTACAAATACCCTTCAGGACATAAACATTAAGATATAGCTAGATAACCACCGACTTTAGACAGGCACATGGAAACGTTGAATCCTCCCCTTTTTCATTCCTGATTTCAAGTTTATATCTCAAAAATCATCAATTGCAAATTTTCAACATGTAATAACTGAAATTTTTATGTTGGAACAAACTAGAATATTACAAGATAAAGAAAATAATTGATGAACTCATTATTTAAGAGTAAGTAAAGTAATTATCATGATCAATATTATTTCTATTACTTTTTTGTGTTTTCTGTTTGGAAAAGAGTCACAATTAAAAACTGAATGTATTTGTATGACAGACATGCCCAATAAACAGCAAGGAACATGAAATTATTTAATTCTACCAGAAATAGGTAAAAGAAAAAACACATTCTCAGTTTGTTGGCATGGACAAATTTGTCGAAATAACAGTTAATAAAATGATTCACAGAGCGCAGCCTGATACGACCACAGAGGTCGATCCCTGAACAGTTGGAGCAAGTTTGGACACAATATTCAAGCTTGATACTGTCTGAATTTGGATTGTGATCAAATTTTTGTCATAATACAGGTTTCTGACACAAAATAAATGTGGTCAAAGATCTTAAAAATTTGAAATGGGACATTTAATTTACCTAGTATGGTCTGATATCCAAAATCTAACAACATGGTTAGATTCAGCATATAAAAAAACACCAAATATATAATAATAGTTGAAATCAAACAAAGTTTAATTTTGGACCTTTCAAACCTTAATATTGACTAATTTGAAAACAGGGCCCAAAATAAAAAATCTAAATGCACAATAAGATTCAGCATATCATAGAGCCGCAATAATTCAGTTTTTGATGAAATCAAACAAAGTTTAATTTTGGACCCTTTGGACCTCAATGTAGACTAATTTAAAAATAGGGCCCAATATCTAAAATAGTAATACAAGGTTAGAACCCCCAAAAATTTAAGACTTTGAATTAATCCCATTGAAATTGGTTAAAAGATTTGTATTTATTTTCAATTCAAGATTTCTTGCTATCAAGCAATACTGTGCTGTTGCACAATACTTAGTTAATCTGTTATATATAATAATTTACACACCCTGTTTGATGTGTATCTCCTGCCATATCAGTATTTGTTGCTTTTTTATATAAATAAGAAATAATCTATGTAAAAATGGAAAACTTTTGGGGAAAAAAAAAAAAAATTATGAAAAAAAAATCCCCCCAAAACCAAAATAAAAATATTATTGTAAAATCTTGAAGAAAAAAGTATGACCCCCCCCCCCAAATAAAAATTGAAAAAAAAGACAAAAAAATCCCCCCCCCCCCCCCCTCAAAAAAAAAAACTTGTTGAAATTTTGAAGAAGATCTTTTCAGAAAAAATGTACTATTAAACTTTTAACACAAGTTATTGTCTGGAAACAAGAAAAATGGCTTGTTTTAGGCCCTTTTTTTGCCCCCAATTTCTAAACTTTTGGGGCAATTACCCCCAAACTCAATCCCAGCCTTCCCATTGTGGTATGGAACCTTGTAGTACAATTTCAGAGAGATCCATACACTTAAACACAAGTTATTGTCTGGAAACTAGAAAAAGGCTTGTTTTTGGCCCCTTTTTTGCCCCTAATTCCTGAACGTTTGGGGCAATTACCCCAAACTCAATCCAAGCCTTCCCTTTGTGATATGGAACCTTGTGGTACAATTTCAGCGAGATCCATACACTTACACACAAATTATTGTCCGGAAAACTACAAAAAAGCTTCTTTTTTAGCCCCTTTTTGGCCTCTAATTCCTAAACTTTTGGTACCATAACCCCCAAAATCAATCCCAACCTTCCTTTTGTGGTATTGAACCTTCAGTTAAAATGTCATAGAGATCCATTCACTTAAACTAAAGTTATTGTCCGGACACCAAATGTGTCTTCGGACGACGACGACAGCATGATAGCATTATATGAACGCGTGGTCGTATAAAAAAAGCATGAAGGATTATTTCTAAGCACACTTGCCTGAAGCCTAATTGTTAAGTGTGTATTTGTTGAATCAGTCAACCAATATGACAAATGTTTATCACAAAAAATTAAATTCAAACCTAATTTCCATTGAAGTTTGATCAATTAGAAGAAAGACAAACTTGATATGAAATTCATCATTTTACACTAGTAAACCTTAAAATAGAACCAATAGCGATAGGCAAATCAAAATAAGTCAAACAGATGTGTAATTTTATAGAAATTTATAATTTTTTATTGTTATGGTCATTTCGTTAATTATTGGGCAGAACTGTTGGTTAATCTCAGAACTGACACAAGAGGACTACTCTTGTAACTGAAAATCCTGAAGTCTTAACTTGTGATATGTATATGAACAGTTCAGTTTATGTTTCTATAAAAGATAAAAAAAAATTATCTACTGAAAATGTCAATCATAACACTACTGAACTAAACAAAATCAATTTAACTGACAGCAGTTTAGGGAATTAATTTTATTTCCTTTTGAATAAAAACTACATCAATTTCTATCTAGCAAGAGACAAATGTCTTAATTACCAAGACTTCGGTCTATTTTAAATGGAAACAATATCATTATTGGCAATAGTATGCCATAACAGGATAAATTGTAAAATATCAGACTAATTTATAACAGAAACAGTATTGATAGATTCTGCTGTCTTAGACTTATATGCACTCATTCTGAAAATTAAAATTTATCCAATATCTTTATACAGTTTTAAAGATTTTGGGTCCTGACCCTATATAAAAAAAATTAATACATGCTATTTTGGCAAATATTCCTTAAAATACCATTACACAACTAAAATATGAATAAATTGAGAAGTGGGGTACACATAAATAAGACAGTAACCCAAACAAGAAATTACATTTGATTTCATTCAAAGTGTACCCTTTGTATTCTTGTCTTTCATTTTTGCTTATGTGCTTTGTCTATATGCCATTTTGTTTTTCTTTGTTGACACATTTGTTTGTTTTTATGGTGATTAAGATTATAACACTAATGACTATGTCGACTGCTGTACCCCTATTTTTGATATTTTTACCCATTATGTTTGTTTGTTTTGTTCACAAATTGTTGTCAATATAAAGGAATTTTATGCAACTGTCATACAAGTGAGAGGTTTAGCTAGCTATAAAATCAGGTTTAATCCACCAATTTCTACATAAGGAAATGCCTGTACCAAGTCAGGAATATGACAGTTGTTTTCCATTCGTTTGATGTGTTTGAGCTTTTGATTTTGCCATTTGATAAGGGACTTTCCGTTATGAATTTTCCTTGGAGTTCGGTATTTTTGTTATTTTACTTTCTACTAGTAATTCAAAGTATTGGTAAACAGAAAGCTATTGTCCAATAGATCTGAGAAGCACTCACAAATTGTAAGTATTGGTAAATAGGAGGAATTAATTCCAAATACCAAATACAAAGTCATACTGTTCAATAGTTCAAGAGAAAAGTGTGACAAAAATATTTGTAAGACGAAAGGATGGAGAGGATTTTAGTGATTACAATTTAGACCCAATTCTTAAGAATGGGGGTATAATGGTATACTAAATTATCAACCACTGACAAGGTTCATTTCTTTCAATAAATTTCAATTTTAGGAAAGGACGTGGAAGTACACCAGATAACACTACCATGCAGTATATAAGAATTCTGATTGTTGTCACAGCGATTATCTCCCTTGCAGGAGTAGTATTATCTGGCTGTAGATGTCAAATCAAACATCCACAAACTGCCTTCTGTACACATAATTATGGTATGTTTTGTCTGTTCATTAACAACCTGAAGAAAAAGGTCACAATCACCACTTTGTGTTAATAAATATTCAAGCAAAATTGTCAATATCTTGGGAGTAATTGTTACCTGTGCAGCATAGAGTTCCCAAACTATCGGACAGATTGTTTTACTTAACATGTTCATTCTGAATATTACAATATTTCAAAATGCCAAAAAAGTCAGATAAAAAACAAAAGAATACAACAATTAATGATTCTTGCCAACTTCTAGCAATGATTTTCATCTTAAGGTTGCTCTCCCTCTATTGAATTTTGAAGAAGCTTTACATCCATAATGTATTTAGATTCAAACAGTGTGGAAGCCACAAAAAGGTGTAGTTTTTTTGGATCAAATGTGCTACAGAGAACAGCAGAAATTACACATTAAATAAATAAAACTGAGTGAATCAATATTTCAAAATAATCAATTAAAAGAAACTGATAAACGAAAGAAGGATTTTCTGTTCATCCGTTTTTCCTTTCCCTATGCAATTCTACGGACTACAAATGAAAATAGTTTGATTGATTGATTGATTGGTGTTTAACACCACTTTCAGCACTATTGGATATTTCCTGGTGGTCAGTTTGTATTGGTGGAGGAAGCAGGAGTTCCCTGAGAGAACCACCAACCTTCACAGGAAAACTGACAATTTGTCTCAATTAAGATTGGATTCGAGCGCAACTGCCACATGAAAATAGTTAGTAAAAATCTACTGACATACAAACAATGAACTGCCAATTATATTTCACATTTCATTTTCAGTTATAAAAGTAATGGTGAAAAGAATCAAAGAAAATCTGGCAGAAAATGGATACAAGCAATATCTTTCTAAAAATTATAATCAGTTTACAGTTTTATTTAGAAGAATGCCAAAGAAAATCATCTTAAGTAGAACCTACAAAATCAAAATATTGAGGGTCTTTAAGGTTAGATTTATGTTACTTAGGGAATCAAGTAAAACATAATTGGAACTATGAATTTACCAAAAAAAGTCTTTTGATTTGTTTAAGAAGCATACAAGATTATGGTTTACTGACATACCACATAAATTACAAATAATAGAATACACCATTAAACACTCAAAAGTTTAATATAGATACTCAGCAGGTAAAACAGCCTGGTAAAGTCAGATGAACCCAGTCTATTAAGAGGGAGGCATGCATTGCAGGATATTTTAAAAAATTTCTATTTTATTCACAACATCTTGTTGATGAAATCAAATAAAAAAAGTATGTGTCTGAGGACATGAATGCCCCCCTCTTAAGCTTGCTTATAAAATGTGAAAATACTTTTTGAGAGCATTTGATGACACTGCTTGTGCGGAAATGAAAAAATTGCAATTTTGCCAAGTTATAAATGGCATAGTGAAAAGAGGGTATACCTCTTCCAGAGGGGCACAAGTTTTGTTACACAGAAATATATAAAGACAAAGCTTACTTCCTTTAGCTGTGAAGGATGTATGAATACACAGTAATGTCTGATTGCTGACTTTGACTCCAAATACAAAGTAAGTAATACCTGGTTAACCCACTTTAAACCCGGAGTCATGACAAAGATAGTCAAACCCACATTGTTTCCATGAGAAAAGTTTCCAAAAACTGCCTTATATGTATAGATATTTTTTTCTTAACATCCTTTGAAGTTTAGTAGGTTTTTCTATCACATAATGGTATACTCTTAGAGCAAGAACGTTGAAGATCATACTGCTATATTTCATGTAAAATCTAATTTTTATTGCATATTATAAAGTCTGTTATTTATTCTGCGATAAACATCTGCAATATATTTTGTGATAAATCTTTATAACAGACGTGCATATTGAGTGTCTACACAGATTCTATGAATAATCTCCCCATTTATCATGTGTAATATGCATGTTTTATTTCTTGAGAAATCTTAATGTAACATTATATAACACAATGATTTAAGATAAATGACGACTTAAATCATTATCAGTTTATTGCTTAAATGAAAGAAAGTATAAAATCCAAATGTGATTGATTGATAAACTATTGCTTAAAATCCCTTCATTTGGGAAGTACTATATGACAATGAGGAAAATTCAAAGGAATCATAAGCAAGAGTGATTGTAATATTCATTTTCTAGGAAAATATCATATCATATTCAACACAAGATTGATCTATATTTGCAGAATGTCCAGAGAAAATGCTTAATGAATATTCAGGACAGGAACAAACTTAATTCAACAGTATTAAATTTGCATGTACAAAGAAACATACTCTGCTACAAGTTATATCCATACTTTTATATCTAATAGCATTCAATTCAATAAAAGAACTGTGTTCTGATATTTAACAAAATCAAAATTGACATCTATATTTCCCATTTTTAATCATCAATTTTCTAGTGATTACAATACTAAGGTCTCTCTATCCATAATTGGTGGAAGTATGAAGTAGTATTGTATATCATTATAATTAAATGATAGGATAGCAAACAGAAATGATACAGACATCAACCCAGCAATGCAGAGAACACTGTATCATACTAATGCTGCAAGTACTAACATTATATATACATTTTGTACTTGGATGTTTTCCAGAGTAGTAAAAAATTTAAGCAAGGCAATATAAAGAAAGTTATGACCCCCGGCTCATACAAAAGTTGTGGTGTTATACTGAAGAAAAACAGAGTGTATATTTTAGCAGGTATTTAAAATATTTGTGATTTTACCAAAATATATAAAATTAATTACACATTTAAAATAAACATTTCAAACAAAAAATGCATGAAGTTATACACTTTTCTAAGTATTGTAATAACAGAAAATACATACAGTATGTCAATATTTCAAAATGACATTTAGTCTGTCAAACATTCAGTATTTACCAACCATCTAAATCTATTATCAACCAGACAGACATTAACATTGCAACTGATGATGGTGCAACACTACTTTTTGAACATATATACATTTATAGATTATTAAAAATCTACAATCTAGTAACTCAAATCAAAGCAATCTCAATTCAAACAATCATTTAAAAGACTGACATTGCAAAAGAAGATGCTTTTTTTCCATAAACAAATGACACCATTACTTTATAAAGCAGTATTAACAACACAGTGGTTGTCTTGGGTTTGTTCCATGAAAACATGTATGGGACCCAGGAAAGGCACTTCAAAATCTCAACTATGGGTGGGTGTCAAACACTTTTTTGTACAGTGAATATGATTAAAAGGAATTCTAAATTGCTTCTGTAGGTGGTTACCCCATTTTCAAAGTGCCTTCCCTGGGTACCATGTAAATTTAAATGAAACTGTCTTTATGTCCTATCTTAATATTTTTGTTATTTGAATAATCTGGTTTCTGTTAAATATATAGCTAAAATATGATTTTTTTTTGTTCAATCATTAATGAAAGTAATATAGTGAAATACTAATTTGCTTTTAGCAGCCAATTTGGTTCAATTTTGTCAAAATAAGATAAATAACATCGCAGATTAATTATTCACTTGCAAGTGAATAATTCGATCTCATTGAATCCGTATTCATATGACCTTTAATTTAACTCCTTAGCTGGAGATGGATTACACATGTATTCAGCTATTAAAGGGAAAATAAGTCAATAATGAAAGTGAAACAAGGATGAATCATTTGGATAACTGATTCAATCCACCAAAAAATCATTCGAACACAGGAAAAAACAATGATAAACATACTTTTTAACCTAAAATTTGAAATCAAACAGACCTAGAACAATCCAATTGCACGTGGTCGCCATCAGTTTATGTTTATATCAGGTTATATGACAGTCAGCAGTCTTTGGAGGTCATCTCGATGGTTAATTACCTGACGTTTAGATAAAAATACATATCAAATGTTGATACATATTATCATCGAGTCCATGCGGTGTTAATTGTTTATTTTAGACTTTTTGTAATTTGGATATACGTTTTAGTATGTTATATATCAAATATGAGAATTTGAGTCAAATCGGTGAACATGAATTTGACAACTAATGCCCCTTTAAAGCTTAACAAATAGTATTGACAACTGTCTTTTGTTGAAAATGGTATGTTGACCACTAGCAGTCTTTTGATTATTTGTGTGATTGTGTTACTGTCTCAATGACAAATAAACCACATCTCCTTTTATTATAGATTTCTACAAATAAAGCATTTCTGGTGATATGTCTGGTAAAAACGTCTCAGTCAAACTTTTATTCATTAACTATACAGATCTATTTTTCAATAGGTGATGTCATCAACACAGAGTTATGGATAGATGGTTGCAGTTGGGTACAGGAATTCAAAAGTCTAACAAAACAAAACCTGATTGGTCTCAGTAAAAAATATAAACAAAACTGTAATTGTCAAGTAAGTTAATTCTATTGTAAAATAGCAGTTATAGATGAAACGTAATGGTTTTACTATAGTTGTCAGTTAGACATCTATAAAATTGTATTTAGCAGTCAACCATAGAAATTTTTATTCAATTTTTAAAAGTATCCAGATGGGCCATTGATTCAATCTTTAAGACTAGGCCAAAGTTGGGGTTGTGGGCTACTGGGTTCTTTATTATTCAAATCTGATTAAGCATTGAACAAAATTGCCAAAGTAAGAACATTTTAAAACAAGGATGTGTCCATAGTACACGGATGCCCCACTCGCACTATCATTTTCTAGGTTCAGTGGACTGTGAAATTGAGGTCAAAACTCTAATTTGGCATTAAAATTAGAAAGATTATATCAAAGGGAACATGTGTACAAACAATTGTACTAAGTTTCAAGTTGATTGGACTTCATCTTCATCAAAAACTTCCTTGACCAAAAACTTTAACCTGAAGTGGGACAGACGGACGAAAGAACGGATGGCCAAACGAACAGACGCACAGACCAAGCATAATGCCCCTAGGTGGGGCATAAAAAAAAAAGATTACGAGAATTTTTTATTTGAACTGTCTTCACATAGCAAAAGACTTTTGCAGACAACTTCCAATGAGTTTCTATGTAAACAACAGTCGTATGAGCTACTGCTCACTTATTTATACTCACTCTTGCTTTAGAGTAAAAGGAAGTAGACAAGCTTACTGTCTAGGTCAACATTTCAAAAGTTTGGTATCAATTATCAAGGTCAGATTTGTATTTGCTAAGAAAAATGCAAAACAAAATTATTATATGTACTTGATATCTAAAGAACATACATGTATAAGGCAAAAAGGTAGAAGATGTGTGCTAGATCTGAAAATTTGTCACAGTAAAGTTTTTAATGCAACACATTATTCTTATATGTTTATCACTGTGAATAACATACATAAATGCAGCAAACAGGAAGTATATAAGTGATTACCTTACCAATACAAAGCTTGGTGCCAAATATTAATGTTTGATCTTTAAGTTGCTGAGAAAAAATGAATGAAAATTTCTTATATCTGCATCAATGTGAATAAAAATTCATGCACGTGGCAAACAGGAAGTAGATTATTGAGGGATCACAAATGTGTCACACAGTATAGTTTACAAATATGAAGTTTGGTACCATATATATCAAGAAGTTCTCATTCGTTGTTACTGAGGAAAGTGTGTTCAGATGGATTTGTTGGTCATAGGTAAACCAGTGTATAGACCCCACTATCTTTCTTTGTAGCAGGGGTATAAATATTATGAGGGAAATTTCCAATATTTTGGGTTCGAAAAGTTGACATGTACGTGTGACAGATTCCTACATCTGGTTAGCTATGGAATTGCACACATTTGTTTTCATCTTATTTCTATATATTATGTTTACGTATTGTAAATCCTGTATTACAGATTAAACACTGCACTGGAAGAAACTGTAGACATCATCAGGAAAATTGTGAATTCCGACACGAAATATGGGGATGTTATAGGGATTATGGTATATGTGACCATAGAAAACATTCAGGCAGCTGTCATTGGAAGCAAAATAAAGACTTTTATTCATGTATAAAAAAAAGCAATCGAAAGCTTCGCAGGAATAAGAAAAAAAGGAAAGTTTGACAATTGGACAATATTCAATTAGTTTCTGATAAAAATAATTAATTTCTCTCAAGATACATTAAAAGGAATAAAACCACTAATTCATAGTTCTATTGTTTTCTAAGGTAAATTTGCAATTTCAAACATTCATATCTATTTTATCTTAAGTTTGGTAAATTTGCAATTTCAAACATTCATATCTATTTTATCTCAAGTTTAAATATTGCGAGTCATTTCATGTCAAACCTGTTCATTATCCTGACTTGAGTTGAAAAATTCCACATGCCTTTAATTGTACATTAGAGCTCACTGGTTTCCGGAAGTTTTGTGGTACAAAAACATGTACTACTGATCTGAACAACAGCGCATATATGCCATCCTATATAATTTCATATCTTTTTTTTATCATTCAAAAGAAATTTTCTCCAAGGGTTTTACAGTCATTCAAAGTACTTAAACTTTCATTTGATACCAAATTCCCCCAAATATTTAACTTTTTGACAGCTAGGCATAGGATATATTTTATTTAAAATAAGCATTCTCTTGTATGTTTTTTTTCCCCGGGCCAAATTTATAGTGGTTCTATACCTAAAATATTTCTACAGCTAAGTCAATTCAGTTAAAAAAAAGTGAAACATATTATTCAAAGGAGATTAAAAATATGAAAAACATATGGATGATGTAGAATTACCTTATGTTGCCCTTCATCAGAAATCTTTCTACAGTAAAAACATTTTGATTGTCAGACTGTTATTATCCTCAAAATAAAAGTTCCATAGAAAAGTTTTACAATTTGTTGTTTTTGACCTGTGGTAAGTATCATGTTCCTTGACCTTTACTGACATTTGCATACCTGCCAACTTCTGAAACCTTCAATGAGGGAGATCTCCCCCTCAGCTATGACAGCTGAGGGGGAGATTTTGCGCGAACAACATTTTCAAGCTAAATATATGACCTGTACACTTATTCGTCTCCAAAACACCAATGAGAGATAATAAATATACTTTATTTCTTCAATTCATTGTTTAAATTTATACAAGTTTTTTTGCCTTTTTTAATATCTCTGAGTCAGGACAATACTCATAACATTTCATACTTTGATTTTGTTGTGAGTCTCACACTAAGCATGCTTTTAAATATTGTAAAGACCACCAGAAGCAACTGAAAAGTCAATTGAACATAATGTGCAAAATGAAGATTCATTGCCGAGTGAACTTGGTCGTAAAAATTGAAAATCTTTCATCCAATCTGCTTGAAATTTGCAGTTATATACTTTTTTACACTGCCACTTGGTCCAGACAAATGCATCTATATTGTTGCAGTTGACATAGCAGACATGGAATTTCAATTACTTTATAAATCGTACATAAAAACTACTGACCACAGTTTTCAAATAATCGCCGATTGTTTGTTTATTTCCATGAAAGTAACGAAAAATCCTGAGAAATAGGAATGCGGGTCATTCCGGGTTAAAATATCCAAATGCAGGAGATTCTATACTCCCGCATGGGATCAGACCGGCAAGTGGGAGATTTCTGGAATTTCGTTGTTTGTGCAGGAAACTCCTGCTCAAAACGGGATGGTCGGAAGGTATCCATTTGTTTCAACAGGTTTTACAGTTGTATCAAAATAATTTTGCAGTTATGTTACTATCACAAAGATTGCAGGTAGTTCTATAGGCGTACACTTTGATATATAATTTAATTTGTTTGTTCACAGAAAAAAGCTTAATTTAAATAATACTGTCACAGGATAGACTAAATAGGGAAATACTCCACAACATCAATTGGTAGTTCTACTGGAAAATGTGTCTCGCACCTATGTAATTGTCTATTCCATAATTAGTGTCTGCATAATTGTTGAGGACAACTCAGACACAAGAAAGTCTCCAACCCTACTATATGGTGTTTGACCTAAGTGTTCAGTATGATGTTTGGTCAGTATGATGTTAGCAAACTTTCTTGATGACATGAACACTATATATTATGCCAGCTTGACTACAGCTTGCGATAATTGTAGTTAAGAATTACCTTAGTGTCCATGTCACCAAGAAAGTTTGTTAACATTATACTTAAGGCAAATTCTTAACTACAATTATTTGCAAGCTGTAGTCAAGCTGGTATAATATATATATTGTGTGCCATTCCTCTTTTAATTTTTATAAAATACTTACCATTTCACGATGGTTAGGATAGTATGCTTGTTCTATTAACGGGAAGTTTTCTTTTCCTAATTTCTTCTGTAATTTGACTAGTTGCGCCAACTGAAAAAGATAACAAAAAATAAGTATCAATGAAAGTATCTTTGGGAACATGCTAACACACTCACATCAATGGAACTTCAGAATTCTAGTCTTGAATACCTTACCTCAATGATATTCAAAAGAAGGGAAAACCTTTCTTTAAAATGAAGGCACATGTTCAAAATGAACATGCTCATCAAAGTAACAAGAGTAATTAAGACAAGCATTCTGTGAGTATTGCCTGGCAATACATAGTCCCCTACCGGTTAAAAATTCATTGTACTGAAACAAAATGCTAACTTGATCTATAACTTGTCATAGTGTAAACTATATAACAAATATCAAGTCAATATCTTCAAGCATGACGAAAAAAATGTGTAAAATTGATTATTTGAGTGAATTTTCTAAGCCAAAGGACCATAACTCTGCACAAAATCATCACACTGGAACAAAACAAACTTGATCTGTAAGTTGTCATGATAAAACTATACACCAATTATCAAATCAATATCTTCAAGCATGATGAAAATAAAACACTTCAGCAAGCGAAGCCTGATATGACTGCAGAGGTCGAACCCTGAACAGTTGGGGCAAGTTACTTTGTTTGATTTCAACTAAATTTTTTGTGTTTTTTTATATGCTGAATCTAACCATGTTGTTAGATTTTGGATATCAGACCATACTAGGTAAATTAAATGTCCCATTTCAAATTTTTAAGATCTTTGACCACATTTATTTTGTGTCAGAAACCTATATTATGTCAAAAATTTGATCACATTCCAAATTCAGACAGTATCAAGCTTGGATATTGTGTCCAAATTTGCCCCAACTATTCAGCCTGTTTGGTGTGTATCTCCTGCCATATCAGTATTTGTTGCTTTTATATATAAATCAGAAATAATCAATGTAAAAATGGAAAATTTTTGGGGAAAAAAAATCCCCCAAAAAAATTTGTCCCCCCCCCCCCCCCCCCCCCCCCCCCCACCCCCAAAATATTTTTTGAAAAAATTTGAAATTTTGAAAAATCTTGAAGAAAAAAGTATGAACCCCCCCCCCCCCAAATTTTGAAGAAAAGAATATGAACCCCCCCACCCCCCTTTCGTCGGTAGGGCACTGATAATCTGCCCATTTCTCAAATCAACACAATAAGCAATATGAAAACGGTTGAACTTATGGTTAATTGGTATGTAAAATACAAAAAACAGGACGAATTCAGAAATTATTGCAAGGTTTTTATTAATGCGAATAATGTGACTGGGTGAGAATCGCAATAATAAGAGCTTGCATTCTAATATCTGATACATATATCTGTATGCAGATTTTCCTTGAAGCACAATAATAAATGCACACAATAATTTCTGAATTTACAGTAAGTGAAAACATTAGCCAAAAGAGAAAAAATTGTAAAGGGTTTCATGGAATTCTGTGTCTTGTCTGCAATTGATGCTATCAGAGTGAAAAAGCATTCTGTTGATTGCGAAAGCTCAGTCCATCTATCAGTTAGAATTCCATAAAGGTTTGAAAAAAATTATTGATGTCCATAAAAACTATATACACAGACTAAACCTAAATGTTGACCATGACAATAGAATGTAGAATCACTATCTCTCACTTTTAGGACTTTTGACACAGAAGACTAAAAAATGAAGTAAAATTGAGAATGGAAATGGGGAATGTGTCAAAGAGACACCAACCGGACCATAGAGCAGACAACAGTCGAAGGCCACCAATGGGTCTTCAATGCAGCGAGAAACTGCCGCACTCGGAGGCGTCCTTCAGCTGGCCCCTAAACAAATATGTATACTAGTTCAGTGATAATGGATGTCATACTAAACTCCAAATTATACACAAGAAACTAAAATTAAAAATGATACAAGACTAACAAAGGCCAGAGGCTCCTGACTTGGGACAGGCGCAAAAATGCGGCGGGGTTAAATATGTTTTTTGAGATCTCAACCCTCCCCCTATACCTCTAGCCAATGTAGAAAAAACAAACGTACAAAAAAGTAGTACACATAATTTAAGGCATCTCAAGAATAAATATGACATAACATATCTAAAGAATAATATACCATAACTATAAAATATGGTTTTTAGAAAAATATAGTTGCTACAGTAGGTACCGGTACTTATTTTTTCAAAAGCAGAAATGCTGAATTGTCTTGCCTGCTATGCTGATAATGACTGAATATTTTGTTGACAGCCTTTGAGATCAATGTATAACTTAAATTTAATATAATATTATTCACCCGGGAGATAGACAAACTTTTCTCATTAAAAGGACTTTAGCAACATTTGTTACAGGCAAGATGAAAATGAAATGTTACCATATTAGTATAGTTCGGAATGCCATGACCAAAACAAACAAAAAAATATATAAAATGATGTTTCTCTTATTATCTAGTTTTTTTATAATTCCTTTGCAATATTACAACTACATTATGTAATTTCCTCAGAATGTACAAAACAAATCAATGTTGTAAAGATATTAAGTTTCTGTAACCATAAGAACAGGCCAATTTTCTAAACTATTAACTGAAGTTGTTAATTTCTGTGTCATTTGGTCTCTTGTGGAGAGTTGTTTCAATGGCAATCATACCACATCTTCTTATTTTTATGTTAATTTTCTTTTTAAGAAAAAATTAATGTTCAAACCATCACAATCTACAAAAATTAATAAAAACAATATTGTTTTACTCATCATTTCATCTTCCATATAATCAGCTGTTAGATGTATAAGGCCAAAAAAAAATATATGTCTGTTTAAGGTTACATACTTTAAAAAAATAGGGTAGGTAGGTCGGTATTTCCATTTTATTTTATTTTTTTGTGACATGATTTCGAGTCATGCCGTTTTGTCTTGTCGTGGTCCGAGTTGATCATGGGCCGAGTTTACCTGTATTTTTAATGATTGGATTATTTCCCTTGGTTATTGGTTGTAAACAATTGCGGTAAAGTGTTTATTTCATCACACGAGTTGCGAAATTCCTAAAAACAGCTGTCATATTCACGATTGTGAACATTGGGATGTATCAGGCAATTGATTTATATTATTTGCAACACTAATTTCGCTTTTGACATGAGATCAGTTTATTTTTCACTTTACGACGGAAATAAAATGACTTAGGGTCGGCGCTCAAAAGTAGGGTCGGTCGGGTAACCGTAAACAGACATATATTTTTTTTTGGCCTAATAGTTATAGGAAGGCTCGTTTATCATAATTATTGAAATTAAATATCAAGTTCATTTCAAGCTATATTAAATTCTCACAAGTTACAAAAGCCTATTTCTCTTATGGTAAAATTTATCTTTGACCTCCTGGTGAAATATTTTCTATTTTGCAAGCTTCTGTCAAATACAAGTCCACCTACAATAAAACCCAGACTACTGTTAACTTCAGATATTTTCAAGCATTTTTTCTTGTACACTTCAGAATGGAATATAATTTGACATAAAGAATAATTTCAAGTGTTTTGTATATTATTGAAGAAATCACAAATCTCTGTTGCCAAGGGAAATGTTACCTATGAAAGTCATCATTGACCTAATGAATAGCCAATGAAAATGTTGCAATTTCGTGACACACTGCAGGATAGGACAACAAAATAAACAAAATTATCATATCACTTGTTCTTATCATAGGCTGTTCAGCCTGATACAAGAAACTTCTCTTCATGCTGAAAACAGATAACAAGACAAAAAACCTTTAAAAGAGAATGTTGCCTATGTCATTGTTAAAAGATGTACTATCTTGTTTAAATATATTAGCTATAATCCACTAGAAAGCTTTTGCAGTCAGAAAGAGTAGGAATATATGTAAAAATGACCAAAGCCAGTGAGGGTTAAGAAATAAATGAGCCATTTAATAAAGTAATCTAAGATCTTGTACTGAACTCATTGCACCAATATACTAAAAATTCTTAAGGGTTCCGTGGAACCCAGTGTCTCGCCTACTTTTACTGTTAGTCGCAAGCTCAACAAAAATGGGGAAAAAATTATTAAAAATTTTCCTCTAGATACTATCTTTTGATTGTGAGAAGTTCTGTTCAAGTTTGGTAAAAATCCAAGAAGGTTTATGAATCTTATAAATGTTTTAAAAACTTTAACTGCAGACTGTACGTAATGTTAACTGGAATAAAACTAAGTCTATTTATAAGTATATATACTGAAAAACAGGAAATAAACTTTTACAAAATTTCCTTCTAGATAATAGCTTTTGATCATAAACAAGCTTCTGTCCAAGTTTGGTACAAATCCAGGATAGTTTAAGAAAGTTATTAAAATTTGAAAAACTTTAACCACAGAGTGAATGTAATGTTAACTGGCAGAAAAACTAAGTCCATATATGAGTAAAATACAGACAAACAGGATTTTTTTTTTTTTACAAAATTTTCTTCTGGATACTATCTTATGATTATAAACAAGCTTCTGTCCAAGTTTGGTACAAATCTAGGATAGTTTAAGAAAGTTATTAAAATTTGAAAAACTTTAACCACAGAGTGAATGTAATGTTAACTGGCAGAAAAACTAAGTTCATTTATGAGTAAAATACGGATAAACAGGATTTTTTTTTTTACAAAATTTTCTTCTGGATACTATCTTATGATCATAAACAAGCTTCTGTCCAAGTTTGGTACAAATCTAGGATAGTTTAAGAAAGTTATTAAAATTTCAAAAACTTTAACCACAGAGTGACTATTTGTGGACGCCGCTGCGGCCCCTGGAATGTAGGATCATTATGTCTCGCTTTTACGACAAAAGTCGCAGGCTCGACAAAAGGTGGTCCAATACTCACAGAGATGACTGAAAACAGAACAGAAAACTGTAATGTTTATACAAAAAGTAAATGCAGCAAGGCATATCAATAGTATGTGAATCAGAACAACAGTTATATCTGATCTGTACTACTCGTAATACAATTATACACCCAATGTCCACTTAATTTGTTTTGGGAGGGCTGTCAACTTAATTTATGAAATTTTTGTTTTCTAAACTCTGTTTCATCCAAACTTGTGTTAAATAGCTAAATAAGGTTAAATATGTCAACCACTGGACGTTAACCAAGCAACAATCAATCAGTCAATCAACTTTGTAAATTATGATGTCATAATGATATCACATATGAGTTCCTTCCTTAAAGCAACAGAGCAATCATGCATGGCCATAAGTTCGTCACATGTGATTTTTAACTATATATTTGATATAAAATTAAGTTTTTTCAAAAAGAACATGGTAGGGTCATTTCAGGTAAGATTTAAATTAACTTGGTACATGCATTTATCAATGAAATTAGATTTGATGAAAATATTTAAGAATACTATTTTTGTAATTTCTGGTGCCAAATAATTGGCTCCTTTTTACTTTCTCCTGTATCATGTTAGGGTTGGAAGGACATTTTTTTTTTAACATTGTGACTGAGCTATTTATTTTGTGAAAATCTGGTCCATCAGGAATTCAGAATTTTAATATTCTGTGATTCAAGAAGAAAAAAAACCCTTCTTTTTTTAACCTAGAATTCAAAATTTAATTTCAAAGTAAGGATTTTTTTCTTCTTACTTCTCAGTCACAATCTGGAGCCACACAAAAACAAAATTAGGTTTTTTAGTTGATTCTAACAGTGATTGTTTAATGACATTTACTTCTTAAATCATAGATTTCTTGATTTGGTAATTTGTCAGGGGCGGATCCAGAACCTCGATGTCTGGGGGGGCACCATGAAACCAAATTTAAAGATTTGTTTAGAGATGGATATATGGTGGTGGTGTCATGTATTGGGGATGATGGTGGTTTGTGGGGGGGGGGTCAGGTCTTCATTTCTATATCTTTTAATTAATTTTGGGTCCATTTCTTTCTACTCTTTTATTTGCTGCATAATGTCCTCTATTCTTTATAGTTCAACACCCTTAATCTGTTTTCTATATTTTTTGGGCCCATTTTTTTTCTAGTCTTTACTTTTTGACCATTACTAGTATTCTCTAATCTGTAAACCCCATTCATACCCTCATTCATGGTAAACCATTCATACCCTCATTCACGGTAACCTATTCATACCCTCATTCACGGTAACCTATTCATACCCTCATACACTTTAATTGAAACAAGAAAAAATATACAAATATTACTGTACAATAAGTAGGTTTTCAAAAATACAATATCATTTTATTGATGATTATATATCAGGCACAGACCATTCATGTTTTGTGGAAGGGGATGTTTTTTTAAAGACAAATCGATGGTTTCCATAAAAAATATGAGGAAAAGAAACACGACATTTGAGATAAAATAAAAATGTTGTATGCATTGAAAAAATTGTTTGTTGTTTAATAAAGTTCGAAAAAGACTGTTCTGAGAAAGACACATTCCCCAGAAACCGTATACAATGTGAGTGTTTGGTAATAAAGACGTATATCTCATATCGATACTAACCTTCTTGACACTAAACATCTATTTTTACATATTCTTTTAAGACCGATTTTAGTTGGTAATTTCTTTCCTGATAAGAAGATTTCACTTGTTAATCGATATTGATCCTGTTAATATATTCGTATTAATTCCAACCATCATGTACATGTACATGTAGTTTACATAAATGCTTTTGGATATAGACATTACACAAAGGTGTCAATATTTACACACCCATCGATAACTTGTCATAAATCACGCATGTTGAAGCTGGGGTTAATTAATGACCAGTTTAGGAAGTCAAATCAAGCTGTGTCTTGATTTTCTATCTAGATAAGCAGATACAGTAGCAATAAAACTATGTGAGAAAATTTTTTTGGTGACCTCGACTGGGGGGGCACGTGCCCCCTGTGCCCCCCCGGTAAATCCGCCACTGTTTGTTTCTAGAGAATTTATGATTAGATTTCCTTCTGTTTCCGTCAAATCAATGCCAACTAGGCCAATAGTTAATTGTTTATTCTGTATGTTCTCAAAATACTTTATCAAATTTGAAATATCACTTTCTGAGACGTTCTGAGACCAATTCAATATTTATAGAAGAGTTAGGTCAAAGTCAAATGACTTCATTGACTGAGAACCTAGTTGTTTACAACGTATAAGTTTTCATAATACTTTTGCATGGAAATTCTTATCTAGTAAATTATATAAAGGTTTTAAATTAACCAAACTAGTAAACTATATAAAGGTCTTTTAATTAACCAAACTAGTACACTATATAAAGGTCTTTAAATTGATCAAAGAAGGGGGGGTCAGAGGGGGTCCAATCCCGAAATCCCAAGTTTATTTTAGCTGAATCCCCATTTTCCGGGCCTTATTTGACGATATCCCTAAATTCCGATAAAATAACATATGCTTTTTTGGCAAAATAGTACATTAACTAATGATTGTATACTCTTCAAAGCAATCAGTGAGTCTGTTATGCACCGGGCAGATTCCCTGTATCTTATCAATATAATCTAGTGAACATAGTTTAAAACAGATTATATATACATGGAGACTGCAACATTCCAAAACTTAAAAGACACATAAATAAGTTGGCTAGTTTGAGCTCAATAAAAGAAGGTAAGAAATTTTCGTCAGTTACTTGGAGTATGATAGTACATTGTTTAAGCTATCACTCTTCTTTACTCTGCAACTTTTTGTGTGCTAGTCCGAAGCCAGGATACAGTGTCAAGTAGTTGTGCGTATTTGTTTTACAGGTAATTATTTATTTGTGTCTTGCCATTTAATTTCGTCCGACATCCCTTTTTTTAAAATTAAATATGGACCCTATTTAGCTCTGTGGTATGGGTGATCACTGCCGCAGTGACTTGCATTATTCTGTAAATAACTTTGTAGAGTGCTTCGAAACTTAAGATTGTGTAACACAAAACTCAAACAAATTTTGTTTTGGGTCAAAATCAGACGTCTTGGAAGGGTTACTTTTTCTTTGAATACTTATCTGTGCTGACGCACCTTGTTTAAATCCTGTTTTGTTTCCTTGTGTAATCGTGTCCTCTGGTTTACTCATTTTTTTATACTCTTACATTTATAACTTTGACCAAGATGAATAAAATTCTCTTCGGAGAAATCCAAAGACTGAAAACCATAGACTAATCCGGGCATAGAACAAACAATGTGAAGATATAGCCAAGTAGTATTAATAATACCATAAACCTTTGAACAAATTAACGCAGGTACAAAAGGAACAATCACAAACAGAACACTGAACACTAAAAAACATGCACAAATTCCTACAAAAACCAGGAGTGAAGCCAGGTGCTCCAGAAGGGTTAAGCTAATGCTATTTTTTTTTAAAAAAAGAGTCCCGATAGATAAAAATCCCGAATTCATGGACATAAATACACGTAAATCCCGTGTCTCGATTAAACTAAATCCCGAAATCCCGATGATAATATAGCTCGTTCCTGAAATCCCGAACTAAATAAACTGTTATCACAGAGATATGTCTCGCCTTTTTGTAATTTTGATAATGCAAATGTTGAAATTAAAATAGCAATACTTTAACATGTAAGTTATGCAAATATTCAAAGTCGATGAACCATGACTGAAGGTACATGGCTAAACAATCTCCATGGAATGAGATGTGCCAATGCTAATACAACTGTATACCAAATACCATTGACTTATTATAAGTCGTTCCCTTTAAACAAACCTAAACACAAACATCAACTTGTAAACTATGTAAAAGTTTCAAAGTCAATGAACCATGATCAGGGGTGGGGCTATATAATCTCCAGGAAAACGATACTTGCAAATTCCAATAAATTTGCATACCAAATATCATTGACTTAACATTAGCAGTTCATCTTAAACTGATCTAATCACAAACTAATACATGTAAACTAAGCAAAAGTTTCAAAGTAACTAGACCATGACTGAGGGGGCGGGGCCAAATATTCTCCATGGTAATGAGATGTACTAATGCTTATACAACTGAACACCAATTAACATTGGCCTACCACTAATGGTTCCCCTTGAACTGACCTAATCACAAACTAATACATGTTAACTTAGCAAAATTTTCAAAGTCTATAGACCATGACTAAGGGGGCGGAGCCAAATAATCTCCATGGAAATGAGATATGCCAATGCTTATACAACTGCATACCAAATATCACTGACCTACCACTAGTGGTTCCCCATAAATTAACCTAATCACAAACTAATACATGTAAACTATGAAAAGTTTCAAAGTCAATAGACCTTGACTGAGGGGGCGGGGCCAAATAATCTCCATGGTAATGAGATGTGCCAATGCTAATACAACTGCATACCAAATATCATTGACCTACCACTAGTGGTTCACCATGAACTAGACCTAATCACAAACTAATACATTGTTGACGCCGCCGCCGTCGTCATTGCTGACGTCCGAAACAGCATACCTATGTCTCGCTTTTTGACTCCGTCAAGGTGAGACAAAAATGGACAATCCCGGGGTCCAGATAAAGGTCCAACCCCTCCTCATCAAACCATTAAACTATATAAAGGTCTTTTAATTGACCAAACTAGTAAACTATACAAAGGTCTTTAAATTGACCAAACTTTTAAACTATATAAAGGTCTTTTATCTGAAGGAACATAACTTGCATAAAAATATTTCAAAAATAGAATTGTTCACGTAAGAGCACTTACAAATTAATTTTCTATAGAATTTACATTTCAAAGGGACATGACTCCCTTAAAAATAATTGATCAGCACCAATTTTGGAACTCATCTCAGACATTGTTGATTCAAACCTTTGATATAAATTTCATAACACTCCTACAAAAAATGTAGGCTTAAGTGTGTTCACAATGAAATTTTAAATATAATCTATATTTCCAAGGGGCATAACTCCTTAAAAAATACTTGTTTGGAACTGATCTTCAAATTTGCTGATATAAACCTATCATGTAAATTTCATAAAAATCTGGAAAAAAGGACAGACAGACAGATACTCAGTATTTGTATGTCCCCCTCACTGTGCTGTGAGGTGGACAATCAACAAATGAAAAGATCCACTGTCACAGTATAATACATAATAAGTAAAATGTTTACCACCCATGGTCGGTCTTGGAAGTTATATATAGAATGTAATGAGTTGATACTGGGTATATCACCATACTGGAAACCTATTAAAATACTTCTCCAGTCTTCCGAGGCATCTCGTACATACTGTCGAATTAATAAAAAATCAGGTTTAAATGACCTGAAAATAAAATACAGAAATGAATAAAAGAAGATGTGTTGTATATTTCTTGTACAATGTATCAATAAGACAAAAACCAGAAAACACATTTAAATCAGGAAAGACATATATAAGTTAACATACAGACTTCAACAATCAATAACATATATACCATATATGTTGTAAAATTGAGAATGGAAACGGCCACAAAGGTGTACATGTATGTCAAGCTCTTAATCACCAAAATTGGTTTACTCATCTATGAAAAGGTATAAGTTGCATATAAACACAACACATCCAATTTCAAGCTTTTTATAAATCCCTCTTAAACAAAGTCAAAGAAAACAGACCTGCATACTGTTGATAATTCAATATAGAAATGAAATATAAACTGAATCATTCTAAAAAATAATTTGAGGATATCTCATTATACCAATCTCAAGTCCTGAACTTCATCAGCGACAATAGATGTTTCCTATTATTATTATTTATGATTTTAGTGAATTATTCAAGGCAGATGTTTAGCATTGTGAGTGTTGACTTTGTCAAGACTCCTGAGATTCTGACATTTGTAATGTATGCTTTTTTAACGATTAAATCCTAGATGTCTTTTTGTATTTTATTATGTAGAACTTGCATCTTCTAGATGGTGAACAATTATAACCGGTATGTGGGGGAGGGTTTGGTGCCCTGCAACGTTTAACACAACCATATTCTGTATGCGTCTGTCCCCAGTCAGGAGCCTGAAATTCAGTGGTTGTCATTTGTTGCTGTATATCATATTTGTTTTTTTCGTTAATTGTTTAACATAAATTTGTCATTTCTGGGTCTTGTATAGCTTGCTGTGTGGCAAGTTGTTTGTTTACCTAAAAACTTAATATTGCACTCCAAATGTTTGTACACATCTTTTAAGTCAAAATTCCACTACATGTGTTTGTATGTGACTACTAGTAACTTTCAGTTCCACTAAATGTTTATATATGACTTCACTAATAACATTTAGATCTACTACTCTTGTTTGTATGTGACTTTACTAATAACTTTCAGTTCCACTACACATTGTATGTGACGTCCTTACCTAACAACTTTAGTTCCACTACGTGTGACCTGTATATCTACCATTGTACCAGTATCTGAATAGGAAGCTAAATTTATTTCTTTAAACTCTGCCTGAAAAAAAGAGAAAAAAAAAATGACATCTCACGATGCATTTTTTTTCTTTTAGAAGAATGTCTTAAATTTGATAACATTGTCCAATTCTATATGAATTTTAGGATCTTCTTAACAAATTTCCAAAAGAATTGACATATTCTATTGCATACCATAGGTTATCTTTCATTTGACCATGAGTAGATTTTATATGTGAAAATTGTACCACTCCTGACTCCATCAGGGTAAAATTTAATGAGTATGTCTTACTAATGTGATAATATCTCCAGTAAACAACAGGGTGCTATCACTGATTTCTTAATTCAAATATCTTGATGTGTTGCAATATAAATAAAACTTGCTAAACAAGACACCATGCCATATCACATTTCTATGTTCAGTAAACCCTGAATTCAGGAACAAAACTAATTTGCCATAAAATTGTATGATTACAATAAGAAATGAGCCGTCAAATTGACAGCAATCCAGGTTTTCTGTATTGAAGGCATTTTCTGGTTTGTTTGACCACATTCTGCACCTATTTTCCAATCTTTCAAGGACCATAACTCCTGTACGGCAAAAGTGAAAATCATCAACATCAAAATTAACCTTTTTTTTTTTCATCAGTACTGGGTAACAACATATTAAAATTGAAAGCACTGGTTGAATGGTTCATAATTTATTACCTGGAAATGACACACAAGATGCCATATTCCAATCTATTCAAGAAAAGTAAAAGTGAAAATTGTCAATATTAAACTCGACCTCTATTTTTTCATCAGTAACATTCATATTAAAATTTGAAAAGCATTGTATTAATGGTTCATAAGTTATTGCACAACAACGGTCGGCAGCAGCCAGCACTTCACCAAATAACTAACCAGATTTTTCATTTGAAAATCGGGTTAAAAATTCACTTGCTAATTACCATGCCTATTCAGTTTCAAGTTGATGAGATCACAACTTCATGGTAAATGATCTTATCAAAAAATTCACTAAAGCAAAGATAATAGTAACAACTTAAAACTTATAAAGTTATAGCTATTGTGCAATCCTCAGAAATCTCAAGTGCACATATGGCTTATCATTCAAAAATATCATCCCTGTAGGACCATGACAGACAAATGCTCTGTACAGAAGGATAAGGTATTATAGAAAATAGCGAGTAGGATTTTAAGAAGCTTAAGTAATGAGTAGTTTTAGGCATTCTGAAACATTGGTGCAAAATCAATATTAGAGGGCTTAAATAACTCATATATAATTCAAACAGTTTTTTATTTATATTTATAATTTTAAAGGTATTATTTTTGTCACATTATCCCTATGATTTATCACAAGTTCTTTTTTTATTATCATGTACCCACATGTTTTATGCAACTAACTTTTATCAATTAAGTGGAGGCACTATCCCTACTGACTGGTCAATACTAGCCTAGGACATACATAAACCATGAAGTTATGTCAGGATCAATACACAACCTTGTCAAAGTATCTGATTAATTACAGCTTGTCTATAGTTTGATTTGTAACAGTGAAGTCTATGGGGCCAAGTTATTATTTTTAGGCAGGTTCTTAACAGTTTGATATTTAACAGAGCTAACTTAAGGGTGACTAGATGTATCAATGCCATTTAAGGTTATCATCAACATAAATGTATTTAAAGTAAAGACAGTATAAAAGTTTGTTGAGGTTACCAGTGATTCAGTGACAATAGCTGTTTCAAACTGTTAAAACTGGTTTACAGTTGATATCTAACGCAGTAAATTTTACCCCCAACAGATATCTTTAATGATTAAAGTTTTATATGAATAGGTGACTAAGGAAGAAAATAGAGAAACTTTTTAAGTCCAATGCTGTAATTAATTCAAAATATAGTCATTTACATAAAGTTCATGAGAGATCTGTGATAACTCAAACAATAAATACCAAATGAAATGTCAACACATTATTGCCTGGAACTTCACTTCCTAATGATTGATTATGGTAAATGGATGCAAAAAAATAATAAAAGCTAATGTTGGCCAGGGGAAGAAAAATCTTTAAACATTTAATAATATAACAACTTTAATGACCCACGTTTAAGGCTTCAGGCCTTGTAATTAAAGAACATGAAATATATTATAATACTATTGCAACAGCAACATTGTTCAATGAAAATTAACCCTTGTGTCCTGCCTAAGAGCAGTTAATCACAAGTGAGACTAAATCTTTTAATATTCAATGTATTATGACTGGAACAGAATCCTAAATTACATGACCCATTTATATCAAGAATCAACCTGTTCTTTTACACAGAGTTTGACCAGTATTTTCAATCACAATAAACAATACGAACTTTCTGGCTTTGACAACATAAACATTCTGTCAGATGTATATGGTACACAATAAAAAGAAGTATATGAATAAAAAGAACTTAATTGAATGATCCATCATCTACAGACCCAGGATAAAACATCTCAGTAATCAATAGGACAAGAGGCTCCAAAAGGAGTATAACATTACTTTCTTTACAACAATTTCTAAACTAGAACTGAGTGAACTCACAAAAGGATGTCCCCTGTTCTGCAATACAATCAGTGTATTAAAGACAGTAAATTTGATTATCTCCTCTTTAAAATTTTGGAATTGGATTATATCCTTTTATTCACAATCTCAGGCAGTGTTTTACAACTGGGTTAAGTTTCATCAATATCCATCCAGCCATTAAGGATTTGCATTTACAAGGCACATGGACAGACGGACAGACAGACAGACAGACAGACAGACAGACAGACAGACAGACAGACAGACAGATGGTAATAACTATATAAATTTGATTATCTCCTCTTTAAAATTTTGGAATTGGATTATATCCTTTTTAATTCACAATCTCAGGCAGTGTTTTACAACTGGGTTAAGTTTCATCAATATCCATCCAGCCATTAAGGATTTGCATTTACAAGGCACATGGACAGACAGACAGACAGACAGATGGTAATAACTATATATAGTTGAACAGGATCTACCTTATCTTCCCAAGTATCCTGTAAGGTGCCCTTGGTGGACCAGGATCTGCTTACCCTTATAAAGCACACCAGTTTTCTGTGGGGTTTGTGTTGCTCAGTCTTTAGTTTTTGTGTAATGTTTTGTAGACTGTTGGTCATTTTGTTTATTTTCTATTAGGCATTTAATGGTCATTGTCAGTTTTTCTTCGACCTAACATTTTTGATTGTCTCCTTTTTTTTTTAAAAGTGAAATGAATATAAACCCGGCTTTGTACTAAAGATATGTAGTCATGCTGAACCAGACTAACATACTAGTTCACATTATTGAAGGCCACACAGTGACAGCTTGTGATTTCAAGCTGGATTTTCAATGAAACTCACCCGAGTTCTATTCTAAAGAAAAATTATTTGAAATGTGATCATTTAATTTATTATATTTTATAAATGTTATACTCAGTGGCTAAAATAAATGCATTTGACTAAGAAGTTTGCTTTCCCATGGCTTACCAAAACAATGACAAAGTATATAAACAGACCAGATACCAATAACTTACAGCAGAATGCATTGAGTGTGTAGGTAAAGGTAATATCTTTGGTGAAGTCATTATTAGGTTAGGTAAACTACCCTCCTTTAAGAGTAGACTAGTCCGACAGATAACCAATCCATGTCTGTAGGACTAGACTACTCCGAAAGGAGGGTAGTATACCTAACCTAATAATGACTTCACGGTTCAGCTAACAAGCAAGCTAACCAAAGATTATACCTTTATCTACACACTCAATGCATTCTGCTGTAAGGGCTTTTCATATTTCAGCTTACATTGTACTAACTAGGACTTTTCAGCTGAGTATTCATTGACATAAACTTACACTTTTCTGCAAAATAGTTGCCTCCCAAATCTGTTATTATAAATATAAAAATGTCAATACACGGATCTAATCATCCAAGCTATAAAACACATAATTATCAAGCACACTGCTAAAGTGATACATTATTGTCAATGAAAAGCAAACAATTTAAAAGTGTAAACCACCTTGATATATTCCATCTAGAAACATTAACCAAGAGAATAAACAAAATATCTGAAAAGAATTCATCAATACTGCAAATAGATGAGGGAATTACTGCTGAGTAATCAAAAACCTGTCTTTTACTGCAACTCTATTGCAAAAATATAGCAATTTATTGCTATGTTAAAAATTGTTTGCCAAATTTCTTTCTTGGATTTGTGGATTTGTTGCATTTTGAATAAACAAACTCCACCTCAAGCTATTGATACACTTGTCCCTTTTAATTCAACCAACAAAGTTCTATTCCAAGCAGGCGTTACAGAAGTGATTTTTGTATCAGGTAAATGTGTGTCATTTAAATATATTATGCATTTTATACTCAGTACTGGGAATGCAATAAAATAATTATGTCTCAAACAAAAAATTTGAAAATATTAAAATGTTGAACATGAAGTAGTTTTTAATATCATGATTTATATGTACCATCGTTCCATGCCATCAGAAAATTAAATGTAAAATTGCTAAGGTGTGAAACCATAAAAAGGATCTTTCAGAAGCAAATAGAGATGACTCAAAAAAGTCAAGGTAGATTTACAGTAGTATTTAGAACCTACAGATGATGATGATGATGATGGATGGCTGATTTAACGTCCAGCAGCAACAGAAAATTAAACTTAAACGAAGTAAGATGCAAACAACATAAATCATTCTCAACACGATTTCCAGTTAAACCAACATTGCCACTACATTTTGCGAGGGTAAACTACTTTACGGCATTGGAAGTAATTTTTACACAACACCATTGTCCTATATTAGGCCAACTAAAATTAATTAGTAGATTTTCATCCAGATTTTTGAAAAAAATGGGGCAGGTGGGAGGATTTTATTTTCTTATTTTTATTTCCCTCTAAACCTTTTTGTGACGTGTTGTTCATGTACAAGGGTAATACTAAGCTTAAATCATGTATATATATAAGGAATTCTACATTATTTTTCAAATTCTTAAATTAATATTTCTGATTGGCAACCACTGTTCTACATGTAATTGCCGCTTTAAAAACCTATTTTTAGTAAATAGCAAAAATATGGAGAAATGTTCTCTTTTAGACTACCTAGATCAAATTTGTTTTGTTTTCTAAGGTATGATTTGTAGTGCCCATAAAATGAAGCATATGCATTGGTATGCAACACAAATATGATCCCCAAGGGTGACTGGGGAATAGAAATATGGTCACTACAGGTCTTCTTCCCACCGGCAGTAAAACCCTTGCCAAAGTGGAGCGTCCGTTTGGCTGTGCAGGATGTATCAAGTACACAGCCACGTCCGGTCAGAATGGGGATGTTAAATTTAATGCCTCCTATAGAGAGTGCCATGCTCTCTGCAGGTTAAGAACCCTTGCAACAACTGTTTGAGGGGTTCATAGGTGGTCTGTTGCAAGGGTAAATTTCTGCCCCTATCCCTATCCATTATACCCTCATTTTCCATTGGTAGTCCAAATTTACCCCGACCTTCATTCCGAACAGCCTCTATTACAGGACCTACCTATTGTATTTATTGTTAATTTGTTCTCATCCTGAACATGCATGAAATATTTGCCACTGGACGTTAAGCAACCAACAATCAACAATCAATCAAATATTATGAGTACAGAGTGAAATGGAAACTCAAACTGTGTTGAAAATACTAGGGTTGATGCTTTTAAGATTATTTTACAAGGTGCAAATATAATTACAATTCAAAACATGAACTGAACCAAAAAGAAAAAGTTTTTTAATGACTCTATTGAGGGGCTGGGGACAGACGGTGTTTGCTGTTTGTCAACAAAAACAACAGCCTTAGGGTAAATCTAAGGGCTTGCTTTAATACATTTTCTAAGTTGGCCGACTCTTTGTACTCAATATATGGTCACAAATCGCACATATTCGTGCTTGTGTCAATAACTTTATTCCAGTCATGTTTTTGTACCAATGTGTTCCACGATTCTTGCGTTTTGGATATCATTTACAGTACAAATTATCTGACACAAAATAATTGAATAAATAAAAAAAATCCACAATTTTCTATTCACTGAAATTAGTGACATACCACGATTAGCGTTCTTAAGGACACCGCCTATTACACGTAACCCGAATATTTCATGCCCTTCTAGTAATCAATTATATTCTCACAAGATAATGTTGTCATCATTGAGCAGAAGAATATGTCAACTTATATTACTCGAAGAAATACAAAAACCGAAATTTAAAACAGGAAGTTTTGAATGAAGTGAAATTATTGGGGGTTACCGTAATGGAAATGAACAAAGTCCGGATATCATAAAAAAAAAAAAAATCAGGTCCAGATGATTTTAGAGGGGCCGGGCAAGGATACAGTTATAAAGGAACATAACTGAAGAACGGTAAAAGTGACGCCACCAAAATTCAAACTTGATCTGTGTTTTGTGGTAATAAGCATTGTGTATAAGTTTCATAACATTTGGTTGAGGCAAACTAAAGTTAGAGAACGGAATTTTCCATTTGTAAAGGGGCATAACTCCAGAACGGTAAAAGTGACGCCACAAAAATTCAAACTTAATCTGTGTTTTGTGGTAATAAGCATTGTGTATAAGTTTCATAACATTTGGTTGAGGCAAATTAAAGTTAGAGAACGGAAACAAAAAATTCAGCAATTTTTCCATTTGTAAAGGGGCATAACTCCAGAACGGTAAAAATGACGCCACCAAAATTCAAACTTGATCTGTGTTTTGTGGTAATAAGCATTGTGTATAAGTTTCATAATTAGTTGAGGCAAACTAAAGTTAGAGAACGGAAACCAATTTTGGGACGTACGTACGTACGTACGTACAGACGGACAAGGGTAAAACTTAATGCCCCCTCCGCTACGGCGGGGGCATAAAAAGGACAGAAAATAATATATCCAGAGATGATTTTGTAAATGAAATTATCTGAAATTAATTAAAATTTACCTGTAAACATCTCCACCCCTTTTCTAAAGTGTCATTTTCTACGATATCTTATCCAGCAACTTTTTTTTTCAAGAAGCAAAATAACTGAAAGTAGTTAAATAACTGATCCAAAATTATCCCTATATCTACTGTATATATTAAAAGGCAATTGTCCATACATGTTCTATTGCCACAACTTCTGCAAAAGAAATGCTCCACCAGAACTAATCTCAAACTTAAAAGATAAGTAGCCTATCCTTATAGCAGACAATAATGTGTAAAATGTCAAAGAAATTTGTAAAAGCAAACTTTAATATAATGAGACCATCTAAGTCAGACCTATAGACAGACAGAACAAGTGTATTGGAATCTCAGATTAAAAACATACAAATTGAATACAGTCATTCTAGTATAAATTCATTTTAAATTATAGATTTTATGTAAAAAAATCTTCTTCATCAGACTTTGTGACAAAATGTCGATAGTTTTTACCTAAATACAAAGACCCAATATCCTGAACAACACAATTGAAATTAATGAAAATGACTCAGTAAAATTGACTGTGTGCTGCTATTTCTTTGTCTCAATGGACTTGACAATTTGTAACAATAAAAACATGAGTTGTGACTTTAATTAAATAATGTACCATTTAGTCATCAACAGCCAGTCTAGTGGGAGTTTAAATGTTCCATTTAATGTTCATCATGCATTTTTTATATGTTTCTGGAAGAGAAATCAGAGGGATGTAATTGTCTAAAGCTGGTTAACACCATCAATGTACATACATAGTATTATCTATATCTAGTAAAGAATACTGGTCTTACAAGTGTTAGGGGTAGTCTTGAGCTCAAAGTGAAAGTTATGTTAAAGGCCTGTTACTTACAAGTGTTAGGGGTAGTCTTGAGCTCAAAGTGAAAGTTATGTTAAAGGCCTGTTACTTACAAGTGTTAGGGATAGTCTTGAGCTCAAAGTGAAAGTTATGTTAAAGGCCTGTTACTTACAAGTGTTAGGGATAGTCTTGAGCTCAAAGTGAAAGTTATGTTAAAGGCCTGTTACTCTATTTGAAAACAGCATTATGTGCTGTTCTTTTGTTATTGGTTTTGTCAAAGGTGTGCTGGGGTTTTGCAACATGAATTATTACAAAATTTTCCACTTTCAATTTATGCCTTTTCCTAATAGATTGAAATATTTGCTGCAGAAATTTAACCATACAATAAATAATTTTATATGTCTTATCATTAATTCAAGTTATTCACTTTCCTTTGTTCTTAAAATTGAACATTTTTAACATGCAACTCATCAACACTTCTAAGAATAATTGCATGACAATTTCAATTAAAAATGAATTAAAAGCTAGCTTTTAACTGCTAACAGTCACAGTGTCAAGTGTTTTACTATATGCAAATATTGTCTGGAAGAATAGTTAGTAATATTTTCACATACATTTGCCCTTTAGGGAATTCGAGCAGGATGACAGAAGTTTGATATTAAATTGTTTAGTAAAAATTGATACACAACTCTTTTATATGCATGACAATTCAGATGCTGGGCATATTGTACAGACAACAGTCTACTGTTGAACACTTTAAGTTCACCACACCTTTTTGGGTTATTTAGGGAGCTATCTCATTGCTGTATACACTAAAATCTCCTTTCTTTCAAATATATCTTCTATATTTAATTCAAAATAAATGTACAATATTCTTAAAATCTAAATTAAACAATTGTTACTTGATTAAGACTTGTGGTTATATTGACTCATTCTTTTCAATAGATTTTACAGAACTGGCCAGATTATATGTTTATTAATTTTTAGAAAGCTTGGAAAAATCTGAATTCCTATTAATTCCTACTTAAAATCTCCTCAGTCAATATTCATCCACTCAGACAGAATCTTAAGCCATAGAAATTTGACACAGTTTTCACATCTGAAAGGTATGACATGTCACACCCTATAAGACAGGATGTAGTACCATTTTCTCCATGTTAAAGAAGCTTACAACTTTTTAAAAAGACTCCTTTAATTATCGGTCTCAAGGCCAAATGTTTGCCCTTGTCCAACACTACCTTTTTTCATTGGCAGTCCAAATTTTATACTTCCATTCTAGATGAATCACTATGTCGCATCTACTTATTTGACACATTTTTTTCTGGTCCTGAATATGCATGAAATATTTGCCAAGAAAACAATGATCAACCAAGTTTTGTCAAGAATAAAGTTTTCAGAACATTGAAAAGCACAATTTAATATAATTACTGAGTAAAAAAAAATGTTTATCAATGAATATTTTTAATTTCAAATTTAAAAAATAAACATAAAAATAAATAGATCATCCAACAAAAATAAAGTATAAGGTACCATGTTAAATCAACCAAAAAATTATACAAAAGTTACTTCCGCAACTTTGGAAAAATTTAAATTTAAAGCTTTGTAATTAAAATCTACGTTGCTGAACTTTAAAACTTTATTTACTCAGTATACACATCTTCCAATAGCAGCAAGGTCCAATGTGGAGGTCAAGATTAAAATGTATATTGTAAAATTGACAATTTTCAAAACCTTTTTAAAATGTATACTTGTAAATAGTAAGATTTTCTGTATGATGGGTTTTTCAGTCCATGTCTATTTAGTTAAATGTAAATGTCATTCCATTCAAGAAACTTTTAGATCTTTTAGAAGTTGTATTTTGTAGGCAACCAGAATATCAGGGTCAAAAAGGACAGAGCAACCACAATATTTAGACATTTGCATTCTTGTGATTTCTAAGGGATACATAAAAGTACTGATCAATGTTTTGACCAGCTTCCTTATTTCAAATATGCTACATCATCAAACCAAATTATTAGTGTAATGAATACTAACTGTATATTTAATGTATTTATACCTGTCACCCTTCATAATTACCTGTTCAACTCTTATATCCCAATCACCAAAAATTTTTCTTCCTCTAAAATATTTTGACCTGCAAAATAAATGGAATTACATTTACATATTTAGATATACATACAGATAAAAAAAAATTTGGTAGAAACCAATGAGACAGACAACCAATGACACAAACAAGAGTATATAGACTGAAATGTCTCGCCTGCATAACTAATTATGAGGTCACACTAAATTTTCTGATTTAGCATGTATCCAGATGTTAGTTTTTACACAAAAGTTTCTGATGCGAATGGAGTTGTGATTTTTTTAGCTGAACAAAAGACTAAAATTGGTATTTGTTGCTTTCCTCCTAAGGACGCAGCATTAAGGAGTAAGAGCAAACACTGGTCGTCTCTAAGTCAGAATAATGTGTCCAGGTATGGTGACATGTCTTCGGCAGACTTACCATGTGAGGTAGCACATTAAAATCTGGATCAGTGTGTTGGTCTAGTTATATCACACTAACATGTTCTCCTCCAGAATGTGCATTTAATTTGCCACTGGACGTTAAACAGCAATCAATTCATACAGGTATAACAGGAACTTATCAATAAACCATGAAGGTCAAGGTCAGATGAAATCTGTCAAATGGACAGTTATTGTCAGTTATTGCTTCTTTCATCATACTATACACCAAATATAGCTGACATACTACTTAAAGTATCTGTGAAAGGTACCTAATAATGAAAATTTACAATTGTCTAATGAACAATGCAAATGAGAACAAGTCTCAAAGTCAGGTGAACTCTGTATGACAGACATGTATACATTTCAAACATTCAATACATCACATGTAGCTTACAATTACTTACAGTATCTGGGAAAAAGGTCTATGGTAATCACAAAAACATAATGTTGATCAAAGAACCATGAAAATGAGATCATGGTCAGCTGAACCCTTTCTGACTGATCATATGAAAACCTTACAATCATTCTCTACACCAAATATAGTTGAGCTTTTACTCAAAGTATCAGAGAATTAAACTGAATCATAAAAACTTAATTTGACAAGGAATCAGCTGTCATTCTGTATCATGAAAGGCAAATACAGGCTTTTTTTTTACCTGCCACACTCTATGCCTATTTTCCAATCTATCATGGACCATAACTCCTGAAGCAAAAATAAAAATTGTCAGAATAGAACTTGACTACCATTTTGTCTTAAACATTTTAAGAGCTTTGGCTGAATGTTTCATTAGTTATTGCACAGAAACGACATAAAGACTATTAAAGTGCAAATTTCCAATCTATCAATGACTATAACTCCTGAACAGCAAAAATGAAAAGCATCAATACCGAAATTGACTATAACACAATAGATGAGTGGATGCAGCTCTCATATATTTTTATACACATAAACCCTTTCCTTGACTTTTTTTTTCTCTTCTTCCTGGTACGGGAAAAACTCCGGTGCAGGAGTGTGAAATATCCCGGAACTGTGGCACTATGTACATGCAAATGGATGTCGAAAATTGTGTTATAATAAAATAAAATATTTGCCACAGTTCAATTACAATTTAAAATAACATTAGTTGTAGCTTAATGTTAAACATATTCACATTATGTACAGTGGCTTAAATACACTAATTAATTAGCCAGACTAGAACCTCCAAATGTTAAGGTGGAGATACCACCTTTGAAGGATTCTAGGGAGGGTGACATGCAAATTGTTTCTGGGAGGTCGTTCCAGACAGCAATAGTACTTGGGAAAAAAGATGATTTAAAAAAGTCTTTATTTGTATATATATGCCGAAATTTATGTAGGCCTCTAGTTCGCCTGTCAGATTGTGTCAGGACGTCATTAGTGACTTCGACCAACCCCCCATTAATCTTATAAATCAAAACAAGCTTAGCTTTTGTATACAGGATTGTAAGTTTTCCCATTTTAGTTTGCTTAACATACCAGTGACAGCGCCTGGTGATCTATCGTTATTATCATTAAAAACATATCTTGCTGCCTTAAGCTGTATCTGCTCAATTTGGTTTACTTGGCTTTGTTTGTACAGATCCCAAACTGGTGAGGAGTACTCGACGGTCGGACGCACAAGTGATGTGTACGTAAGGTTTTTAACCTTACGTGTAGTTTTTCATGTTTCTACGTAAAAAGCCTAGTGTTTTATTTGCCTTTGAAGTTATATTATTAATATGGGGCCCCCAATTAAGATCATTGCTTATTGTAACTCCTAGATACTTGCTGTCTTTGACAGATTCAAGTACATGATTATGTAATTTATATTGAAATAAATAAGTTAGTTTTTGACTTTTTAGAAATATTTATGACATAGCATTTTTCAGGATTAAATTTCATTTGCCATTCAGATTCCCAATTTTCAAGGCTTGATAGATCTTTTTGGAGTGCTTGAGACTCATTTATATTATTTGATGTTTTATAAAGTAAACAGTCGTCAGCAAAAAGACGAACCTTACAGGAGACATGCTCAGGTAGGTCGTTTATGAATAACAAAAATAAAGTTGGGCCTAATACTGTGCCCTGAGGAACACTATATTATTTTGGAAGATTGAACACTGTTAAGCAGGACTTGCTGTTGCCTGTTTGACAAAAAATCTTTTATCCAAAGTCAGTTATTTTCACGTATACCATAATAATTAAGTTTTATTATTAATCTTTCATGGGGGACCTTATCAAAAGCTTTAGAAAAATCTAAAAGTATTGCATCAACTTGATTACCTTCTGCCAAGTATTTGGCTATGTCCTGGATGCTGATAACAAGTTGTGCTTCACAGGAACGTTTACTCCTAAAGCCATGTTGGCAATCATTTAAAACATTATTTAAATCTAAATGTTTTCTAATATTACTTGTTAAGACGTGTTCTAAAACCTAACAACATATAGATGTAAAAGAAACCGGTTTATAGTTAATTGCATTATGCTTATCTCCCTTTTTAAAAATTGGCACAACATTTGCCTGTTTCCACTCTTCTGGGATTTTTCCATCATTTGTGGATTTTTGAAAAAAGAATACAAGGAAGGGGGATATCTCTTCCGAGAATTTATTAAGGAAAATAGCAGGGATATTATTAGGCCCAATAGCTTTATGGGGGTTTATATTTTTAAGGAGTTTAATTATGCCATTGATATTAATGGTTATATCTGGCATGGTGGGGTAGGGGCTTTTAGGTTTATGTGGCATTGAAGTTTTATCTTCTTTAGTAAATGCACTTTTAAATTATTCATTTAAAATATTTGATTGTGTTTGACATGTTTAAATAAAATAGTGCTGAATGTTGAGAAAGAGAATTCATCAATTTATCAGGTTATATTTATTTATATATACTGACTGAGATTACAATAATACATAGTGTTATAGTAATTTCAGATAATGTCTTTACTTCTAACATAGTAATCACAGATATTGCATAATCTTCTTTTATTTTACTTTTGTTGGAGATTTTAAAAGATGATGATATTAAGTTCTCGAATTTATATTATGTCTCAGATAGTTTTCCTAAAATAGCTAGGTCTAATCTGATTGGCGTCAACAATATAATCATACTCTGATTAAAATGTCTGTAAGTTGCACTTCTGCAAATATAGACAATGCAATTTCCCATAGGAACTCCTTTTACAGCTAAAACTGTACCAATTTTACTATGAAGTTTTTTGTAAAAAATTATATTCTAAAATGGAATTCATTCATATACACTACTATTTTCAATATTTGTATGCCTTGAACTTGTAAGAGTTTAAACTTATACTAAAATTCTGTACTGCCCCTCCCTTCACTTCAGGTCTTCCTCAGAATTCAATTTGGCCACTATCCATGTGTATTTATACTGATAAATTTCCTAAGTTGTGTCTCTATGAGATGAAACAGAGATCATATCTGGGAACCAGTAGGTAAATAAATGGAGAATGTGTCCGTGGGACACAGACGAGATGATGTCCCAGCTTGCATTTAACGTTATAACAGGACATAACTGAAGAACAGTAAAAGTGACACCACCCAAATTGGAAACTGATCTGACTTTTGTGGTAATAAGCATTATATATAAGTTTCATAACATTTGGTTGATGCAAACTTAAGTTAGATAACGGAAACAAAAAATTCAGCAATTTTTTCATTGGTAAAGGGGCATAACTCTAGAATGGTAAAAGTGATGCCTCCCAAATTCAACCTTAATCTGTGTTTTGTGGTAATAAGGATTGTGTATAAGTTTCATAACATTTGGTTGAGGCAAATTAAAGTTAGAGAATGGAAACTTATCTTGGGACTTACGTACGTACAGACGGACAAGGGTAACACTTAATGCCCCCTCTGCTGCAGCGGGGGCATAACAAAACAAAATATCTATGATATTCAATAATATTAAATATCTCCCCAAAAGAGGTGTGGTTTGTGAAACAGCTGTATTTACAAACTGCAACGTATTATTAGATAAATGGGGAATGTGTCCATGGGACACAGACGATGCCCCCGCCAGCATATCATATAAAGTTATAAAGGGACATAACTGAAGAACGGTAAAAGTGACACTACCCAAATTTGTACTTGATCTGAGTTTTGTGGTAATAAGTATTGTATATAAGTTTCATAAAATTTGGTTGAGGCAAACTTAAGCTAGAGAACTGAAACGATAAATTCAGCAATTTTTCCATTTGTAAAGGGGCATAACTCTAGAACAATAAAAGTGACACCCCCAAAATTCAAACTTGATCTGTGTTTTGTGGTAATAAGCATTGTGTATAAGTTTCATAACATTTGGTTGAGGCTAACTTAAGTTAGAGAAAGGAAACGAAAAATTCAGCAATTTTTCCATTTGTAAAGGGGCATAACTCTAGAACGGTATAAGTGACACCCCCAAAATTCAAACTTGATCTGTGTTTTGTGGTAATAAGCATTGTGTATAAGTGTCGTAGCATTTGGTTGAGGCAAACTTAAATGCAAATGCTTACACAACTGCATACCACCAATGACCTTCCACTAGTGGTTCCCAATAAACTGACCTAATCACCAACTAATACATTGTTGTCGTCGACGTTGCTGTCACAAACAGCATGTATTAATGTAAGTCTCG